TTACTTACCAATTGTACGATTTATATTATGCTGCAACTTTTCAAATGAACTCTTCGGTTTGCCTTTCATCATGTACATTTCAGATTTATTCATTTTTTTATATTGTAGAAAATTCAAAAGTCTCCAGATTACCAACATATATTTTGTATTGAATGAAAGGTTAATAATAAAGCTTTTTTTATTTATGTATCAAACTCCTTCGTCACCTCCGTTGATCCACGCTTTCGCGAAGGCTAACCTTTGGGCTTCCGTCTTCGCCTCCGTTACGTGGCCTCCGTTACTCAACATACTGTTTATAAGCACTAAAACACATACTTACCTTAATTGAAATTTCATTAGAGAAAAAACAGCTATAATTTAACTAAGCACGACTCCTATACACCAGAACTGAAATACTCTTCTCTTCTCAATTGAAAATTACCGGAAATTTTCTCGTAAAAGTTGCCTCTATTATTAACATAATTATAAAACCTTAAGAATGTTAACAAGTCAACAAGAAGAAAACTGGTTTTCATCAACTTATGAAAATCTTATAATGCCATTTTATGGAAAAAAGTAAGTACATCGTTGGAGTTTTGGTCACAATTCATCTACTCATACTAACATTTTATTTGGTAAAGCAGTGATAGAAGTAATATTCAGTGTGGTTTGGAACATTCTGAAGCATTTCAAACATTCAGCAAAAAATGTGTTGCTAGTTGAGACTTATTAAGTAATTTGTAATTTTTTGTGTGACCTCACAAAAAAAATTACGAACCTAAATCTGGTGAAATTGTAGGCCACTTCACTGATCGCCTCTACCAATCTATCAACTAGGAAGGTATAGTGATGAGATACTCCATCTAGCATATCGATTATCTATACATTTATAAGCGATATCTACAATTTCGACTCTTTTACCACTTGCCCCACCCCAATACAGCAAAATTTCAAAACGTGTTACATCAAAGCGTGTCGTTGTTCAAAAGCCTAGAAAAATTCAACGCCACTGTGATCCGTCGACCTGAACGAACGAACGGTGAAAAATGTCGCGATGTCCTTAATGGGGATCGTTATTGGCTGAAAAGTTCCCATAAAGCTTTACGTATTTCAGGAAACGCAACGAAAAAAGTGTAAACCGGTAGAGTTCGCTGCAGTTAATTCTCTACGAATAACGGCTCACGATGTACACGCGCGGATCGAATTGATGGAATACCGTCGATGACGAGAGGTTACACAGAAACGATAATGGCGAGCATAATTGTTTCCATTCCAAAAAATGACAGCAGATGCGTAGAATGTGTAATATTCCATTGGGTCAAACGCTCCAGCGTTATGGCCAGCTAGAGCACCGGATTTAACCAAACAAAACTATGGGAAGACTCTGCTATGAACAAATGTTCATATGTTCATCGAGTATTGGCAAGTTCCACCGAATACCTAAAAGAATGGCTACGAAAATTGCGTCACGTTACGAAAGAAAAAAATCTTTTAATGCCAGAGATATATTCAAGCCTGTCTCCGCAACCGTTCTTGCAGAAATCTATTCAATCCATTTCTCAAGCCCGTTCCGATGAAACTAATTCTGAAACATTAATTAGAGTTGCTTCGAAGAGCCAACAGCTCGTGTTTGTCTGACCTTTTGGGGCAATTCAATTTCGTATCAAGTAGATGCAGAATTCGACTTTGCTTCTAATAGAGAGTAGATATATCAACCTATCCTTTGCACTTAACCTTAATTTGTTGCAGCAGTCGACGTTCATTGTCAACGCTATCAATATTGATTCCTTCGCCCACTCGGGCGGTGGTATTTTCTAGTCGAGCGAAAATCTCGTAAATTGATTCTAGAATGATTAGGTTGAGAATAATGAGTGACATGGGAGATTTTTAAGAATAACGGATTTCTGTGAGAAAATCTCAGAAATAATTTACTGGATTATTAGGTGACGAAAATAACATTTCATTTAAATGGCAAAATCCTTCACCTTCTGGAATATTCGAACTTGGCATAATTTTAGGCTCATTTCACCCTCCTTCATTACGGTATTGAAAATTTGTTTGGGTGAGAAAGAATTGTATTGAGGCTCTTGTGAGTCCAATTGAAATCATTATTTGGGAAATTTTGAACAAAAAATGTTCAATATCCTAATGAAAGAGCATAAAATGAGCTTAAAATTATTGCTATCAAATTTTCCAAAGCTTTACGGATTTCGATTTGGTTTGCCAGCTTAACGGTAAAGCTGGTAGAACCCACTATTTTTTAACAACTCATGGAATTTGATAGTTTGTTGCTCAGTATATATGTGGATAGTATATTGGTCAAACCAAACTATATTAGCTGCAAGGAACATGTTCCGCATGTTCGGTTTCATAGATCGGAGAAATCTATATGTCGCTCAACATGTCATAGAGAACGACCATAGATTATGCGAGAAATGTTTAAAATTGTTGAAACAGGTACACGACAACAGGTTTCTGGATGCTTTCGAAACCTTGGAAAACGAAAAGTGTGGAATGAGTTCTATGAATAGCGCCAAAGGTTCTATTTCGAACAGCCCTTTGTTCTTATACATAATAATTCTAAATAAACAACAGATAAATGATCACTTACATAGAGGAAATACATAACAAATTTGAGGTATTAAAAAAACAGGTAGTTTAGTATAGTATCAATAACAGGTAGTAGCTAGATAATACTAGCCGGTGTAGTTAGGTAATACTAACAGGTAGTAGTTAGCATCGAGTCCAGAGAGAGTAATTTTTTTTCTTGTGTTGGGAAAGTGTTTTCAATAAACTCATGGAATGTCGGCGATGGAATTGATAGAAGCGTAAAATAAGTAAAAATTCTCACCCGCTCAAACGAGTGTATGTGATCACTCAAACGGGAGACATATGCCAGAACTTTCTGCGAGGAAATTTACACAAAGCAAAGCCAGGGGAGCAGCAATGCCAGGGGAGTAGTTGTTTTTCGACACATTTACCAGATCCTACTGTCTGGGAACATTGGCAGAGGTGAATGTTTCGAATTGACACCGAATGATGATGAATAAAATGATTTTACTCTATTTCAACTACTTTTTGAACAGCCCTCGTATTGAATTTTTGTATTGTTCCATGATGATAAGCGTTTTGTATACACGCAATAACATTACACTCGGCATGTTCGTCGCATCGACCAAACGATAATTCGAGAAATCAGCTGGAAACGTACCAAAATTCGCGTGCGGCGCGGTACCTATTCGGGTCACAACGATTTCATGTGACTAATATTTGAGAATTATCCATATTCGAATAACTGTGAACTGTGATCGCTGTTGATTAAATTCGAATTAGCGGATTTTGGTCGCGTCATCGACACACATTTTCCAAGTAAAATTGTAGTAATTCTCATTCGTATTGAGAACGTCTACGACCAGCACATAACAATGAGAACCTACCTCAAAACAGTTACGTTTTCCCACAGCGGTTTGTAAATCATCGAATAAATTATACAAAATAAGACAGGTTAAATACATCTTAATTGTCCACGAGGAATTTTTTTCCGACTGAATCAGAACTATTTTTTATTCGCGGAGGTAGTATTATCGTCGGTAATAGGTACCATTATTGTTTCACTATGAAATAGTTCTCACGAACTCTTTCAAACCGCTACGGTTAGAGAGAAATAAGGATATCAATTATTATTCATCCGAATGGTTCATTACGTTCTATCGCTGGACGTTCACCGCGGGCATTCCCTTGGAGGCTCACGAGTCTACACTGTGACGCATTTGAGAAGGAAACACTCCGGAAAATTCTAATTTATTGCAGGAGAAATGAAAAAGTTTGCGATTATTAATAAAAAGATCATACTATACCACTGGATTCAGAGTATATCCAGTAAGTTGTATCCATATTTCATCAAAATATATTAGAACAAAGCTAGGACAGCTTGAAAATCGAATAAGGTGAGCCTGTATCAAGGGAAATCAATCGTAATTATAAACTTCCACTGTATAGACAATTTTCTTTCAAATGTATGAAAATCTATAAAAGTAACTGAATTACATTCAACTTTAAACGCAATTAGGTAACTACTTGTGTAGTTGAATCGATTTCCAATAATAACGTTTCAATTTTGTATCTGAACAAAATCAATTTTCAATAATAAGAGTTTTTAAACTTTTTCACGCCGTTTCCACCTCTTTAGACGGTTTGGAAAGGTCGGACGTAACATTCGTCTTGTTGGATCGAACGCCAGGAATAACATATCTCAATCTATTAGGTGTACCACATTAATTTTCAATTATGAATAAGCCTGGAAAACTTGGATGTGCTGTTTATCTTGTTGATTCGACCTCCAGGAACAACATAATTAACGTGTACAAAATCAATTTTTATTGATATGAATTACCTAATTTTTTTACCTCGTATGTTTAGGTTGTAGAGTCGACCTTCAGGAATAATATACTCGCACTCATCTCAATCTTAAAGACGTGCAAAAAAGTCGATTTTTGGTTAAACGAATGTTTTATATTTCCACCCTATTTCCATCCCGTTAGACGACCTGTAAAACTCAATACCATATCCCAATTTGCTATCTGTTCAAACTCAATTTTTCATTATACGGAATTTTCAAACATTTCCTTCCTAGTTTCACGCCTTCAAACAGTCTAAAGGGTATAAGCGAATTATTTTGAAAGCTGTATTAAAGGTAAAAATGAAAATTAAATACTTTTCTCTCAAAATATGTACCCAGATATTCAATAAGAATTATCATCAACATTACAAGCGAGTATTTTAAAATTCTATTTTCAAACCCCTCTCAGTTGTCAAACCCGCCACCCCCTCTGCACTTCACCCTCTCTAACACTAACGGTCTGTATTACCAAAAATGTATTTTCACAAGTTTCAATTATTCACGTACTTCTCCCGAATAAATAAAGTTAAGTAGCTACTGAATATTTCAATAAAGTTTTGATTCAGAAGGTTTGTTATGAAAGTACAGAAACGAAGTTATAATAGTGAAACAATGGACTCACCTTCTGAATTTAGCGGGGTAATGGTGGTGGTTGAAGTGGGAGCCAGTGCAAAAAAATTGGGGCACAACAAGCCCCATCCAACGATTGAAGGCCTGGAAGTACCTTGTCGATCCTAAAAAAAAACAAACGTTTCTAACATAACACAAAAAAGAATCACAATTTAATGAGGTTCATTTTCAGAATTTCAAAAGATTTCAAGTTTATTTTTTTTAATATTTTTTTTCATACTTGCAAATTTATTTGGGTGAACAGCAGACGGAAGTGTACTTTTATAATTATGCATTATTAAATTTAATTATTTTTATCAATTACCCTCAACAAAAAACAAAATCTTCACTGAAAAAAAAATTATATTTGAATAAATATACAGGCGAAACTGTAGCCCCTTTTAGCACCCCTATTGAAAAATTATTAAGAAAAATATAAAAAATGAAAACAGTGCCTCAAGATTTGATTTATCTACATAGACTGAGGGTGGAGTTGTAAACAGTTATAACCATTCTGAAAACTTGTCCAGCTGCTCAAGAAAATGCTAAAAAGCTGGTAAGGGCACTCATCAGAAACGCTGAATCAGTAGTAACTAGTAACAAAAACGTATTATTAAATGGTAGGTAGTAGTGTAATAAATTTTTTGAAAATCCGATTGATATCTGTTATTTCATTAGCCAGCTTTTAGGAAGACCAACCTTCCAAAATCTAAACTCGTCCGAGCTAAGGATTAATGAGGTATTATATTTTAACGTGCGATTCCTAGCACGGGTTGGTCGATAAGCAGTAAAAATCAATCATTTGATCGTCGGGCTCGAACCACTGTTTTTGATAGAGGTCGATTGAATGAGAAGCATGAACCACGCTAACTAACTAGTTTACATAATTTAAGCTCTTCAATAATGCTTGTCTATTAATTTGTATAGACATATATATTAGGTATATATGTAGAATTTTATAGGTGGAGTCCTGGATTCTTGAGAATAGCAGTATCTAATAATTACATGTTAACGAATACGGGAACGGCAATGTAACCACTTCCAATTTTTTTCAAATTTCAATTTAATGATTACTGAATTATCTTAATTGTTAATACCTGAACTTGTACGACTAAGTATATATCAGGTATAAAATTATCTTGGTAACGCAGTCTTTTCCATACAAAAATCTCATAAAAAATATATTTCTATCCCCAAAGCAGATAACCATCCAAATAAAGCCATCAAGTAGGATATATTAAAGGAAAATTCATCGTTCTCGTATAAGATTACAACGACTATGTGTTTCAGGAGAGATGAAACAATAAGAGTTGAGGATGTTGAAGGAGCACGTAAACTTGGTACTTGTGGTTGCCGTATCGAATGCTTGGGGGCAAAAACCTGACAGAGATGAGATATATCCTTTTGTGAGCAACTAAATTACTAAATACCAACTTACAAGATGTTATAGGCGTCGTTTCTCTAGCAATCATACATCCTCCACACAGGGTTTGTTAATAAAACACTTTATAACACGAAAATACAGGTGATGTTTGGTAAAACCAAAAAAACAACAAAAAAAACCCGAACCTCACTGAGTCACAATGTCACAATTGAAAATTTTAATTTCTCTCGATTTTCTCTACTGCGGGAATTTTTAATAAATACTATATTTCATTTTTTCTGTATAATTTGATGCTATTTCGAAACAATAAACAAAATTATTATTCACAAATATCGACTGGAAAATGACACTTACACTCCTTGCGTCGTTTTCATGAACTACTTTATTATTACAATCCACCTTGCAGATGTCACTACTCTATAGAAAAAAATATATATTCCAGGGTTGTCAAATTCAAAATTCCAGTCACAGAACCCGTAAAACTATATCTCTGTTCGAGTGAACATTCTCTCTTCAACGTCCAATGTATATTTTAAAAAATTGAAGTGTTTTTTTAATAAAAAGTGAATGAAAAACTTATGATTCCCTGATACAAAATAGCTGCGCCCCCTGACGAAACTTCTTTTTACTATGAAAAGGAGGAGGCTGGCTAAATGCTCTCGAATGAGAGAACCATAGAAATTAGAGAGGGAGAGAGAGAGAGAGAGACAAACATAACCTAAATTTCAACCTAACCAAACTTTGTTTTAAGCCAAATACTATTAAATTATTCTGAAGTCAGTTATCAAACTGATGAGATTCCACTCAAATTCGAAGTTATAAATAAGATAGTGTTGCCATCAAGTATTAAAACATTTTTAGTAGTTTTTCTAGAAGCCACAACCTCACCATTGTTTTTCTGAAATGGACAATTTTTTAAACAAATCCGATTCAAATATTAAACTCGAAGAAACAAAGTATGACATAAATTATACAAATTCAGAAGATGATAGAATGGATTATGATGATGATGATTCCAAGGATGCTACCGTTCCAGTAGAAAACAGTGTTTTCAAAGAAGAAATAAACCATTCTGAAATAGAGGTGAAATCTGAGCCTCTTGAAATAACTCGAGAAGATATACTAGATCTTGGTTCAGATATTATTTTACCTCAAGCTTCGCAAAGTCAAAGCACTGCTAGTTTGAAACAGAAAAAGGAAATAAAATCAAGGAAAGAAATGGAAGAGGAAGAAAGAGAGAAAATGCAGTATGTATTTCAAACACATCTCGTTTTATATAAAATTTTCACATATTAAATACTTCTGTAGAAAACTTTAGTGATGGGCCATAATTATGTGTATCTACAACATGTGTTACCGAATAGTGATTCAATTACAATTATGTTACTCTGATCCTCTCAGAATTCCATTCTGTCAAACTGGAAATCATCCAATTATTTAGCATTTACTTATTTTTCATAATCAGAACAATCAATGATTTGGTTTTCTATTTCTGCTAAAGCAAAAATAGCATTTTATTCTCATTTCATGTTCAAATTATTGTTTTGATATTTCAGAGTATTAGTTTCTAATTTTACCGAGGATCAACTAGACAGATATGAAATGTACCGCCGATCAGCTTTTCCCAAGGCAGCTATTAAAAGACTTATGCAAACCATAACAGGATGTTCTGTATCGCAAAACGTTGTAATTGCCATGGCAGGTATTGCTAAAGTATTTGTTGGAGAAGTAGTAGAAGAAGGTAAGTTGAATTGTAATTATTTGGACTCACTCTCAAGTTCTTTTCTCAATCCTTCTACTGTGGAAAGTGTGATATCATAGCCTTGGGATGTTCCATAGAATGCAAATAGCATACTATTGCATCCTATATGTAAATGTAATTTCGAATGCTGACTATAGATTTTGCAGTATTTGGAAATACACTAAATTTACTCCGCCTATGCATCATGACTTATTCTACTTGAACATTCAGTGTGTTTTAGAAGATGTTTTTTATTTGGTAATCACCTGGTTTGAAATATAGCCTACAATTTTTGACATTTCATTATTTCGTCTAATAGTTTCTATTTGAAATAGGGATACCCAGGAAACTGGACTTTCATTTGAAAAACAGAAACGAATTAATGGAATTTTTAAGCAAATCTCATGCAGAAAGTGAACTTACTCGTCACTGTCTGGTTTCTCTTTCAACTCTGCACACTCTCTGATTGTTGACGTAGGTGGAATGATGCCTCCACTACTCTCTAATCTTAAGGTTATAACGAGTTGCCTCAAAATGGCAGAAATCTTAGCCGGACAAGCACAGAAGGTTGTCATTCTTTGTTTCTTACTATATTTTAGGTTTATAGTTTTCCACAATTTGAAAAATAAACATAGTTGAATATGTAGAGAATATTGTCAAAGAAAAGAATAGACCATATGGTGAAAGCTCGTTTTTTTCCATTGATTATTGAACTAGGCAAAATTTATGAATACCATAAATTACTAACTGATAACACTCTTCAGTGGTTTCTATAACAGAATAACTTTTTGGGGTGAACTTTTCAGTTTAGCCATCTATCGATTTAACTGTGATTATTTCTTAAATTTCTCTAAGAAATAGCGATTACCAAAAAAATTGTTGTTCAGAGAATTGCTGTCTTTCTTGATTCTCTATGTCTGTTCAGGGCATATGATTCTCAAAATTCCTCACCTCAAAGTATAAGAAGTGGAGATTGTTATTGATGCTGGCACGCTCTTCAAGTGGATTAGAGCTTCAGGTAAACAGCCTGACCAGCGACCTGTTTTTTGGAAAAAACTAAATGAGAAACCGTTCAAAAAGAGAAGTTTTCTCGTGTAGACACTTCAAGATGTGATCTGCTTGAAAAAATGATTCAATCATATTTTACTGATGAAAGTTTTACCCTAGCCACTTTCTTGAATTCACTTTTCAAAACTCTTTTTTGACTGTGAAGAAGGGCAAATCTATGAAATATTTAAAAGAGTTATATTTTTAGGAGATATTAGTTTTTGGTAAAGATGAAGAAGTCCAAAGCCATAAAAATAATCATTGCTCACGAGGGGGGCAGTAGTGTGGAACGATGGGGATAATAATGTGGCTCTGAAATTTCTAGTTAGGGGTTTCTAGTGCAAAAAAGACAGTAAATGATTCATTTTGGGAATCTCACAAACATTTTGCTAGTGAAGTAATGGCAGAATCAAAATCAAAGTTTGATTTTATTGAATTAATGAATGATGAAATCAGATTAAATCAAACATTGTAAACTTTCACGGCCGTAAATAACCGTACCATAGCAATTTCCCGGTTTTTTTGGCCGTACCATGACGTTTTCTGCCTAACGTTTCATATACTACTGCGGTAGACATTATCAAAGGACGATAAGCTACCGATACCTGAAATCAGTAAATCTCTATTTCTTAGTCTGATAAGAGTATTGGTGTTATTAATTGCATATGAATGGACTGCTCACAAAATGCCCTCAACTGGCTTGCTTGATTTCACCGAGAGTGGTGCACTTTTTAGAACTCTTCTATTAGCGAACTCCATCCTGGTGGAATAAAGTTCAAGATACTGTTTTCCTAATGAAAATAATCTAGAGTGATTTAAATTGAATGTAAATCTCCAATTTCTCTGATATGCTTTTATTATCACACTTCTTCCTAAATTACATGAAAGCGTCATAAATCATGTATCTGGTAAAAATGTAGGGTCGAACTCTAATATTTTTCCACTCGTCTGTCTGTTTGCTAGGTTATAAGTACCCTTATCGCCCTCCTCCCCTTGGATACGTCCTGATACTTGAAGATCCAATGATACAGTATCATATATTTTCTAACTTTATGCTGATAACAAACAAACTTGTCAACAATACACAACATGATCAACTCCATTTTCAGCTGTAAAAATAAAAAATAATTTAATATTGAACAAATCGAGGATTTTGAGTTGAGATGGTGTAATCACTTCATAAAAAATGCAAACAACATTTTCTATTCATGACACACAAAACAAGATACAACAAAGGTAAGCTTTGCCATAATTTTCAATACAGCTAGCTTCAGTTTTACCTTCCATTCAGAATTCGGAAGCGTTTTTAATTTCAATGAGAGCACTCTGGGTATTATATCCAGTTTCTTTCAAAGTTCAGTCAATCAAGATGCAAATTATACTTATAGTTGGTTGCTTTGTGTAAGCAAAATTAGAATACATTGACCAGGTGACCAGTTCTGGAGCATAGAAGTATTTCTATCATTTTCTTTTAAAGTGTCAAAATTAGAACTAAAACGGTTTGTCCTGTGCATGACCTTCAAGAATTGAATAAATTATTTTAGGTTACCTATTGAATATATCTTCAACCTTGAGAATGGATACTGGCAGAATAGTAGTTGAAAAAAAAAATAAAAAAGTAACCTCTTGCCGTGACCAGGATTCGAACCTGGGTTACCACGGCCACAACGTGGGGTCCTAACCACTAGACGATCACGGCTATTGGAGGTTATACAAGACCTTCGCGATTTGCCGCACTTCGTGATTACAATCGGCCGACGGTGCTTGTTGAAAAGGTTTCCACGTTCACAAATGACAGACAAAAAAGTTTTTTTTGACTCGTGCACGCAACGAACATCCAATTCCTTCACCTAAAAAGCAAATATTCCAACTCCTCAAATATTAATATTAAGAAATGAACAAAATAAAAATAAAATTATGTATCTACTCAGTAGATGCTTGAGTAAACAATAATGACATGCCAAATAGTTTTCATCTTTTTTTCTCTCAATTGAAGTTAAAGATTTACATATAAATCTTCCTGGTTTCGATTTAGAAAATCATGGTAAATTTTTAAATTAAAGTTGGATTTTTTTATGCTTGCAAAGAATAGCACCTATATTCTTTAAAGACTATAAAAATCTCCACAAAAAAAGCAAAACAATTATTCTGATTTGATTGTTTTGTTATTGATGAAAGATTCATTGATTTTTCTAATTTTTATTATTTTAAAAATTGTTATAAACAAATGCATTTTTTGTGAGATATTTTTTTTGGGAATTCTCAGTACTAGGAAGCGTTTTTTCAGTAGCTTTTTTTTTTCGATTTTTCTTTATTTGTTCATTTGATAAACGATTTTTTATTAACCTATGTACTTCAACACTTCATTTTTTTATTAATAAAAAGTTGAATTAACATAGCCATATATCATTTTGATTGACAAAATAATACATGGTTATTTTTGTTTAATTTTTTTCTAGACCAACAAAAATAAAGTGATAATTTATTTGTTTATACATTTTTTTGGCAAATAAACAAATAAAAATTAGAAAAATAAATAAATAGTTATTTAACAAATTAGTTTTCATTGATTAAAAAAAATTTGAAACAATTTTCCGTTGAAAATTATTAGTTGCAATAATCATCAGATTTTCAATAAAATTTAAGTTACCTCATATACAAACAATGGATTTGATAAACATACGGCGTTTATATTTTTCGCTGAATTTGTAAAATGAGTAACTGATTTGAATTTTCAGGACTTGATGTAATGGAAGAGACTGGCGATACCGGGCCAATCCAACCTAAACATCTTAGAGAAGCGGTACGACGAATGAGAAAAGATGGCGGTATTCCTAGTGGTAGAGATTACAGGACACACTACAGATTATGAATTGTAAAATTATAATTTCATTTTATAAAAAATAATTCATGTATCGTGGTTAGAGATAAGGACACTCCCGTGCGACAGACATTTATGCAAGGTACCCAACAGAAGTTAGTCTCGCACATATTTCTCGTTCATCCAGCAGCAGGACCATGCTGAAATCATCCGAGTAGATCACAGACCGGTTTGCATCAGTGCAGGAAAGATCCGACCCGAATGGCAAAGGGCCTGTGACTCGATTAATTGCAGCAAAACTTGACTGCATGTATGAAACCTTCGTCTGAATGTCTCTCAGATATAATTCGATATTCATCGTGGTACTAGCCGGGGAAGTAGTTATTTTCCGGCAGACGTTTACCAGAGATGAAATGAATGTTTCGAAATTCAATTTCGAAATATTTATTTTCTCTTATATATGTACCTCTCCTCGAAACAGTCTTCTGACACCTATTAAAAATTGTCCAGAAGGTCTTGTATATTCGATGAATAAAGGGTATTCTGGTACACTAACACCATCTTTATTCAATGTTTTTAGGGGCACTGTTTATGCCTTTAGTAGTATCATCATCATATAATGTTTTTATCATAATAATTGAAAAATTTAGTCAGCTAGGTCTCAGTCTGTTGAATATTCATTATTATTGAATTGTTATTAAAGTTCAAATTATTTTGAATCAATGTATTCAAGCTGAATAAACATTTGTTTCTATAATTTTCTTCTTATTGCATCTGCATATAGTGTGATTTACAAGGAATTTGAATCAGTGAATTTCAATACCAGTTTCACTATACTATATCTTCTTCAGGCATGTGTATAAAACTTAAAACAGTATTAGCTATTGTTTAGTGAAATACTAGTTGTGGATTTTCATCAAGAATCGACCAAGTCCATCACAGTGATGTTTTCAGAATAAAAAAAATTCTTAGAAAATCAAGTCAGAGGTATAAAAACTTGAACAGTGAAAGGAAGAGCTACCATAAGAGTTATTGTCTGCGAAGATGGCAGGTGATATCTGGTAAAAAATATACTCTTCCCAGCGAGGCACCATTGGCATCACCTTTAGCTTTGCCAAGAAGAGTGTCAGACTTAGGTTCGGTTAAAAGCCACGTGAATTCGTCTATTCCAATACATCGATATTATGAAAAAAAATCTTCGTCTCTCCACCTCGTAACTAGTAGACGAAGCTTACAACATAACTAAACATTTACAGTTTTCTTCAATCATTTGAATGAGTAATAAGTTAATCTTTTCTATGCAAGATGGCGCCACTTGACCATCTACAGATTCCTTTATTCTTGGCATCACTCAAACATTTACAGTTTTCTTTATCCTTTTGGATGAGTGATAAGTTCATCTTTTCCATGAAAGATGACGCCACTTAACCATTTACAGTTTCCTTTATTCTTGGCGCCACTCAAACATTTACAGTTTTCTTTATTCATTTAAATAAGTAAAAAGTTATTATTTTCTATGGAAGATGGCGCCACTATATCTTTTCACACATTCGATAGTATTTTGTATATAGATTTTTTTTTAAACAACCTTATCCGTGGTAAATGAATTTGGCCCTTGTGAAGATGATCATTATTTTCCAGTTTCATACAAAAGTTGAGCATTCGTGGCGTGAATTTGCTCATTTTATCCATTTGCTGTACCTAATAATTAAATTCAAATATTCTTTTTTTAAGTACAATTGTGTAAGACGAATATCTTTGTTTAGTGTTGAGCTGGATTTGTGAGTGTTCTAGATAATAAAAGGATAACACAATGTTTCTTTCTCATTATCTTTGCCAGCCTTACCGACCTTCAATCACAAAACCTTGAGATTCTCCGTTTTGGCTCAATACATTTTCCGAAATATCTACCCAATCAATAAATTGATGGGTGTAGCCTATTTTACTACGTGGTAGGAGATCATCATGAAAAATGAGAAGAGAATGTTTCTTAGTTTTTACACAACCTGTATATGTAACTAACTTCACAGCAGTTTCGTCCTATAAGGACATTTTCAAACCAATACAATAAATTTAAGACCTTAGGACATATTTTTTCATAAGTATTTTTCCTCAAAATGGGACCAACCGTGAATAGCATGTTATAAACAAGAACAATATGTTATGTGATATCGAACTAAAGTTGTTCATTTTTTTTTTATTAATTTCAATAATATGTAATTCATTATAACATTAAAATCAGCAATTCAAAAATAACTTTCCAAAACGCTCAAAGGTGCCAACTCGTTTCCTCCTTTTCATAAAAGAGGATGTACCTATGCATTTCCACTTACAAGCGATTTTGGTGAAATTGTTTTTCAGTTGTTATATTATTATTTCAAATTATTTTGAATCAATGCATTCAAGCTGAATTAATATTTGTTTCTATATTTTTCTTCTTATTGCATCTGCAATAGTGTGATTTACAAGGAATTTGAATCAGTGAATCTCAATACATGTTTCACTATACTATAGCTTCTTTAGGCATGTGTATAAAACAGTATTAGCTATTGTGAAGTAAAACACGAGTTGTGGTTTGGTAAACTGTATTGTGAAAATCTTAAAGTGGATTTTCATCAAGAATCGACCAAGTCTATCACAGTGATGTTCTCAGAATAAAAAAAATTCTTCAAAAGTCAAGTCAGGGGTATATCAACTTGAATCGTGAAAGGGAGAGCTACCGTAAGGGGTACTGTTTGCGAAGATGGCAGGCGATATCTGGTAAAAAATATACTCTTCCCAGCGAGGCATCATTTGCATCACCTTTAGCTTTGCCAAGAAGAGTGTCAGACTTAGGTTCGGTTAAAAGCTACGTGGATTCGTCTATTCTAATACATCGATATTATGACAAAAAACTTCCTTCCCCAACCTCGTAACTAGTAGACGAAGCTTACAACATAATTGAACATTTACAGTTTTTTTTAATCATTTGAATGAGTAAAAAGTTAATTTTTTCCATGGAAGATGGCGCCACTTGGCCATTTACAGATTCCTTTATTCTTAGCGCCACTCAAACATTTACAGTTTTCTTTATCAATTTGGATGAGTAATAAGTTAAATTTTTCCATGGAAGATGGCGCCACTTGACCATTTACAGTTTTCTTTATTCTTGGCGCCACTCAAACATTTACAGTTTTCTTCATTCATTTGAATGAGTGAAAAGTTAATCTTTGCTATGGAAGATGGCGCCACTATACCTTTACACAAATTCAAAAGTATTTTGCATAATTTTTTTTTTTACAAGCTTATCCGTGGTAAATGAATTTGGCCCTTTTTCAGTGGGAAAACTACTTGTGAAGATGAACATTATTTTCCAGATTCATATAAAAGTTGAGCATTCGTGGCGTAAATTTTCTTATTTTTTCCATTTGCTATACCTCTTTCAAATAAGAAAAACACATTATACTTTCAAATATTTACAAAACTTCCAAATTAACACTAACATCATCAGTATTTAAATATTCTTTTTTTAAGTACAACTGTGTAAGACGAATATCTTTTTTTAGTGTGGAGCTAAATTTGTGAGTGTTCTAGATAATAAAAGGATAACACAGTGTTTCTCATTATCTTTCCCAGCCTTACTCACCTCCAATAACAAAACCTTGGGATTCTCCTATTTGGCTCAATATATTTTCCGAAATATGTACCCAATCAATAAATTGATGGGTGTAGCCTATTACTTCATGGTAGGAGATCATCAGGAAAAATGAGAAGTGAATGCCTCTCAATAAAACATATAGATATAGATACTTTACTAATGAAAAAGTATAATTCTTCAGATATAATTATTATCTGCAACAGTTCAAATGCTTTTCAAAAACAAAATATACCCCTTTCAATTCATATAAGTTATCAAATATCATCAAATCCAATGTTTAGGGGTAGATAATTTACACTTTTAAAAAATACTGCCTTTTGAGAAATGTGTCAACCTTAAAAATTAAAGAAATTGTAATAAGCATGTACATGCTTTTATAATTTTATTGCTTATCTAATAAAATATCGCCTTTCAACTCTGGGTCCTCTGATTGCTTCATTTCAGAGTGGGATGCAGAGGCCAACGACTTCCTTATCAAAACACATAACGCATCTTTATCTTCAACTTAGTAATTGTCAGTAATTTTCTACCGTTGCATGGGTTTTACTAGAGGATTCGTGGTGCAGCGGCATTTTTGTGATCTTTATCTTCAGAAATGCTTGTCAAAATTTTCCTGTTGTTGCTTTTGAGTGAGTAGTACACTTTTCAGTATGATGCGAGTCTAGAGTTTTTTACTTGTGCACTAACGAAACAAACGTTTTTTTGTCTTCTATATATAGTTATTTCATTTGTCTAATTTTGAATTTGGAAATTCTAATCAAATATTATTTCTGTTTAGACAAATCGAACAATAATTTAATTCGGTTTCTGGAGGGCAATGAACTTTAATCAAGATATGGTTTTGCTGTTGATCCCGAAATAAATTTTAGATATTCTATTTGTTAGTATATTTTTTGATTTTGTTCTGAATCAGAATAAATATGAATAGTTTTTTTGCCTTCCTAAACCGCGAACTCACAATGACAAACTTTCAAACAATATATCATGTGAATTCCAAATAATTACCTAACTTAATAAGTAACTCCAGTTCAAAACTGAAAGAAACTTTTATTTATGACCTGCATACCTTCGTAAAGAATTAAAAACTCTGGCGTGAAATGAATCTGAAGAAAACACTTTATCCACACCACTTAATCAAGTATCATTAGGAGATGATAACCACGTGATCACTTCTGAGATAAGCGAAACGTTCGTCGAGAGACAGTATTTTGGTTCTGTTGCGAGAAAAGTTTTTTTTTAGTTAGCAGCATGTCTATCGTGATATTCAAAATTCCATTCGCATTCGATAGAACGCGTGAACATCGTTTGTAGATTTCAGACAATAAATTTGTTGTAATTTTTTTAATTTACACTAAATAATTTTGGACATGTAATTTTACAATTCTGCTTCAAATAAATGAAGAAATAAAACATAATTTGACTCACTAACTTCTTTTTATTTTTAGCTGTAGAATTATGTAAGGCATGCGAATCAGACCAGGTGAAACAAGGATGTCTGATCAGAAATCTAATGTGTTCTTGTGGATATGGATGTGTCTCAGATTATAGGTATGACAACATTCAAGAATGTCAAAATGCTCTGAAAGGTGAGTTATTTGAACTTTATACTAGCTATACTAGAAATATCAATTCAAACTGGTAACACATTTTGTCAACAACTCTCGATCCACGACACAATTGATAAAGAAATTAATATTTCAGCATTCCATTCATAGATGTGCCGAGTACCTACAATATATTAGTGATATTGCTTCACAATATCAAGTTGGCACTTCAATTTCAAATATTTTTTACATTCGGAAATAATTTGATAGAAGAAATATTTTTAAAATATGGTCCATAAAAATTAAAGATTTGAACAGAATACGTGTGACAGATTTCGATTATTGTACTTATCATCTATCAACCTATGTAGAAACTTTTGATTCAGTCTCATTACTCTTGCCGATAGTTTTTTACAAAACAAAAGCGAATGAGTCAAAATTAAAAATTGAAGTTCATGACATGGTTGTATTGGACCGTCGAATTGGTCTAAAAGTATATTCTAATGTAGGTAATGTAGGTATTTCAATGTTGAAAGATGCGGACTTTTTGAGCCGTGTTGTTACTGTGGATGAAACTGTGAATCAAACAGTTTAACGAAGCAATTTTCCGAGTTTGTTGACCTTGGTTTGCAGGTTTTCATGTCTGACATTTCATTTATAACTTTGGTAGACATTATCAAAGGCGATAAAGAATCCGGCGGTGTCCTGTTTGCTCTGTGATGACAGCTAGAATACTTTGTCCGTTACCCCATCGCCGGTTATAGTGTATACCGCAGTTGTAGACGAAACGTCAGACATGAATATTTTATTTTCCTACTTATTATATGAACTTCGAAGGCTACGCTTTATTAGCAGATCTAGATATATTCCTATTTTATGAACAAAAATTAGGTTGTGACGATATCTGTTTGATGTTTAGGTAAGAAAAAAGACCTTTGTAAAACCCACAATCCATGTTTACACAATGGAACATGTATTCAAATTTCCCAGCAACCAGGATATAAGTGCAGATGCGAAGGAACTGGCTACTTTGGACTTCGGTGTAGCAGAGGTAATTTTTTTATTTGTTTTTTTTTTACTTTCCTATATGTTTTTTTTTCTGAGGTAATTATTTGAAAGTCAAAAGTATTGCTAGAATTACTAGTATGCTTGAGTAAAATAAATAGCGAAATGCTTACAGAATATCTCAATACATCAAATTCTGGTTAGATCAAATGTCAAAATGTGAACTTTCTCTTCAGTCTGTTAATATTTAAACATATATACTATTCGATATAGCAAGCATTCGATAGTTAGTGAAACTTGTTGATACTTGAAAAACTTTACATATCAAGTGCCAAGAAACTTTTTATATTTTTTTATCAAGATACCCTTTGTATTCAAAAAGATATTTGTAATTTGATTTCAGCTTTCAATCAGTCCATCAAGTTAGAGGTTTTCTAGACTCTAAATTATAACAGATTGATGAAAACAGAACCAGAAAACAAATTATACGAAGTATAGTAAAGAAATAAAAATAAATCTGGGGTACCTAATAACGTCCAATTCCAAAATTCTTTCTTTATGCAGAACGATATAAGAGTAATTTTTAGTGTCTATATATGAACAAATTATTGATCCATGCATTTGTATTGACTTGATTTGAAGTAACATGTTCAAAAAATAACAAATTTTTATACTGGAGTACCAAGTCAAAAAATAATATTTAAAATAAAAAAAATGTATGTCAGGGCATTTGTGCAAAAACTTTTTTCCTTGGTTAATTGTAGTTATTTTAAATGCATGTAAATATATTGTTTGCATGATAGGATAGAATTTGGAATCTTTGATGATTTCATGATGATACGAACTATGTTAGCGAAACGCGCATCGAGGGACGGCATTTTCTTCTAGCAAGGAAAAAGTGTTGTCAATAGACTTTTTTACGATTTGGAAACTTATTTTGAGTTAAGAACGAAATTGTTTTATACCTGACTTTCAAAAAATAAGTCAGTTTTGAAATTATTTATGATCGAGGTTCTAAACAAAAATATTATCATTGTGATAGAGCTCAAAATAACACGTTTTATAGTTGGACCGTGAACTGCATTAATCATTGAATAGAATAGGAAAGCGATAAAGTAATAAAGCAATGATATATTGATGATCGCCTACATTATAAGAAATTAAAATTGATAACCTTTTAATCTCTATATAGTTTGTTGTAAACTCCAGTTCAGAAAGCCACAATTGATTATTTTCCATTTATTTCACTGTTTACAGAACACTAGGTTTGATCTAAAAATATTTTCATTGTATAAAGCGATTTTTTCGTAAAATTTCATTATTATTCATTCATGCATCTGAAAATAATGCTATATTCTATTCTGTATCCAAGATAGGAAGGGCCAGTATGGGAAAACGGGAACCGTGGGTTATACAAAGTCGAATAAACTTAGAAAAAAATGCCCATTTCATAATGTATAAAAAAGATTGAGATTGAAATTTAGGAACTTGTCAATACTTCTGAAGATATTCAAAAAGAACCTTTATTCGCCAATTCCGTTTTAATTGTATGATGTTATTCGACAAGATATTAAAAAACAAGTCCTCATTGCCACTTTGGGCGCAAGTACAATGCTTTGGGTGTGTCCGATTTTAAAAATCTGGAGCCGAGCGGGCAGATGCGATACCACGTGATCACAGAGCCAACGGCAATTTGACATTTGTGATATCATTTATCATCACAACCTCAAACAAATGATCGATGAAGTATTTTTCTACAACAGAACTACAATTAATAATTTTCTTTTTGAAATGCAAATATTGCATCTATTCGAGAATGATTTTCGTTGAAGAAGTCATCGTTATGTCAATAACAATTCACCAATAGTTAATTTTTCAAAAAATACTTCAAACCCAACCAACTATTTTAAATGTAACAAGCGACTATCTGCATTATCGAATGCTTTCCAAGCGAAGTCAGCTAATCAAGCGCTCAGATTTCTATTAATGGAATATACCACGCTATACAAGATAGCCTTTACAGATATTTAATTACGGGAAAACCATTACTGTCACTAATTTCAGTATTTTATGTGAACGGAAAAAAATAATCCGTTATTGGGACAACTTCTCTGGTCTATCATTAAAACAGTAAATTTTGAAACGTTACTTAAGTAAGCTCTGAATTGAGTAACTTTTTCCTAATTCAAACAACTTTAAATCTCTCACGGTTCAGATTTTTCCATGCCGGCTCTCTTTATCTTGGTCATATTGCATTTTTCTGATTGACTCAAGTGTTACTTGAAGAAGATCCATAATGAATTCACAAACAATGCTGGAAACGATTTGATTTTCACAAACTTAATTTCCAATAGTAACACATACTTCGCTCTCAGTATGTTATTCACTATAAAAAAGCTACTGTGATAGCGAAACATGTCTTGATCCTATTGTAAAGGAAGTTTGAAGATCAAATCGTTTCCTGTGTAGTTTGTGAAATATTGTAGTTTGATTTTGTACAGTAACTCAAAATCTTTTTCAGCATGTCCAGTAGTTGGAGCAGGAAGGGTTGCTACGATTATTCCCTACGAGTGTATTGTAATATAAATAGAAATAAAATTAAACTAACACTTATTTTTATCCATTACTTTCCAGTACCTGTATCATACGAGTGACGATCTGTACAAAAAAAAGGCAAAACTGCAATCATACAGGTCACACATAGTAATGATTGTGAAAATGATGACATCTCTGGGACAGATTAATATGAAATTTATTTCGAAATATTTATTTTCTTATACGTATATATCTCTCTTCGATAGTTTTTACTTTTGATTTCTGTTAGAGTTTTGATATATGGGATGTTTCTTCCCCGTTTGGGGCTTTGTTCACGATATGGAGTTGTTACTAGTTAACAATCTTCCTCTGAGACAAAGGTTTCATATATGTAGCGTGGCCGTATTGAATTTAATCGAGTCCTAGACACTTTTGCTGTCTGGGTAAGATCTTTCCTGTACTGTACTCGAAACCGCGATCTGCAGGTGATCTACGTGAATAATTTCATTATAGTCCTGCTGCTGGATGAAACATCTGCGAGACTAGCCTCTGTGAGGAATCTTGCGTAAATATATGTCGAATATAATTCAATAACCAGCGAGGTATTAGCCGGAAAAGTAGTTCTTTTTCCGCAGATATTCACCAGAACCTACCGTGTAGCTAGTTGGGAGAGATTAATATTCCGAAATATTCATTTCTTTATAACTAAAATGCTGTCAGGAAATGAGTTCTTCACTTCCAAAATATCAGTAGATGCAATGATCCTATCACATATGGATCATTAAGGCAATGAGGAATAAAAAGGGTATGAGATTCTAAACTAAGACAAAAAGCCATAACTCAAATCCGAAAATTTCAGGTTTTCTTATAGAATGTTTATTCAATCAACCAATAGATGGCATTGTGGAAATTTGACATTACTATATAATTTATAAAATTCACATTTTCTTATCGAAAAATCTAAAATTTAGGAGTTTACAGCATAGTTAGTTTACAATGAGTATTTGAAAAAAGCAAGTACAACAAAAAATTGAATACACTGATGAAAGTTTATGTATGTTTAATTTTCATCAATGCATGAGAATAGCGTCGTTAAACTATTTGAAATAGGAAAACTGCTCGTATTTTTCCGATTTATTTACTTAGCAACACCTTTTCAATATCCTGCTAAACAAAAAAAATATGTGGAAAGAGATCATCATCTCAAAAAGCTGTCAAAGCTTCCAAAACCATGTTTTTGTGGTTGAACACAATAATATAGTATCAAAATTGTACTTTGAATAAATCAAACAAATTTTTCAATAGTATTCACTTATATATTTATTTCCTTGAAATTAAAACAATTTACAAATAGAAGATAATCCACATTCAATTATTTCGTTTTTATTTCAAAAACTGCACCACAGTACCCACATCAACGCATGTATAAAAATTATAAATAAATAAAAGAGGTCGCCTAAATATAGTAAAAATACATTAGAAAATATTACATCAGAAAAAAAATTACATCAAATGAACACGATAAAGTTTTTTTTTTTTATCGAGGAGACATCATTATCACAGAACACAACTAGTATTTAGCAAGAAAAACTGATTCGAGACGAGAGAATATTTTAAAACAAACATTTTTCACCGCGCCTTCGAAATCAAACTTTGATCCTTAAGTCATTCTTTTGAAATGCTTGAATTTATTCAAAGAAGTTCATATTATGGATACTGGGAGCTGTTGCGGGCACTGGCAGACTGCAAACTAACGTTACACCTAAACGGAGTCTAAATAAAAATTACAAAAGGTCTTACAATGTACAGTTTACTTATGGATGCAGTCTTCTCTAGATCATATTCTAATATCTTAACTCTGTATCCTTATAATAAATTCATTGTATTTTATATTTGTCAATGGATTATCATTTTTATTTTTGGTTTTCAAGCAGTGTTCAATCTGTTTAAATTCAATTTTTTTATATATTACGCAGCATAATTTTTGTTCAAATTTCAACACGTATAAACATTAGCTACAACTATTTGGTGTATACGTTAACCAAAAAGAGTTCCTTGCCCTCATTTAGACTTTTTTTGTTGCAACTCCATTTCCAAACAATTCCAGGCAAGACTATCGAAGTTGTAAGCTGAAGCATTCCTCAAAGCCAAATTGCTCAAGTTGAATATTTTGTACTGATTCAGTTTACTTTCACGTCCAATTACTGTTCACATTTGCTTTTATTAAATACAACTTGGAAATGATTTCGACTTTTTGAAAGATGATGACATATCATAGACAAAAACACCTATTTTGTCATCAGCGATATTCTTGCCCGCAATCATGAGATATTGTTCTTACATACAGACTTACTTTATAAAATACAGTATATAATTCCAACTCCATTGCTAACAAGAGAGTAAGTTAGTTGCTACAGTTTTGTAAATGACATGAATGAAAATGACTTAATGTTGAACATTAAAATTATTCGGGCACGGCACCTGGTATACGAAGAGTACGTGCATCAGATGAGAATCCCTTCGAGCCGTCTGGTCCTTTTGGTTGACGCATCAACGTCAACTTTGGCCCAGTATCGTCTACCGATATGGTGCGCAGTCTACTTATTAGTCTTTCTGGTCTAGCTTGTACATCACTAGAAATGAGAATTGATATTGGTTTGGTGTCATTCATTTTGAAAATGTATCAGTTATTTGATTTTTCAATATACAACTTCATTATCCCAAAAAAAAATTGCCAACAAAGCTAAGAGGATCTTGGGTCTCATGAACAGAATAACTTTCCATTTCACAAATATATTCTCATTAAGAACTTTGCATCGTATACTTTTTCAATTATGACAATTTCAAGCAAAATATATTTTTAGATTATCAGCAAACAGAGCAAATGCTATTTCTCTTCATGATATAATAAGTTGTAAGCTGAAACGGTCCCCCTCTTCAACATCATCTATAACAGTTGTCATTAGCTTGTGTTCATGTTAATAGCTACCAGAGTATCACGACGGATTCAAGCCAATCTCAACTAGGTTTATTCTGACAATAAAAATATCTAATCAAAACTAGATTAGAACTCAAGACCCAGAGTCGAGCACCAAGCACTCAATCTCTGCATCTTATTAATATTCACATCTATTCAACTGAATCTCTGATTGGAAACTAAATTTATATTTCATGTAGATCAGGCGGTGACATTTACTTTTCTGATATTCATAGAGAATGCAGTATCAGATTTCAAATGGTCAATAATTATCGATAAGGTTTTTGGTAAATTATATGATTTGTATGCATTACTTGAAACTGAGGTTTTTCAGTGATAATAATAATAATATTGATGAAAAATAGAATTGGACCAAGTATAGAGAAAAATTTCTACCAATGATGGATCTTTAATGACATCAAATGATGAATAGCTGAATGGTACAACTGAATGTGAAACACAGCTCATGTTCAGTTCAATTATTATAAACAGAAGAAACTGAAGGACAGATAAAATGACCTACTCTGGTCAATGAGAAGTACAAGAAAAGATGTTTTGTAATAAAAGCTGATGACGTTTTTATTTTACTGTTCGACTTAAAGCATATTGATTCAGGCGTGATTATATTGGTTGATTACCTAAATCAATACAAACACACTTTATGTAATTTACCTAAGCCAGATACAGGTAATAGCACACCAAACTACCTGAATAGTCAACATAAATACACGTTAAGCATCCGTAATATCCAGTCATCGGATATATTATCGCGCCAGCGAAACCTCAGGAAGAAATTCCAAAAATCCACAACCTTCAAACCCGGAAAATAGTGACACTGAATCATCAAATACTTTCCACAGATGCAAATATAACATTTTCAAAGATACTAACCTCACTTTGACAACATTACAAGCCGATGACTTGCCACTTCTATGATTCGTCACAAGCACAAATTCCACAGTGTCTCCTACTTGAAGACCTGCGTTGTCTTTAACTTCAGTCATATGGAAGAATAGCTTTTTGCCTTCTTCAACTTCATACGCCAAAAATCCAAAGTGACCTTTGATAGCATCCACAGTGGCCCTCAACTTTTTTCTCACCGCCACAATGTTGGCAGCCCTACCTGTGGAATCTACTTGAAATTGAACATGGTCTCCCACTTGAAGCAGTTCTCTTTTATTGACGAGACCCATGATACCAAATTCATACTCCATCGGTTTTTCATTTGGATCATCGCTTTTGATTCTGATTAGTCCAGAATACTCAGTCTGGTCAGGATTAACTGATCTTAACGGTCTAACAATTGTTCCTTCTAGAATTTCTCCACTGAACGGAGGTAGAGAAATGGTTCCCTTTGGTACAATTTTGACATTTTCTGCAGAAGAGCAAGACCCAGAATTACCTCTAGTCCCCAGATTGTATTCAACTTCTTGACCCAGTTCCAAAGTAGGGGCTTCACCATCAAAATTGCTATAAATATAAAATATGTATCTTAGGAAAGTTCTACAATTACTTTGCAAATATATCAGTACAATATTCAACTACTTTTAGTTATTTTTTCACGTCACGAAATTCATTAACAGAAATACAGTGAAACATTTCTATAAAATTGGATATTTTATTTTTTATATATAGAAAATGAGTAATAAGTGCCATTTAATTGAAAACCTGACCTCCCAAGACAAAAATTATCATTATGGGGACATTCAACTAAATGGCATCTGAAAATTTCATGAAACTTTAGGTGTGCAAAAAATGCAACAGTTATAAATAATCATGTTGAAAAAATAATAAATTTCATGAAGGACAGAGTGGAGAAAGGTCGAATTCAGAGAGGGCTATTTGATAAGATTATTCAGAGTCATCAATGGTAAGTTTCATCAAATGTAAATACACTCTGGTACATCTCACCTGAAATGAAAAAAAACTTCTTTATCATGCTGAATGGTCTCAATGAACCCAAACCCATCTTTCAGAGCTGCAATAAAACCTTGATAAACTTGTCCGTTGTGTCTAGAGACTGCATGTTTCATCCCATTTGCCTGTGTAGCTGGCTGTATTATTTCTATATCTGTTGCTATCAGTTCCTTGTTTCGTTTAACTTGATTTATACTGAAACGAACCTGTGAAATAAAGTAATAAAATTCTACAAACTTTTAAAATTCTTAATTAAAGGATGAATGGAACTATTTATTCAAGAGAAGCTGCTATTTTTATTATGTCATTTAACTCATTATATTGAATTAAACTCATACGAATATTTTCATTGAAATATATCGTCGAAAGAAATGTTACATTTTGCCCGCGAGTTCTTAGAAAAATGTCACTCGATACAACGGAAAATTTTTTTTTCAATTTTTCTGAAGATTTCAATTGACTCACGAGATATTGTTAACAAAATCATATTATCTTGATTATAACACACACCTCCTGAATATTGAGAGGTTTTTAATTGTTTTGAAGTGTTGCAGTTTTTATATTAGCGTATCCACATTGTCACAGATAAACAAAATTCAGGTACTCAATTAAGTTAAATACCTCTGTTATTACCTACAGTGGTGTTATATAATGTAATCAATCATTTTTAGTTTAGGACGAAACTACAGTAACGTTAGTTACAAATAAAAGTGGTAAAAAACATATTTTTCATTGATATTACGAAAGATAAAACTAACCTTATCTCCTGTTCTTGGAAAATGTTTCAAATTACAATCTTTGGAGTAGAAGGGAATTGTCTTCTTTTCGCCATCAACATTATAGGTAATGAGTCCGGACTCAACTGCAGCCTCAGCACTGACTCCGTTCTGATTTTTGATAGGACTACGATTGTTCCAGTTACTCAGAGGAATATCATTTGTTACAATACCCGTAAGATCATTCTCTATTCTAATTTCAAATTGTACAGTACCAGGCGGTAACCATTTCATTCTAATGGCACTTTGTCGATTATTCGAATACAAGCTTGAACTTGTTTGATCCTGGACTACAGTGAACTCAAATTCGTCACCTGCTTGAACTATTTTGCTTCGGTCAGCATCGAGAACTTCGCTGAAATGGAAAAACAACCTAGCCTCCCGCTCGACACATTTCAAAAAACCAAAACCTTCCTTAATAGATACAACAACTCCTTGCTCTCGTTTCTCGCCAGATACCCTAGAAAATTAATAAAAACGTATATATTTTCAAAAGGACAAGTTTTCAATTCAACTTACTTGAAACTCTCATCTAATAAGATAATGTTAGTGGCTCTATCTAAACCATCTCTTCTGTCTGTGGCAACCTGGAACTGTACCCAGTCACCGTGGCGTAAAGTGAAATCACCCGATTGGTCTTTTTCGCTGAATGAAATTTCTACTTCTGCATGATCAGGTGCTCTAAATCTTATACGACCCGGAAGGGCTTCATTGGGATTGCGAGGACCCCGGTCAATAGGTTTCAAAACTTGGCCTTTGATGATTTCGGGCTTCACATCTTCGAATATTACTGTACCAGTTGGTAGACGAATGATGTTACATGCCACTTCCTTTCCCTGGGAACAGCAATTTTCATTTATCTGGGTATGTGCTTTGAAAGGAAACTTACGTTGCGTGTTTGGATGATATATTCCACATCAGTTCCCAATTTCAATTCTTCTGTGGTTTTGGTTTCTGAGAAGTGAAAGAATATTTCTTTCACAATATCAGCTCTCTCAATAAACCCAAAGCTTTCTTTCATTGAACAAACAACACCTTGGTACTTCACCGGATGGGCTGGATTTTCCAGACGTACATGGCATGCACCAAGATTGCCACTAAAAATTTTATACCTGTTTAAACGAATATCTCATTTGTATTTAATGGATCCATGGACTCATTGGTTATCCCACATTCAAGTTGGTTATCCCAATAATAGTTGAATAAAATTATTATGGGGCAAAATAAGTCTCATTATTGCACTCAAAATTATTTTTCAAGTTAATAAATATCCTAAGATGAATATAATCTAAACTAATCAAAATACACATAATCGATGTCAAAGATAACTGTAAGCTTTTTATTATTTCTGCATGAAAGGACACAACACAATCAGAAACTTTAGTTTTGAAAGTTGCTTGGTCAATATCTTTACATTACAGAGGTTGAATCAGTGAAGGTCTAAGGAGCAGACATAATACTAATATTCCTGTCTGGTATTCTATATAATTCAAACGCAAACATTCGAACCCAATTCAAAGGAGAAGAAACCTCAAATTTAAAAGTTTTCTGAAAATTCCCAATAGAATGTTCAGTGGAACTCTGGAGTAATGTTTCTAACAATATGCCTTTGATAAACTTGTGATGCACTTTTAATCTTCCTCTTGAAAATGATCACTTGGTGATCGAAATACATGTTGAAGTATTAAAAATAACGGTTTGATGTTGGGATAAAACTCCAGTAATATGCCTTTGATATTTAAAAAAAGTGATTGCACATATCTCTCCGCGGCCATATAAAAAAGAGTGTAACACTAAAATTATCTGTGCATTTTTTCGAGTAGATAATAAAATAAGATGAATTCTATATAGGATGTCCTTAAATATACGATGATTGGTACCTGAAATAACAAAATTTTACCTGAATAATCTATACCATGCATACCATCTATACTATGCAAGTGTCTACTCTCGATAATTAGCTATTCTCAACTGTCCAAGAATTGTTAGATCTGCGAACCCGAATACGCCTAATATACCCCCTTTCAATTTAATTTTGATCCACATCTACATATTTATGATGTTGTGATAAATGATAACAATGACCTTATATTTTTATGACAGGGTTATCTTGATTTTGAAAAAGTCAGTACATCATTATCACAGTCTATACTATATCACTAATACCATAATCATCTCAGCTACTTATTTCCTTAGAATTTGTATTACTGCTCACCGGTTATTTGTCGCGATTTGGAAACTAACTTTATCACCAGATCTCAATGTGACATTTCCTTCAACATCATCTTTTGTGTAAGGCAGAAAGAAACATTCTCCTCGATTTTCGTAGCTGATTCTTCCAGTTATATCTCCACCTGAAGTTTCAGATACTCTGACTTCCGTAGTTACTGTTCCCGTTACACGTTCTTCACTCATTACCTAAGTAGAAGGTAGAACATCATTTGATATTGTACAATTTGATTGCTAGTTTGATAAGCAGAACTTTGAACCTTTGGCGTGAAATTAATCTACTGAAAAACTTTTCCCTCGCCAGAGCAAAAATGATGTCTCTCGACACACGTTTCGATGACCAAGTTTGCATTATCAGGAGGTAACGAGTCAATAGACAGGGTTTTTGTTCTGGTGGGGAAAAGTGGGAAAGTCATCATCATGGAGATGTCCAAGTCATCTCCTGATGATGCTAACTTGGTTAGCAAAACGCGTATTTTTGTTTTGGTGTGGGAAAAGTGTTTTCATTAGATTGATTGCTAGTAAATGCAACTTGAATTTCATACAACTTAACAATATTCATCTAATATTATTCATGCATAAAAAGGGACTAGTGGTTAGGTTATGATGAAATTGTTTGAAAAATGAAATAATCTATCCAAAGCACTTATTCATAATTTTCCATTGCCATCTCAATGGCAATTATTTACTTTACCTTAGAAATTTTATGTGAAGCACATTGAAAAACAATCTATGCCATAAAATGGCTCAATTTCTATGAAATAGTTATTTACCAGGAAAATAATTTAATGATTGTTTATGAATAACAATAACATTCAGAAAACTATATGTAGCAAGATGATAATATATTCTTATCTTATCTTATATTCTTATCAAATTATTCATGTTTATCAATCATCCCACTCTATTATAAGCTCTGCTAATAATATTCTCTAGTAACTGTAGAATTGCATAGGTTTCTTCTATATTCAAATCTGGTAGCAAAAGTGATATGAATAATTATAGGACCATTTCAGTTCTTCCTAAATTTTCAAAAATTATCAAAAAGGCAATGAATAATAGGTTGATAGAATATATTTAGAGTCAATAAATTATTTGTATTCAGGTCAGTATGGCTTTTGCAGATCAATGATACAGTCTGCAGTAATGGATGATATTTCTAATATTCAACAATTAGGTAGAGATATGAAATGTGGATTATCTCTGGATTTGCGAAAAGCATTTGACACAGTTATTCATTATATTTTATTGAAAAAATTGAATAGCATTGGTATTTCAGGTATTATAAATAGACGGTTTGAAAATTATTTATCTAACAGAATACCTTTTATGTCTAAAAAAAAAATGCCAGTTCATTGAAAACTATCACTTGGGGTGTTCCATAAGGGTCTATTTTGGTTCCAATTTTATTTTTGATTTACTTAAATTGTTTCAAAATTATTGTTGAAAGGAAATGTTAAGTTATACGCAGATGACACAACATTACTTTTTTTTTTTCTAGTGATACTAAACTAAACCTCTTGGGTGAATTATCATGAAAAGTCTTCTCTAATGTTGATAACTTAGAATAAAATTACAAAGATAATTTGACTTTTAACAATCAAATTGTTGAATATTGTCAAAATATAAAATTTTTAGGACTACACTGATGAAAATTTTTGTTGAAATACTCATATTGACATGTTAAAAAAAATCGGACCAATTTTAGCAACGATAAATATTATTATTCTATTGAAAGTTTAAAAATAAAATTTCAAACTTGCGAACCTCTTCTTGAAAAAAAAAAAAAACATTTGGTAATAAAAAAGTTATCACCCAACTCTTGAATTTAATTTGAAAAATCAATGTTCACTAATCAAATCAGGTTTCAATGATGGCTTCAAACAGAATGCTGTGCGTCAACTTAAAATTTTTATATGACATACAGCTAGCAAAGAGCCATTTAATTGGTAAATTTTAGAATGTGAACCTCTTTATTTTCGTCACTTTTGACTTGTTTGATATTCATTATTCATAAGACGACGTGATGTGTTGTTATCTTGTCTCTATAAATTACTCTATCACTTAGTCTTAAATTAAAGCAGATAATTTTGATTTAGAAAATAGAATGACATAATTGAGCTTTTCCATAGAAGAGTGTACAATGTGCCGCTGCGAACGTGAAGTCACAGGAAATATTGGGAAATTCATCTGATCATTAGGACAGATTCAAACAATTTTTTGGGTGGTAAAACAAAAATGAAATTGGAAGCTTTAGGAGGATAATTTCTTATTATTATTGAGCAAAACAATTCAATAATATGATGTATGGAACTGAAATTACTTACTACCTCTGGAGCAATTTTGGTAACTGCACTGGCTATGGGTTTACCAGTTCGTCTGTCATATGTCATTTCAAATTCAACAGGATCTCCAATTTTCAAGTGCTCAATAGTACCGCTAAACTGACTGAAGTGAAAAAATAAACGTGCTTGACGCTCACAACACTGGATGAATCCATAAGAGTGCTAAAAGTAAAACAAACATGTATGAATATAGTTGACATTTCTTGTGGAGTGGTAAAGGATTGACAGAGAAACCTAAAAGTGGAAAGTTAACAAAGTAGAATGAATGAAGTAGAGGACTATAGAACCAAAATATTCAAATGAATTCATCAGAAGACCATCCAGGCGTACCAACCATACAGGTATATCAACCTAATGGCTGGATGGTTTACCTGCATGGGTTACCTATATGGCATAAATAGGGTTAGCTCGCATTAGTTTCTAGTTTTAATCTTCCTCTTTGAAGATGATCACTTGGTGATTGAAACACGTGTCAAGGTGTTAAAAATAACGAATTGGTGTTGGGAAAAGACTTCAGTAACTGGAGGAGCATTAGTCAAATGCACCTGACGATAGAAAGCAACGACCATCCAAAATAGAGAGAGAGAGAGAGAGAATCCATAACACTTGTAAATTTTCATTATCAACACAATCTTTGACCAAAAACTCAATAATGTTTGAGATCAAAAAAATATACAATCATTGTTTATCAATTCAAGCTTAGGAAATAATATGTATGCACTTTTAATTTATATATGTCAATTTCTGTATTGTACTATACATCAAGCCTACTTTATCAGTTCTTGGAATCGCTATAGACGCTGGCTTGAACTGGAAAGAACATTGTACCAACTTGATCTCAAGTTATGTTCAATGTTCCCAAACCTTAGGAACATTCTCTTAAGTGAACAATTATTCGTTTTATATCATGCCCAAGTAACATCCCCATCACGATATGGGTTATGCTTCTGGGGTGTTTCCACTCGAACACCTTACGTATTTATTTTACAAAAATGCGTTTTAAGAATTATTTGCGATACCCTAAGAAAATCTTTCTGTAGACCGCTTGTAGACAGATAAGTATTTTAATTTTAGAAATGTGTGTATATGTATTCACAAATAGAAATAAGTTTACCAGAATTCAACAGGTCCGTAGTTATAATACGAGGAATTACGCTGATTTCTACATTCTCCACAGTAAATACGTTGTATCTTCCAAATCTCCCGAGTATTTGAAGATCTCCCGAAGATTTTCAATGAACTGCCCAAAAAAATAGTTCTGCCAATGTTAGTATTTTTAAAACTCGCTTGAGAACATATTTAACTCGACAATACTTTTCATACATACTCTTTAGATCATAAGTGACTATATTATTTATTTTCAATTTAGTTTTAGTTTCTGCAAAAAACAGTAAAATACCAAAAGGGCACATGAAGCTTGTTTCCATCCCTTGAAAAAGTTACTTACCAGAAGTTTCTCTATGATCCCAGTCTCTCTGGTACCCAAATTTGAGGAATTGGAAGAGTCATTGTTATAGCTGACGCTGCTGCTGCTGTTTCCATTCGAATACATACTACTGCTGTTGTTCATTGAATTGTCGCCACTGCTGTTGTAAACATTGTTTGTGTCGATGGAAAATGTTCCGATGGGAAAACGTGGTGATGCGTGTGTCGTGCTTGAGGAGCCGTACAGGCCGTTGTTGTAAGGTGAAGACTTGTCTTGCAGCAACGGAAAATCACCAAAACGAGAACTTGAAGTTGATCGATTGAAACTGTATGATTGAGAAGGCTTGTTTGCTGAAAAGATAATGAAGATGGATAAAACAAATGATCATAATAATAATAATATTAAAACAGAAAAAGGGCATAATTCATTCATTTTCAAATATATGTCTTATTTTTCATTAACAACAATCAATAATTACTTTATTGAATGAGAAAATATTACTCCTCGAAGAAAAACTCACAAGTTTTATAAGCACAAATTCAATGTCCCCTCTCATGAACAAACAGATATTGTTTATGTATAAAAACATGGCATTCAGCGATAGCCTTGAATCCACAAAAAAATGACAGTTAAAAAAACAGATAAAAACTATGCTACCCAAACCAAAATAATGACTAATCCTCTTGACAAGAAACTAAATATTGATAAAGGGGAAATTCCAAACATATTTAATTCACAGGGTGGTTCACCTCTCAATTTGAAGCAAGTTGGAAATGAAATTTTGAGAGTACAAACCAAACAAAAACTAAATGAATTTATAAATTTAAAAACAATAAGTCTGAGGCAGCTGTTTTTATTCATGGTTGGGACAATTATTCTGACTGACAAAACATACAAAGGAAACCACCATCTTACCTCAAAATTGCTCAATCAGTTGACAAAAACAGTAAATTCCAACGGGCAAAGTCAAAAGTGTGGATGTATATTTATCGAGTAGAAAAAAAAGTTGAAAAAATTAATTTTAAAAACTATCTGAACGAAAAAACAGCAGATCCCAAGAAGAACTTTAATGTGAAACTCATCAGAACTGACAACCATTTGAAAACGTTCATAATAGCTGCCGATTTCAAGTTTAAAGAAAAATTCTACAAACTTTTCTTCTGGCCTAGTGGCGAAGGTTATAGAAACTTTGACTTCAGAAGAGATAAATTCATTCCGGAAGACAGCAACAACCAAACTAATTCTTTTTTAGGGATAAATAATCCGGCAAAGAGATACCAAACAAAAAAAAACGGTCATTTGATAATTTTTAGTTCTATTCTATTCTATGAGGTGAATTCAGAATCTTCTAAGCCACTATTCCGAAATTCTAAAATACTAACGTTACCTTGTCTCTACATCTTGAACTTGATATTGTTTATAAAGGACAATGAAAATACGTTTCTGTAAAATGATCAAATACATGCACATGATACAAGGAATAAGGAAAATATTCATCTGCCCTTTTCCAGGCTTCTCATTGGTCAAAATTTCCCAAAATATGTTGGTGTAAAATGTTTCAATAAGATGAAAAATCTAATAGATATGAGCGGTAGCAAGTCAGCAGTTAGGACTAGAATATCAACATATCTCAGCGATAAAGCTTTCTATAGCGTAGAAGAGTTTCTGGGCTCCTGATTATATTTTAAAATTATAATTGTACAAACCTCAACTGAATTCGTTGTGTAATTATTATAATTGTACATTCTTATTATACTCTTTTTTATATATTTATATCACTAAATAGTGTCCCGTTGCTGCAGTTGTACCATATTCCCACTTTATAATCCCTTTGTCCATCCCTATTTTTTATTTACATATTGTATTGTCTATATTTTATCAATTTTAGTCAATCTACTTTATATACGAATATTTTTTTTTTTGACTAGTCCGATAAGTTACATATTCTGTAGTTTTCACCACACAATGTGTATTCTTTTGTGATGAATAAAATGATTCTGATTGTTATGAAACTGTAGAGTTTCAATGACCAATGAAAGGGTTTGATTGAAATAAATATTATTTACGAAATCAGTATCAGTATTCACTTTTTCTATACATAAATATTTCTGGAATCATTTCTAAACTTTTTCAATGCCACCAATACAATAGTCAATAAATGGGTTCCATATGTAACTAGCATATTCCAGATGCGAACTTACAAGTGTCTTTTATAAAGTGTCATGCCTACATTTGTTTAGAAATTTTTCCAATATATACCTTCACAGTATTTTTTTTGAAAGATGTAAACTTAGTTGGTGAAATGCGTCTCATGATCAGTGAGTGATTTGCCTTACTGTAAAGTAATTTCATTTTGTGTTTTGTTATAAATCATTAAGATTATATTGCACGCATAATTTGAAATAGATATATATTTTATAGACGGAAATATTTTCAGGAGATATTAGTTTTTGGGAAAAAGTTTTTTTGTTTGTTTGCCGCTTTTATTGTACAAATATGGAGTAGTAGAAAATCAAAAAGCTTTTCATTTTTTTTCAAAAAAAGATACTTTTGATTATTACCAATGAAACTATCTTCACATTTCATACAAATTGAGAGGCTTCCATGAACGAATAAAAAGAGTGATAGTTAAAACTGAAAAAAAAACTTTAGTGAAAACTTACCGTTACTAGTCATAGGCTTGAAATCTAAAATGCTGCTGTCTTGATTTGTGTCGGGAGGCGGCTGGAAGGATTTCCACTGAGGATTCGTGGACATGTTTTCAGTTCGGTACAATGATTTAGCTTCTTCACACTTCTTCTTATCGTTTCTTAAGTGTAGTGAATATCACAGAATGGTTAATCGGTATTTTTAGAACAAATACCGCACAGAGTCAATTATGGCAGCCGATACCGAGCAATTATTCAAAAAAATACCCACTTTAAAAATGATTCGATTCGCAATATACAATATATGCAACTGGCATCAACAAGTTCACAATACTTCATAAAGAAAAACAATCGAATTATAAAAAATACAATCCAGTCACTCAAAATTTGTATGAACGAATGAAAAATTAAATAAAAATCCTCAGATGTCTTCAATGCGTGCTGGGTGCGTATTGTGCTGTATGCTCATAATTTTTATCAAGGCCAGTGGTTGCGCAGGATACTGGTTACTTCGAATTTTCTATGCTAAATTTTGAGGTTGTTAGTTACACAAGCTGAAACAGAACAAAAACATTTACTTTTACTATAAGGAAAATATTCATAATAATAATAATAAAATTTATTTATCCTTGTTGACTGACATCAAAAACATTATACATGTCAGTATAAGAGATAAATGTGCTATTAATAATAGTTTAAAATAAATTAATTTGCTTAGACTAGAAGATATTTTAGATAGTCCAAGAGAAATTCACCAATACCATAGTAAGACTTAGATACTTTTAAAATTTAATGGTTTCATACTTCAGTGAATACATGATTTTTATGAATTCTATTGAAAAATTCAGATGCGAACAAGGTAAAGTTGAATTTTCATCATCAAATTAAAAGTGATTGAAAAATATTCAATACATAGTTGAATCTAATAGGGTCTCTGAGATGAGACTCAATTGGTGAAAAGCGTGTTGCAACTCTGGTGGGTGGGAGTACACATATTATTATTATTCGTCATTTCCTAGGTTATCACAAAAAATGACAGCAAAGATGCGATAAAGATCAGGGAAAAGCAAAAAAAGTTATGATTGAAGTTCAATAAGGACTCAACCGAAAAGCTGTAATATGTGCCCCTGAATTAAAATTTAAATAAAAAATAATTTAAACTATTTAAGCCAGTGTGGCTGAAAATTCTCAAACCATGTTTAATCAAACGAAGGCGATCCTGATCATTTTGAGAATTAAACACCAATTATTGGTCTCTCAAGTGCATTTTCAAAGTTTTTCGAAATAATTGTTTGCGAACAGTTATTTGATTTCTTCGCATATCAAAAATTATTTGGCAAAAATCAAAATGGCATATGTCCAGGAAGAAGTAACGAGATAGCTGAATAACATTTGCAACAACCTTGATGCCGATAGTGTCTGTTGTGGAATTTTCCTGTATTTATCAATGCCGTTTGGAAATATTTTTTATATTAATGATCTATGTAATATAGTAATAAATCAAGAAAAAACAAACTCAGTGTGTTTCAGAACAAATCAGGGTACAGATAAACAAGTCAATCTAATTGTTAATCAATAGGAAATATTGCCGTATAATAGTATAAGATGTTTGGATATTCTAATTGATGAAACATCAAGTTTTACTAACCATATAGAAATGATTTACAAGGACCTAAGTCGAATTTGTTATGGCCTTAGAATTATGTCACAAAGTAGTAATAATAGCATGTTTTAATCATTTTCTCAAAAGTTTGCTATCTCCTTTGCATCACCAATGAATGAAAATGAAGGTGATATTCAGTTTGAGCAGTATTCAGATAAATTGGAGGATTTGAGTGGTATGTTAGTAGTGTTTTACACTCATAAAATCACCAATTATCTGAAAGATTTTAAAAATCTTTGCTATCTGCGATATTTATTTGACACAGTCCAAATGTGACTTGTGGGTTGTTATAGTACACCGGTTCATGTCATCAAATTTATAGGTTTTAGTGAGTACTTGAAAAGCGCTATGGTAAATTATTAATGACCACTTTTCAATTGCCCATGCGTAAGTTGAGTCAAGTTGCTGGAACGAAAGTATCATTATCAAAGGGAAGTTGTACAATTAGGGTCTCCTGGGTTATTAATGTAAAAATCTACAAAAGTAGCTACAGCTGTAGCCACTTCTGATAGAACTTCATAATAAAATAGGAAAATAAATTGATGGATGCAGCCTTTACTACGTGGTAGGAAATCATAATGAAGAAATGAGTATTGAAACTTTCTATGTTTTTTACCAGTTTTATTCGTAACTAATGTTACTGCAGTTTCGTCCTATAAGGACATTTTCAAACTTATACAATAAAACTGTATGTATGTAACATAGAAAGTTTCAAGTCTCTTTTCTTCATTAAAATAGGAAAAACATTTTGGTTGTCATAACTACAAGTGCTATGTAGTCCAGGTCTACAAAATTAGCAGAATATTTATAGCTCACAATTTTTTTTTATTGAACTAAGAAATACACTAATAAATAAAATTTATGAAACCACAGTTATAATGGTAATCATTAGTTAGCTTGGAAGAAAATCTTAAAATTGATAATTATACTTTTTTATAACAATTTTATGTAACTACGTACTATAAGCAAATGATCAGTATACATTCTCTAGGTGTAAGAACATAAATTAGCAAATGTAAAGACATGATAGGGTAATTTTTATACAGAATAAAATCAGGTATCATATACCAAAGTTTTTTTTGGAATACTATCAAAGATTCAATGAGATTTTCTTCATCAGGATACAAGACATCAGTAATAAATTGTAATTGACAAAACATACAATAATAAAACTATTTCACAGCTTTCCCAACTACAAGTGTTGTTATTTTCCTCAGATGTCTAATGTGATTGCCCACAGCAATATCTCATGAATATAATCTTGAATTTTTAGTTGAAATCTTGAAAAATGATCAGCAAAATATTATGATTATTACTATTTGTGATATATAAGTAACTGGATTCTTGGTCTTCATCATATAGATACAGGTTCTTATCAGCCAGAGTTCTTGAATAGAATTTATATAAACCGAAAACAAGTTGGTCCCTTGTAATATTACTTTAATAATCAAACCACTCAAACTTGTAGATTCATGTATTCGAATTCAAATATACGGTTAGATATCTTAGGTATTAATTAACATTTGTTGCAGACACAAGAAATGAAGAAATATAAACATTGTTCAAGTTGTAAATCACTAAGTATTACTTGCCTGAACAAAATAAAAACTGAATTGGAATAAAAAGTCCCTAGGCGGGTTAGAAAGTAAGTATTAAATTGTTTTGTGATGTGTTTCACTACAACATACATGAGTTATTGTACATTTACCCAAATAAAAACATTTATCAAAAAATTAAATGTGAATTAGGTTAGATATGAAAGTATATGTTAGAAAAAAAAATGACTAATTATTCCCAATTGAAAAATAGAAAGAAAAGTTATCAAAACATGAGATAAAATACATTAGTCTGCCACAAGACTACATTAGAAACGTGTATTTGAAATACAAAACGAGTCAAGGTAGAAAGAACAACGGTCATATTATCGATTTATTTATGATATAAAGTTTATTATAATTTTATATTTCAAGCATCTAAGAACTTTCAGCATGTATTTCACAACATAGAATACGTATTTTCATAAAATATTTCAACAAACAGGGCATTTGCTGCGTAGATTCTGTCACAGGAAAGATGAATTAAAAAAGGGTTTAATCAATTACTTTCATCAATTACGACATTATTACAATAATATAGAATCTAACTATGGGTTTGGAATGCGCGTTATAATTCAAAAGAGATTTCTAGTTAGATCTACGACATAATTTGTTGTATTTTTGTAATTATTTCAGAAATTATCAACTCACCACGACACAGCACAGCACTGACGACATGCCGCCATGTTGAATGTCAACATGCTACAAGAAAACAAAAACCGTCAAAAGAATTCACCTCATTGGTTGCCACCAAAAGCACAGAAACATACTTTAGAATTGAGCATATTTTTTTATGGAACCCTAGCTAGTTATTTTTGATAATTGAAGTGTTCACCTAGTAATTTGAATATTATCATGTCACGACTCGACGAAAGAAAAAATTATAAATGAAAAATAATCATTATAATGAAACTATTTAATGTGAAGAATGAAATTTATGAACATATTTTCCTATAATAGTACTGAAATTAAGTTTTATGTACAACGGTTGGATGCGAAGATCCGAAGCTGCATTCAGTCTGTATTTATTTTTTATGTAAGCTTGAGCTGAAAATCCAGTCTTACAACGGTGTCTAAGTTGTCACAAATGGAAGCAGAAATGAAATAGTTTTTTCAACAATTGCAGGGTATTTAGATCTCCGACAGAGCGCGCGGAACCCCTGTAACCCTTCTACGGAACCCCAGGTTCCGCGAAAACCATTTAAGAATCTAAGCTCTATAGTATCTCTAGTAAACGTAGGTACCTCAATATGAGCTCGTTAAAATTTGTAATGAGATTATTTTTGTTGCTTACATTACAGTACAGATAGTAGATATATCGATAGTCGTCACCTTTATATATAGACTAACGATATACAAAGCTGTCACCCATTCAGTATGTCACTATTTCTGTAGATGTTTATTTAAAATCTAATAAATTTCTATAAATCTATTTATTCAAAATTTTATTAAAACAACGATAAAAATAAAATTTCTATTATTTATTAGGAGCGAATTTTCAATACACTGTTACTGAGAAACTCGAAAGTCTCGATCAATTACTTCAGCTTGCAGCTAGAGCTTTGCTGCGATTTATTGCTTTGCTTTCAGTAACTTCCGGTAGTTAAAGCCGTTTTACTGCTGAATGTGGCAGACTGTTATTACTGAATCCTGCCACAGGATGAAATTAAACCGTTTTTTCCTTCGTCGAATGATCATGCTTATTCCTATCTGACAATTGATAAAGAGTTTAAGAGCCGGTGAGAGATCGACCTTCACCCATAAGATAACTTGATGAGACATATTTTTCATCAAATATAATTTATCAACAAACTTGTCTATCAAAAACTGTTCATAGCTATTTTTAATTGAATTAATTTTGATCAATTTTTTTCCACCAACTTCACTTTTTTTATATCCGAATGAATTTCATCCCAACTGATAGAATATGCCTAGGTAGGATTGCCTACTTATTTCTGCGCATGGCTACCTGGCAAGCAGATATGAACAGGTAAGTCAATATTACTGCAGTAATATTCATTACTACACCAAAGGTTCCAAACAGTACATCATAATTAGGTAAGTCAATATAGATATAGTCTCAAGTACCTAATATTTGTTACTATGAGGTTTGAGGTTGTTAACGTTAGGAAGAGAATGACGTCACAAGATAACACATTACGGCTTTGCCAACATGTGCACTCTTTCGAACTTTCAAATTTTTTTGTACTGTTGATATGTTTTATTGCTATTATTCTTACTTAATTTTGTTATTTGTTGGTACTATTTCGACAATGCTAAGCGTATTGAATATACGCAGGTCATATCAAAAGAAATGATTGGTTCTTCTTCTTATTTTTCTTTTTCCATTAATGGCTTCAGCTGCCAGGGCTATCCAGCCAGGAGTTCCAAGATCATGTTGCTAAAAGAAAAGAAAGATGACAGTTTTCGAGTTTTTTTCGATTCGGCAACGTCTGAAATTTCACTCTCAGTTGAGCAACTTACAAAATGAAATATTACTAGTTTCATTTCTGTTGAACGCATTTCAGTGGGAATTTTAACGTTATGTTGGATATACAAAATTACCAAAAATGAAGTCATTATCTTCTTAACGTGAACAGCCCAGTGGAACAGCCATAACTACACCGATCTGTTAACCAATCGAAATTGATATCATATGTAAGATTTGAATTGAAGGGGTTATATTTGCTTGCCTGCAAAAAAACGTACATGAAATATTATTGCCAAGCTATAAAGTTTTAGAATTTGAGCTATTTGATAGGTGCGAGAAAAAAAGTAGAGCGTCCGAGCCGTGTGATAGAACAGGACACGACATAGCAACTGCACGCTACTTGACCAAGTGTGCATGCTCGCATACGTCGAAAATCGTTTGTTAGTGACAACTAGTGTCCGACCGAAAATTCGGTTTCGGTCGACTTTCGGCAAAAAAACCGGTTTTTCGGCGGCAAACCTGCCGAAACTACAACCGAAACCGAACTGCATTCGGGAGTTCTCGCGGTGTGATCGGTCATGTTCGGCGCGTTGATTTTCATACAAGCGACGAAGACATTTTGCCGTGTCCACGTGCCTAATCATGTCCTGACTTACTTTGTTTATTACATAAATATCAAGTACCTATTGTGATATTAGGTAACAACTTAAATAAGTAATTTTATGTTTAATATTTTTGAAAACCGATAATAATATTCAAAAAAAGAATCTTCACCTACTCAAATAAACACGTCACCTATTTTGAGTATTTTTAAGGTGCAATTAATATTTTTTCTTAAATAAGGGGTTGATATGTTGATTTGTTGATTATTAATAAGTGAAAATGTCGAAGACTACATAACGTTGTGATTTAAAGATGAAAAAATAAGGTTTGACTGATTATAATAACGTTTTCTTTATTTTTTCCTCAAATTATAATCCTTGTAAGGAAGTTTATTCGGTTTCGGCCGAAACTGAGACCGTTACCGATTTTCGGTTTCGGTCGTAAAAACCAGTTTCGATCTGAAAAATGAGTGAAAAGTGTGATATGACAAAACACAGTTCTATATCATGGATTTTCATATTCAAATAACCCCTAGTTTATAATAATGCAAGGTAAGGTAAGGTACCATTTTTTGACGTTCACGAAAAAGTAAAGTATGAATAATTGCCATAGTGATTATAGGTTTTGGTAATTTTTGGATTGGCAGGAATGCATAAACAAATATTGACATCCATTTCCATAATCTTGACAGCAGCAATCACTCATATGAAATAAATAACTTCCATTTCTATATATTTTCAAATTCAACAATTCACTTTACTGGAGTGTTATAGCCAATATCTCTTCTGGAGATATCGATCCATATCTTTTTCTCAACAATGAAGTCGCTAACAATTTCACTAAATGTTCAAAACATATTTTGTTCATTCTTGTGTACAAAAATTGATCATCATTTTTCATTCTTTTATATAATATCCGTCAAAGTTCGTAGGCGCTTTCTGATTGGTCGGAGGTAAGAACGCAACGCAGAAAGTTGAAATCAGACAACTTTTTACCTTGCGTTACCTTGCCTTACCGACGTTACCTTACCTCAGTTTTTATCTAGAACGCAAGTGTGTTTTCTCAATACTTCAACTTTCTTACCTTACCATACCTCGTTACCTTGCGTTTTTATAAACTAGGGGTAACACTTTATTGTGAGATATTCACTAATCTTTAAAATTTATCATCGAAAAGGGTTGCCTTCTTTTTTGTCAAGTAAAATATGGTCTATTAATTATATTTTACATTATGAAAAATGAGAAATGAAATTTCTTATGTTTTCATACCGCTTGTATTTATAACGAATGCAATAAACTGAATTGTAATCGTTTGAAACTACAGTAATATTCGTTACAAATACAAGTGGCATAAAAACATAACAAGTTTTATTTCTCGGGAAACAAAGTTTTTGGCTTTCTACTACTCCATCATTGTGATCTTCTACCACGTAGTGACGACTACATCCATCAATCTTCATTTTACAATTTTACATGTTTATTTTCGCTTTATTTCGATTATTTTCGGTAATTTTAATAGTATTTTCAGAGAATGCCCTCTGTGGACCAAATTTGAAATTCTAACCAATCTGAAGTGTCGATATATTTCGTCTACGTCTACTGTCTCGTTATATTATTCATTGGCACAGAATCACAGAGTGACAGAATATTGGCTGTTACATTGGAGTCTTGGTTTTGATTGGAGATTGTGGTTTCTGTAAAATGTTTGTTTGATGAGTGGTATAAAATTGCTTTTTTAAATAAGAAAAAAGTTGAGTTATTGTATGATTATACTTCCGATGTCTGTATTATCAACAGCAATGGGAACAGAAGTTTCCCTTTATCATTGGAATTGAAATGTCTTCGATATTCAATAATTTTGCCCTACAATTCATACCAATAGCCTGTGGTTACACATATTCTATTTTTATTTTTGACTCAATCGTGAATATTAAGAGTTCGAAACAATTGAAACTTTTTCGGCCATAAATATTTCATCATAATGGAAGCTATATTTCATGAAAAGGTCAGTTTTTTGCAATTTGTTAATAGATTCTCAAGTACTGCTTATTTCAGCAAGAAGGTTCCTTGTGCGCTCAGCACTGTTTGAACTCACTTTTACAAGGACCGTATTTTACCGCCGTAGATCTGAGTTCTTTAGCTCAGAAGTTAGATGATGAAGAGAGACGAAGGATGGCTGAATGTGGAGAAGAAAGTGAAGAGTATCGCAAATTCTTACAGCAGCCATCTGGAAACATGGATGATAGTGGTTATTTTTCTGTACAAGTAATAAGTAGTGCTCTTCAAGTGTGGGGCTTAGAATTAGTGCCTTATTCGAGTTCAGATAAGAGAATCAGCATGAATAACCCGAGTCAAATGTATGCCTTCATATGTAATTATCGAGATCATTGGTTGACTATTCGAAAAATCGGGAACCAGTGGTTCAATCTCAATTCCCTATTATCAAAACCAGAATTAATATCCGACACATATTTGTCTTTGTTCTTGGCACAATTGATGAATGATGGATATTCAATATTTGCTGTTTTTGGAGACCTACCAGAATGCACTGCCGATGAAATTCTAAGAAATAATCCTGCCCGTGCAATTCCTAGGCCTAGTCTGAAAGCTGCTTCATCTAATGAAAGCGATCCCGACGTTCAAGCAGCACTTCAGCGTAGCTTGAGAGACGAAAATGATTGCTATACTCCCGAAAATGAAGATAAGGATTTGCAGGAAGCACTGAGGTTGAGTATGCAAAATTTCAGCAACAGGCTAGAAGAAGATGATGAAGAAACCTTATTACGAAAAGCTATTAATATGAGTTTGGACTGTTAGAAATCTTTTACTTTGAATCCTTTTTGTATATATATATATTAACTGTTATTTTTTGTTGATATTTTGTAATGTTTCAGTTTTTATAAATTAACTTCATAATCAATGTCATTTTACTGTTCAATTCTAAACTAAAAATTTATACCTACATATTCACAGAATAATTTCTTATTATTTCATTTTCTATCAAGATTATTAAGATAGAAATATGTACCTAATTATAACAGTTTTAATCGTTTTGATTCATCAAAAATATATTTCTTGATAACATATTTTTGATAAAATTCAGATACTCTAGGCTTAAATTGCTGTTGGCCACCTAGGACCAATTTTTTTTCGTTTCAAGAGATATTGAATATTCACGAGAATTTTTTTTTTTTTCGTTCGCTAGTTCGTAATATTCGCTAGTGTTGTGATTTGGGATTTTATATCTAGAGTTGAAGTTGAAGAGCATAGCTATTTTTTTTTAGAAAAAAAGCTATTTTATTTTGTAGTTACTAATAAGTTATCTTTAAAATCAGAAGCTCAGCAGTAAGATGTTTATGCACTGATAATTCAAGAAATGTGCTTCTGTTTCGAAAATCTTTTAGTTGTTCAGAAGTTGCCGAAGGATTCCCCCATTACACCACTCTAGCCCAAACATTAATGAATCATTATTGGACATTCAGCTTGATCAATGCATATCTGAAATTAAATAGGTAATTTTTCAAATATATAGCGCCTTTGATATGGATAAAGATGAGAAATCTATAGGGCCAGTGAAAAATTACTTCTCCTGTATATTGCCAAAAAAGGGAAAATTGGCATCATCACTATGGCCGTATTACTCAGTGCTGAAGTCGTCTATACTAGTAAACGAAAATTATGATATTTTAAAGTCAGTGTATTTCTAAACACCAGAACTGCAATAATATTCTCAACGTGCGTTTCATCAAACAAGTTGGCATCTTCATGTGAAATAGGCTGCTTCATATCCTGCAGGCGCCAACTTGATTGGTGAAACGCACGTCAGGAAGAGTGTTGCATTTCCGAGGTTTGGAAGCAGTGCTTGTTTTGGATTTATAAATGAAACGTTCAAAATCAAAGAGCCACTTTCAACAAATAACTATAATTTTGCTGAAAATATTAACTGACAGCTGCATAACCAAGAAATTCAAAATTCTTGAGCCTGAAAAGGTTAACTGATATTTCTCATCACAGGTAAGGTTTTTGATATGAGACATCTATAAGCCGCACCTAAAACCAATTGCTGGCGTGGCGCCGGATAGCCATATGCATGCGACTGTGCGATTTTCTTTTGACTAATTCGGCGTTCGTTATCTCTCTCGCTATGAGGTGTTTTCTGGCGTTTAATCGTATTCGAGCGTATATTCAAAAACGATTCGTAGTCATTAATAATAAGATTCACCAGAAAGGAATGATTCAATTTGTTTCAGATGTGGTGGAAGGTCATCTTCGTTTCATTCAGGATTGGAGTCCAGCTCCCTTACCCTTTTGGCTGATTAATTTCATATGTCATATTCAATTGACCTTATTAAGTGATGCGACCCCATGGTTGCCAACTGAGGAAAAATAATAACATTTGACATTTGCTAATGAATAAATAACCTATCTTTCTGAGTTACTTCTGCATTTTCATTTTTGGGACAGACCACCTTATATTTCTTCATAGCCGATTCTTCATTCTGAAGCCCCAACTTCATATAGAACGACTGAAAAACTCTTCAGACATGTTATGGAAATCAGTTTTAAATTTTTTAATTGGACTTACGAACTTGGTCAAAAAAATACGTGACGTTATTGGAAGAACACAGATTTTCCCTACCTCAGTTACCCTCTTGCCCATATTCAGCTATATTTCGTAATACCACTATATAACAGAATATTGGAACTACAACGAGGGTCCCAGGTCTTCTAGTACGAAAATGGAAATGTGAAATACCTTGTAGCAACCCTAGATTAGAAATTTTCAAATGAATCCTACATAAAGAAGTAGAAAGCCAAAACCTTTCTTTCCCTAAAATTGATCTTTCCTAAAAATATACCTCTTTCAATTTGATTACGGATAATTGTTTTAATTTTCAATACGATAGTATCTTACGCTTTCTTGGGAATAAAAATTGTAATTAACGAATAATAATATGTTCAGATAGTATGAGTAACTTTTTTCTCGCTGTAGAAGTTAGAGTAATTTTGAATATACAGTGTAATTTTAAAATTTATTGATATATTCTAAGTAACTCGCAATTTATGATAGAAATTCCTAACGACACAATATTTTTGAAATATGCACAAAGTTGTTTTTTTTCCTGTAGTTTATGAAATTACTATGGATCTTCATCAAGTATCGGCCGAATCAATCAGAAAAAAAACAAAATGTTTCAAGTTCTCTCAATTGAAAATTCAGAGATATAGATTATAAGGAACCAGAGGCCCATCACTAACCAAAGGTACTCAAAACTAATTTTTCATAAGTCTCGTTCTCGTTTATGTCAATGGTCAATATGGACAAAATTTAGGTTAACCTCAAATTTTGTACATCAAATATTTCAATCAAGTCGTGAAGCCAAGGGGGTATGTAGATCATGCCATCACCGATAAATCACTCATAAATTTCATCTGCTGCAATTTCTCTCCATTGGTCATAAAGTTATTAGTGAGAAATACAATTTGGAAGATTGATCTATAAATTTTGGGCCTGCAGAATCAAAGAACTTGAAAATAGATAAATGTTTTAATATTTTTTAAAAATTTAAATCAGTCAAAGAATTAAATCAGGTGTAAAAAGTTGACTTAGTCATATATAGAAATACCATTGTTCTAAACTATTTATGATTCAAAGGTCATTAGGAGCACTGAGTGTCAAGGTGAACTTCTCTAGTTGTAGAGTGCTGGAAAAATTTAATGAAGTAATAAACCGTTGAGTATAAGTTATAAGTGGGGAAATGATTTCAACAAAAGCAATCATTTAAATTCTGAACCTGTGCAAGTAACAAGTTACTTTTTAGTTTTGTGTTGAGTTTCCTCAAAAGTTATAATGGAAATTAGTTTTTTTAAATTCAATCTCTACATTACACTACTATTTGTGCTGATAGATTTATCAATTAGTGCAGTAATGAGAGAAATAAACAATTCTAATAGCACCATTTATGAGCAAGGCTTATACTCTTTGCAAGATGAAGTGGAAATCTTAACAAATCAAAATTTCAATAAATCAATTTTTGGTAGTGAACGAGCATGGATGGTAGAATTTTATAGCAATTGGTGTGGATATTGTCAAAGGTCTGCTCCAATATATAAAGCTTTCGCAGTTGATGTAAAGAATTGGAATGATTTAGTAGGAGTTGGAGCCCTGGATTGTGCAAATGAAGAGAATTCACCTGTTTGCACTTATTATGGAATATCGAAGTATCCCACATTCAAATACTTCCCTGAACAGTTTATGGCAGATTCAGAAAACTTAGGAATTCGATTAGAAGCAGACTCCCATACAAATGTAAGCGAACATAGAAGAAATCTTGTTACTCATATGGTGAAAGAACAATTTGAGGGTAGAGGTAAAATGCTTCCCAATTTGAAACCCTTCAATTACACAGATATTTCTAAAATATTTGAAACACAACGAGGTAATCCAATCTATGCATTTTTAATTGTACAAGAACCACATGATGACGTTGGGGCTTCCATCACTATGGATTTCCATGAAGTTAAAGATATAGTGGTGAGGTATTCTTATGTCAATGATACAAAGCTCAATAAAGACCTCTTTCCTGCTTTGTATGCCTTAGAAAAAGGGGGTATATTAGAATTTCTGAGTATACCATCAGCAGCCAGAGAGGGCTTTCAGATGAAAATCAGTCAATATTTAATGGCAAAAAATGTTACTGTTCCTAAGTTTTCTACTAGCCTTAACTTGAGTGGAAATAGGACCAAGCCACAATCATTGAATATTTCTGACAATGAAGTTCAACTGAGAGAAAAAATCAGGCAGATGGGAGATGTTGTTTTTCAAGTGGATTTTGAGAGTGTTCTTCGCCAGTCTTTGAAACAAGAGGTGGGCAGAGTAAAAGAAGTCACATTGGAAAAACTTGAAGCACTCAAAAAATATATAAGCATTCTAGAGAAATATTTTCCTTTTGGTGAAAATGGGAAGAAACTTTTATCCAAGATTAAAAGTGATGTATTTTCGAATGAAACTGTGAAAGGTACAAGTATCAGTAAATTGGTGAAAGATGCCGAACATCCTAGTCAGCGAGTTTTTTCTTCTTCAAAGCAGTGGTTGGCATGTAGAGGTAGTACTCCTCATTCTCGTGGTTATCCTTGTGGTATGTGGAAGCTGTTCCATTACTTAACGGTGAATGTAGCAAATTGTGAATCTATGAAAAAAAATTCGAATCCCAAAGTTGTATTGGAAGCTATGCATGGCTACATCAAATATTTTTTTGGCTGTGAGGATTGTAGCAACCATTTTTTAGAAATGGCAGAAAGGCGCAGCTTGAATAAGGTTGCTTCTTGGAATGAAAGTATTCTTTGGTTATGGAGAGCACACAATGAAGTAAACAATCGATTATCTGGAGATACTACAGAAGATCCAGAGTATCCTAAAGTGCAGTTCCCTACAGCAGATCATTGCCCTCACTGTTATGAAGAAGACCATTCTTGGAATGAAGCTGAGGTTCTCTCTTACCTTCAGACAATGTATGACAATGAAAATATAAAATATATGGGTGTTGATCCACAAGTTCTTCACTTGGACATGTTGCCAAGTTCGGCTTCCATCAGTCTTCAAGTGGCAAGTGAGTATTTGAATTCTAAGTACTATCCGCCTTCAGACTCAATGTGCAAAATATTCTGAATCATAGTTGTACTCTATTTCTATTATTTGTTAATATATAAATATTTGTGTAACATGTTATTGTTTGAAATGTAACTAAATATTCTAGCACTCAATAATAAAAATATTCCATCAACTCAATGGGATCACAAACCAAGTGGAATTTTTCTCTGACTTGGTACTTAGTTTGTTGTACTGCCATATTTGTGATTGAATACCTGTAATCATATAAAAAAAGGGTTTATATACATTCGTTGCTCTAAATTTTCAAAATTCAATTGTTTTTATGAAATAATTTTTATAAACACATTTTCTAAATATTCAGCTTTATTAAAACCTTGAAAAACCATAATATAAATCATTGCTCTAAGCTAAATTCTTCTACAAAACAAACTTCTAGGTTCGCCCTTGAACTCCATAAATAAATTAATGAGGAAGTGACGTGCATTGTAGTTGGTAAGTGAGAGTGATCAAATATTTTCCAAAGCTCCACAACACATGCAGTTATTCTCTATCAAATTTATTGTCAATTTTCTGTATACAATGCAGATTTCAGCACATTAATTTTTCAACAAATATATGATGAATTGCTAAATGATTTTGTTTTTTCCTTATTTAAAAGTATCCGTAGGTATTAACTTTTTGGCATAAAATCTATTTGTTTGCCCTCTTTAGATTTATTTAGATTTGTATGTTTTCAGATTATGAAAGAATACATAATAAAAACCATTAGGTATCTTCAATTCACCTTGATTTTTTCAATTCATGAACCATTTCAACTCGAAATATTTACTTCAATTTTAAAAAGAAAATCGATTTTATTCATGTTTAAAATAAAGAGGCATTCAGTCGGCACATAAAATATATTTCTATCTGAGTAAAGATTCCACATAACTATAAAAACGCCCATCCTTCCGTTCGGACTTGATATGATATAAATTGATTTGAAATTCCTGAAGAATGTGTAAAAAATTTAAAAGATAACCTGAAAAAATAGCAATTTTATTAAGCAAAAAACTGAAATTACAAAGAAATAACATACAAGCAACAAGCAAAAAATAAAAAATTGAACTATTGACACGAGCTGAAAAATTAAAAAATCATTAACAAGAAATGAAAATTAAAAATTAAAAGATTCCAAACCAAGTTACTTCACGACGTTTCGATTGTTAGTATCCACAATCGTCTTCGGGTGATATCTGGAATTATTCCTTCAAGATCTGACTATTTATAGGTCATTCGAGTGCTTTCACCTATCCCTTCTTGTTGGAAATGCAATGAGGGCAGTGCAAAGGTGTAATTACAATAAGCCTGAGTTACTTCTAAACGTTATATTGAACATATCAATAATTTATATATATATTATGATGAACTTGTATCTGACAGTCATTCATATACATACAAAAAATGAATGATTGATGTACAATACAGGGTGTGTTGCATTTTCAATTACCAACACTTCTTCCCTTTCTCCGCTTCATTAGTTTTAATGGAAGCTGATCGTTTGGCGGGAGTTGGGCGTCTTCCTCTTGATTAGAGGTTTCCATATGTTACGTATCTCTATGCTAGCTTAACTAAATGCATTGTTGGACAACATGTATGCGGCTTCTTTGAATTTCCTCCTAAAACAGTGTTCCTCCTTGTGGATGATTTCAGCTTGAGCCCACTCAATGTTATGTTGATGAGTCCAAACATGCTCTGCTATTCCGGATTTACTGGTTTCTAATCGAAACGTCGTGAAGTAATTTGGTTTGGAATCTTTTAATTTTTAATTTTCATTTCTTGTTAATAATTTTTTAATTTTTCAGCTCGTGTTCATTTTTTTATTTTTTGTTTGTTGCTTGTATGTTATTTCTTTGTAATTTCAGTTGTTTGCTTAATAAAATTGTTATTTTTTCAGGTAATCTTTTAAATTTTTTACAGATTATTTCAAGTCAATTTATATCATATTAGACAATGGAAGTCTGAACTGATGAAACATTGTCAACCACCTTCAAATATAAAAACACCATTCAAATTGTTTGATAATCTATTAGAATTACAGGAAAACTATTATTTTTATTTCAGATGTTTATCTGGTACTGTCAGCATCTCTGGTTTTATGGAGTTTGAGAAGAGGATAATCATCATTCAGTAATGTTTAATATACAAGTTAATATTTCCTCAGATATATAATAACTAATTATGAACTTTCATGTACTAGATGTCAGTATTATGGAAAAAGCCTTTTTTTATTTTTTTGACCTCAATATACTCAGTGATAACAGTTATATATTCCTTTTACTCATTTTTGAAACATTTTTTTATATTGCTTATTTTTATACACATTTTGTATATTTTATATAATTTGTCAAAAATTAAATGCATGCTTCCTTATGTACTTTTTACATTATTCAGATGCATTTATTAAAATATTACCCTTTGTGATAAAACGTGACTTAAAATGAATAATAAAATAAATGATTTTTAAAATAAAGTGAACTCTTCATTTTTATAAATTTTATATTCAATATATATAAAGTGACAATTTCTACGAAGGTTTGTCAAATTTTGGTAAAATGGCTGAATTGAAAAGAGTAAACACATCAATATTTGAAGTAATTGTTGAGAATTGCACAAAAAAAATCATGTGATGTAAATAAAAGTGTTTGTTATATAACAAACGTCACCAAAATGTGGTAACATTGCTAAATCAAATACCGTACAGATATGAAGATGACTTTAACACCAAAGGTTCCAAACAGTGCATCATAAATGGAAAAGTCTGTTAAATGAAGGTTGTTAGTACGGAAATGCTGGAATAATTCAACCCAACAGTTATCAGTCGATACATTCTCGGCATTCCAGCCAGAGATTTTTTCATCTGTCACATAGTTGGAATTGAATGTAAACTATCAAAGACTTTCGTAACTTGGCTGCTGATAATAAACCCTTGCGTGATCAGTAAATACATTACTTTCTAGACCTCTTCCCACGTAGGCACCTTTGTTAAGTTTGCCCATTCAAACACTTACAGTTCTGCTCTAAGCATTCTTTGTTTGTTTTACAAAATGATATGCTATTTAACGGCTTGTATTATCGTTCATTTCTGAAACAGATAGATATCAAGTAGACAATGTTATTGAATTTTAAAATAAGATTCGTTGATAGAAAAGTTTACGCGGACGCCACCTAGAGTTGACTAGCAGAACTTACTGGAATGAAGATCCAATGGAAATGTAGAAATTTTTATGCCTATGGAATGTTTTCATGTCGAGGTTATATAGTTCACGCCTTCACAGATAGATGGCAAAGGAGGTCCAATAGCAATATAAAATAGCTCATTTTAATTTTTTTCTCAATCTATTTTGATACCAGATCAATGTAAATGGGTTCACATGACTATATACTTTATAAATTTTGAATAGTTCATAATTGAACTACATACATACAACAGAAGTACATCTATGTTGATTCTCTTCTTTTACTTGTATGAGACTGAAGCTTTACTTTTCATAATAACAAATACCCAAAAACGGTCGATAAAAAATTAATAATTATCCGACAAAGATTCCTAAAAACACTATTTCTTTGATTGATGTTAAATGTATTTCCAGTGAAATGGAAGTTGGGTCTGGTACATAAAAAGTCTTGGATATCTTAGAGCAAATATTGATCCACTGCTCTATAATCACTGAAAATACATTTACCAACAAAAACTTCAAACAAATATTGATAAAAATCAATAAAAACTTACCGAATAACTTTCCAACTGTGACTTGATTCAAAGACAATCTTTTCGAAGAGGGTATAAATAATAAAGTGAACATATTTGATCAATATATTCTCACTTGGGAAATCCAGACCACCAGGGCTCACTGACAATATGTAAATGATGTTATCTTCACTTAATAAGGATGATGATAGCAAAATTACATCGAACACGAAAAGTGGTTGGGGACGAAAAAAAATTTTTTTCAAAAAAAGACAATTTTTTGTTCGGAAATTAGTACTTGAGTAGAGGTTGACGAGAAATATATTTGGTTGATAATCAGTAATGCAATAAAACTAGATAGTCACACCCACTTCTGAAAATTATTAATTTCTGATTACGTATAGTGAGCTACTTGAATTTTCGATTGAAAGATAATCACATCAATAAAATTTATGCGGGTCGTAAAGTACCAACCGTAATGATATTAATCAGTTTGATTTTTCGTACTAGTAAACAAGGCAAATAATGATAAGAATCACTTTCATATTTCTCGAAATAACTTAACTAGATCTAGATACGTCAAAACTTGAATCTTTTTCAATATATTTCAGCGGAGGCATTTCAAGAAACTGGATTGGAGTTCCACGACAGTTATATGAACCCGGATCGAAGAGTTACAGATGTGCATGTATTAGCGAACATAACGAGAAGTTGGCGAAATTTAAGGAATACAAGGATTGTCATAATTCTGAAAGTTGTATTTTGAAAGAGTAATTGTGTTTATCCAAAAATTGTTTTAAAACATGACATGCGGAAATATACTTGGAAATACTAATTTCTTGAAGCAGCGGCACAATAAATCATTAAGTCACTATTCCATTATTGCTATCCTGTGTTTGTTTTTATTATTTGATGTTGATCTTCTGAAAGAACATTAAAAATCAACAAATTTTATGTCGTTTTTCAGCTTGTATCGTTTTCACAACAACCCACGAACTCACGGGATGATGTGGGATTGAAGGGGACTATGGTGGGTTGTAAAAGTAAAAGATGAATCTACACCTTAAAAATATGTTCATTTCAGACGAAATATTGATGATTATATGGAGGCGCTAATAGGGCTAATTAGCGCCTCCATATACGTACCTCACAAACAGATGGCAAAAAAGGTGCCAAATCAATTTTTTTCTTTCCGTGATTTCGTTTTTGGAAATTACATCCGATTACATTACTCAAAGCATTGTGTATCATTATGAAACTATACTGTGACGCAACTCCCTCTCCTAACCCTTGAATTTTTTCAGTACAGAAGAGTCATTGTAGAAACCGAGTATTCCTATCAAGTATTCTAATTGGTTCGTTTACGAAATGATATGCTATTTAATGGCTTGTATTATCGTTCATTTCTGAAACAGATAGATATCAAGTTGACAATGTTATTGAATTTTAAAATAAGATTCGTTGATAGAAAAGTTTACGCGGACGCCACCTAGAGTTGACTAGCGGAACTTACTGGAATGAAGATCCAATGGAAATGTAGAAATTTTTGTGCCTATGGAATGTTTTCATGTCGAGGTTATATAGTTCACGCCTTCATAGATAGATGGCAAAGGAGGTCCAATAGGTCATATGCATGTAATATAAAATAGCTCATTTTAATTTTTTTCTTAATCTATTTTCATACCAGATTAATGTAAATGGGTTCACATGACTATGTACTTTATGAATTTTGAATAGTTCATAATTGAACTACATACATACAACAGAAGTACATCTATGTTGATTCTCTTCATTTACTTGTATGAGACTGAAGCTTTACTTTTCATAAAGTTATTTTGTCTGAACTCGGACGTAATTTTACAAAACCCACAAAAAAATCATGATTACTTTCATAATCGATAATGATCCCATGTTATTCAAAGTCTAAAGTCAGAAAACCGAGATTGAATTCATTGAATAAAATGAAATCGAAATCATTGTGAAATGATATACAACAAAATAAACGTCAGGAATAATTCTCCCCAAAATATGGTAGATCGGTGACCAGAGCCGAGTTTAAAATGTGATGTGATCTAAGTTTCAACTGTCTCAGGAGCCAAGTTTCGACTGTGAAGGATGACGGGTTTCAATTTTGACGGGAGCTCAGTTTCAACTGAGGAAAAAGACCAGTTTGAACTGTTGCAGGAGTCGTGTTTCAACTGTGGCGGGTGCTGGCTGACGGGTCCCAAATGATATGCTATTCACTGGCTCGTATCACCNGACAGTAGGAATTCTAAGTAGTAGTTCGTATCGTTTCGTGTCTCAAATTTTCGTATTTCATCCGATAGGTGTAGATGTATCGTTTAAAGATTTCGATATATGTTTCTCTTTTCAATAGTACATGTTTCCCTTTTCAACATTTCAAAATGCCAACATGAAAACGAAATAGTATTTTTGGATGTTTTGTGATTTGGTTATCTGGCAAAGCACGTGATGAAGCATCGCGGGGCGGCGATGACCAAGGACACCGATGACCAGGGACGGCAAGTGCCCGAAGATGACTGATTTGTATTGGATTAATTATCGTTCATATACTGATTCAATTTCATTATTATTTTCATTGTCACGAATTTATTTTCATTTTCGATAATTCGTTATCGTTTTGACTGATTTAATTTGATTGCCAATAGTTTATGTTAATTGATTCATTTTCACTGGTTTATTTTGGAATTGAACAAATCAGTAGCGTCAGAAACAGCTGCGATTTTGATGTTTTCTTCCAGCTTTTTTTAAATATTATTCAAAATCAGAAACCTTTCGAAACGGGGACAGAATTATTTACATTTTTTGAACAATATATACGTGGGTGGTCCCAGAAGTACCCGAATTTTCACTATCCTTTCAGCCAATTTTTACGTTGAGTTCAATGACAATTCTATCGTTTCAATTTCATTCCTGTATTTTTTTGCATATTCTTTAATTTGTTATGTTAATCAGGTTCGTTATACTTTGTTATTAGCTGTGTATTATTTCTGTATTGTTCAAGAAAACTATATGTTATAGATAGAAATGTTACGTTTATCCAGATTGTATTGATTAGTTGGATATTTGATGAGAAGCATTTGTTATTCTATTTGATTATAATTTTTAATATAGAAAATAGATGGTGTCTGGTTTTTCACTTCATATCGTTCAAGTTATTTGGTACTGTGCTAAAATATCTCTGTATTTGAAACTTTTCATTCCAAGTGGGGTCCCCTACGGAGGGAGCCCCACTTGGAATATTTGAAAATCTTAGTGTGCATCTAAGACCTAAGAGCACGTATATACCAAATTTCAGCTTTCCGGGACTTACCAGTACGGAGTAACAGTGTTGAAAAAGTACTTTTCATATGTAAACGCGCCCCTTTTACCCCCACAGGGGGAACCCCAGCTGGAATATTCGAAAATCCTTTTTTAGTGCGCATCTAATACCTAAGAAGCTATTTGTGATGCACTGTTTGGAACCTTTGGTGTAGTAATGAATATTACGGGAGTTTTTTCCCAACACCAAATCGTTATTTTTAACACCTCGACACGTGTTTCGATTTCCAAGTGGTCATCTTCAAGACGAAGATCAAACTGATCTTCCTTCAATAAACTCTCTTTGGCCAGCTATTTTTTTTTAATTTATAAGGGACAGTAAGTAGTCATTGTGTGCTTTCTCAAGGTGGCTTGAGGAGTTATTAATATGAGTTATCAGCCAATAACCCGATCCTGATGACTATAGAAGTCGATATCGTTGACTTATTTTTTTTAACGAAGGGCTTGAACTGCCGTACATTTGTTTCAGGTGAAAAAGTATGCTCAACGTTGTTTTGGAAAAAAAGTTCTCGTATAACATTTTTAATGGGAACAAGTCATATCCTGAAATTTTCTCCGCTTTCTCTTAATTTTCATTCGGAAATTTTTAACCTCTTTTTACGTCAGAACGCTGATTTCAGCGAATGACAGTCTACCAGTTACCACTGTTTTTGTGTTATTTTGAAAGCTAAAAACTAAAAACAAATTTTTAAATCTTTAATTCGGAGTTTGCCTTCTCAATGTTGATTAATAAATTGATGAAACTTTCCGTAATTCAATGTGATTTCATGCATGTAACAAATTAAAAAAAACTTAAAAAACTGTTTTCAAAAAATATCTCAAGTCGGTCCGGCCAACGATTCTCACGAAAAAATTGAAAAATTCAAAACTCAAAAACTAAAATAAATCGCATGACACATATTCTGATAGGTCTGAAGAAAAAAACGTTTCCGTTTTATTCATCTTACATTTAAAATTGAATTAAACTTCTCTTAGTGTCAAGAAACAGAACTGAACGATTGTATTTTTATGCAATTCTGTTTTCTTACAGTTTGTTTGTGAAAGAAACTTTTGTGCATGATCTTTATATGTTTATAAAGAGTTTTTATTGTGATTACTTTCTTTTTACTGTTTTTTTTTGAAAGTTCCCACATTTGCTGTTCAGTAATGGAGAGGTAGAAAGCCAAACGTTTTTTCCCATTATATATTGACAGAATACGAAAAATTGGCATGCTCAGTAACGAATCATGAGTTATATCAAATTATTAAAATCTGAGGAAATTTTTTCGGATCTGACAACGTCGCTTCAGCGTGTACCTAAGCCCGAAATCGAAGTCGGCGACCAGCAGGATCGCCCGACACATGCGCAGTATTTGACCTCTTCTGGACTCCGCTCGGAAGCTTTCCTTCAGGATTTCTGCGCTTTCAGTAATCCCAGAACTTTGTTCGAATACGCCGTTGAGTTCCAAAGCTTCCACTACATCGCACGACTGATAAGAACAGACCGGGTAAGTTCTTTGTCGCAAAAAGGGTGGCCGATTTCGAGAAGGTTATGCTTCTAGTTTGGGGGTGTTAATTTTTGCTTTACTCATATGTTTTCTCGTATTTTTTAATAGTGTTTACCGCCCATTTAGTCGATTTTTTTCTACGTACAACATTCAAGCAGCGGTCTGGTTTTTGCCTAGGTTTCTCTAGAAAAATTCGACAATTCGTGAAATCGCTCGAATGGCGTTCAATTTTTTACCGGCTGTCACACGTTTTCATCTAAATTTTGAACGAATTTTTCTGTACTGCAATGCGCCAAATTCAACAATTTTTAGGATAAAAATTATATATTTGAAACATTCCCTTCCCTATAATCTGATTCCTTTTATTATACTTTGTCTCACCCATTCGATTCATGGGGCATTGTAGTTATTCTTGTGAAGAAAAGAAATGAACCAAATGGAAAAATAATCGATCCATAATTGATATTGATGATGGTTTCAATCCATATTTCAGAATCGCATAACATATGGATGATATCTGATCGGTAAAATGGTAAATACCTACAACTCGAACCTACTTCATTGAATTCCTCTATACAAATTATCCATATACCGCCATTCTTTTTATAACGACTTGAACATTGTTGTTCAATATTTTGTATCCAATAATATTTCCAAAAGTTATACCTTAAAAAAAGTTAGCTTTCAAGTGTAAAATAACATTTATACCATATTAGAATACTAGTGCAATATTTTTTTTTCACTTAGTTACTGTAAACTTCTCTGGATGGTTAAAACCCAGATATTTTGCATGTTTTATTGCACATTACAACGACATTATCCGTAAGTCAAGAAAAGTTGATTTTATGGACAACTACACACATCGGAAAAGTCTAGGGATACTTTTAAAAATGGCAATATTTTTTTTAGATCGCTTCAGGGAAAAAAGTTGACGGGTGATTATTAAACGAATGTAACTTACAACAAAATTTATTAAATGGTCAAAAATACTGAGTGCGCATATAAGCAAAACTAAAAAAAAATATGGCTCTTCTTTGGCACCCCGAAAAAAAATCATAATACAAAAAAANGAACCATTAGTTTTTCTTGCATGAGAGTAAATGTACCATTAAGAATATAAGGTTTTTTGAAATTGAATAACACTGATTTAAAATCGAGAGTAAAAGGAGAAACAATACACCTCCACATCACAATCTTGGGGAAATTATTATTTGATTTAACTTCCTAATTAGATATTTCATTGAAAAATTGCAAAATACATTAATGAGATATTGGCGAGCATTCATTCAAAGTTCACTAAATCACAATTTCGGTCAAGAACGATCAGCAGAAGATTTTTGCACCAGCCACCAGTGGAGGCCCTAATTCCTTTTATAAAAGTTGAATTTCTAACTTCCTACTAGGAAAATCAAAAATAGTGTCGTTTAAAATTTTCCATTCAAGTGATTTCGTAAAATAATTTTGAAATTTTGAGCTCTAAGAAGCGAGAAGTTGTTGGATGTTGTAAAAATGCAAAAATGTTTGAGAGAAAGTGGCTGACCTGTTAAAATTTGGATATTTTTATCTTTATTGTGGTGGCCTTCTCCATGGAGGCTCCGGGATGATAGCCCCGCATAACCTCCCCTAAATCCTACCCTGGAACCGGCCTTTAGAATTATTAACTTATTCTAGAAAATAATGTTGAAACTTTGACAATAATCTTAATCAATATTTCATCATGTGCAGGCTTTTTACAGTTTTTTCTTCGGTCCCTGTTTCTATTTGATGCATGTACCATCAATTGAAGAAAGCAATTACCTTTTATTGAAATATTCGTAGAGATTAAGATTTCATCTAAATCCTTCAAGAAACATGAAGATGGCTCTTGTGAATTGAGCAAACCCTTCTCTTCGAACCATTGTGTGGAATCTCTTTAGTACGGGAAATATGATTATGTGTCTCGCCACGCTATAAAAAACCTCCACAATAAAGCCCTACTTTATGGGCGTGTAACATAAATAGCCTTTACGGCTTCGAGTAGAAATGATTTATATCATTACGCGTCTGGCTTTGTTTGTTATTTCTAAATTCTGTTGAGCCAATATTATTTGCATTTTCCGGCTATCGGTCATTAAATTATAAAGCTTTACCCGTTGAGTAATATTTACTTTACCCATACACCGAAATTGAGTAGGTGAAATTTTTGCTAAATCACTGGCAGCTTCTATTTTGGAATTGGTCAAAGTAGAGACTCATGTTTTTATTAGTCTGATGAGACTTGATGCCTACGAGTGAGCAGGTGCATTATCATGATGCAAGAGCCACGAATTGTTTTTCCACAATACCGGACGTTGTTTTCGTATTGCTCTTCGCAAGTGGCGCATAACTTACATGCGACCATGTGATACATTACGCTACGGTAATCGAAGGGAGCAGTGAGCAAAACTTTGACATTCGAATCGAACTTGGCGTGCTTCTTCGTCTTGGCTATCCTGGGCTTTTCCATTGATACTTTTGGACTTTGGTTTCGATTTCATAACCATTTATCCATGATTCGTCATGACTTTGAGTACAATCATCGTATGTCACTGTTAACATTTCAAGTGTTTTTGAACACTCAATTCCAGTTTTTACAAAAAATTTTAAGTGAATTCTTTGTTTTTTTATTGCAGAAAAAACTATGAACATGTGTTCGAGACGAACATGCGTACAAAAAATAAAAACATCCTCAATCGAATATACTTAGCCCGCGAAATTGGAAAATTCACCTTATTTTTTTGAAACACCTCGTACATCTATAAAACTATTTTCCTGGTGCAATCAATATCTTCAATTCAAGTCACTTTTCCTACAGTCTAGCATTTTCCTGAATCGAGAATAGGCGGAAACGGAATAGTTTTCCGGGTGTTTCGTGCATGTTATCGCTCCCCTTAAGAAAAGGTGGCAAATTAGCACAGTCATATGAGACAAACATTTTGGCAAACGCATGACAACTTTATTCGCATGGATTTCAGTTTTTGAGTTTTTCCAGATTTTATAATAGTAAAATGTTGATGAATCTTTGATTCATCGTGTAGAATATCCAATGTGACATGAGCTGTGTGACACATAGCACCGTCATACTGAAACTGTTTTGTTATTGATGGGGTTTAGGTATTTAATCTGTGGTTTAGGCATTAATAATTAGTATCAACAATAAATATTAGTATTTATTTCCATACTTTAACAATCAGACCAGTTGTACGACGGTACTAAGAGAGAGCGTGGTCAAGGTCCCTTTTATGACAGCTCCCCTTCGCCGTGTCTCTGAACCCGATAAAGGTATCACATCAGGAATGATAGAACAGAAACCACATATTGCTGGTATCCAGACCATCAAATTCAGGTCAAAAGAAGTTGGTAATCATATACCTATAGTGCTCACCGTTGACAGTGATGGCCTGGCCACTTATTTATGTATACGGGTAATCTCCATGAGGAAAAATTAATGAAGCAAAAACAGTATTTCCTTAAAACTAACTTAACCTCACTGGGGATACACTACAAAAACACACTTTTGTCTATTTTCAACGATATTTCTTTATTGTTAACTAGTTTCGGCTATTACACCATTTTCAAAACAAGACAAAAGTGAACAGTGAACATGAATTTCCACAGAATAAACAAGTCGTCAATCAAAGAAGTAACTTAACCTCAATGTAAGTATAAATGTAGACATATATCAATGTAAATATATAAAATTTGAATGACGTCAACTTAAAATAATAATCCTAACTGCTAATCTATTGAATTCTATTGCTACACTGCTTTATAAAAGTATTGAATGAAATTCCTATAATGTCAAAATAAAGATGCTTGGCTTCACCCAAAAGAATTCAATAAATTTGTTAGTTCCAAGCAATCAGCTGCTGGCGATACAAAAATTATATTGAAATTATCAAGAATTAACAAAATCTAAACTTGAAATGTTGATATCATTTATGGTTTCGTCTCCAGTGAAAACATTTCTTTATACGCAAGCTCCTTTCGACTAGATTTTAGGATTCATTGCTCGCTCGCAATTTTTCTTATAAATATTAATTTTTATTGAAGAATAACGATCCGGAAATTTTGTAGCAATTGACTGACATTCGACTTCTGCAAAATATGAACTCAGTTGAGTTCCTCGAGTGCAGATATTTCGATTTTGTTTCTCCCTTTATAGTAAGATCCATGTTGTTACCGTAAACGAGATGTTTTTTTGTTTCAATTTTCCCTGTTAATAACAATTTTCTAATCTTTCTGTCTAGAATTCATTGCCAGAATAATAAATATAAAGACATTTTGNACTGTACACCTACAACATAAAACAAACCTACATACAAAATTTCAGCCTCTGAAAATTGGAGCGGTATGGAGAAACAGTGTGGAAAAGGAAATTTTCATATGTATTTTCGTATTTATAAGTATAGGTTGAGAGTTAGGTAGAAAAGCATATGATTCAAACTGATATATTATATAAAGCTCTAATTAGGTAGAATTCAATAAAGTGGTCCTTGAAATTGTCGACCTATATATCAGATTCACAAATTGCAGACTCATGGGTATTCCTTCGTTGTCCCAACTGTTCGTGGACTGGGACGGATATCTCTTGGCAAATATCATCGATTTGTTCCACCATACCGTTTGCGATACATTCGGACATTCGACGTCAAAAGTACTTTATCTCCCTCCTGGCTATAAGCGCGTCTCATTATTCATGCAGATATGTCACTTTATCCCATCCGAAAAGGTATTTGAATATTGCCCCGAGCGATGTTCCTGCTTACCTGGAATATTCAAAAGAGACAGAAAACTTATTACGACATAAAACGAGTGAGAATTTTGATGGGAAGCATGCCCTGCGCTGGCTGGATTATGTTATGATTATATAATGAAGTCATTTTCACGGTTTATTTTTAGATGTACGAAATTTTTGGGTGAATAAAATCCGGGGAAGAAGCTCCTTAGATGAAGTGGTTACATACAGGGTGTTCCACAAGGCATAACAGTCAGCAAGTGAACTGTTGGCAAAACATGCGGTTATTTTGAAAAAAAAAAACGTTCTGACCCAAGAACGATTGCAATTTTTATAGTTATTCAATGGAAATTGCCATCGAGCTCCCGATTTCCTTCGTTTCAGTAAAACTGTCCACTCGTCATGAAAATATAGATCTTGAAAATACCAACAATACGTTGTACAGTTTTCAGGTTCAGAACAGTGTTCCCAGATTTTGAGAAGCAGTCTTTGCAAATTTTTGTATTTTTGTTTTGGTATGGAAAAGGTGTTTTAGAATTCATTTCACGCCAAATGTGACAATCCCGTTTGAGGTTTTGACGTGTTGCAATGAGGTTTCAGTCGAAACTTGTCCCTCTCACAAACAATCCTGTTTTTTTTTTTAAGTTTTGTTTGCCTCGCAGTACTTTTTTGATAACCCACTCTGTAAACGCTTGGTTTATTGAAGTAAAATCGTTTGAAAACTAGTCGAGTATGAAAAAATGAACCAACCAGTCACGAACTAGTATCGATTGATTTCATATAATCTAATTTTAAGCCGAAGCTTTCCATACAAAAAGTGTGTTAAACCTTGACCAAGGCATTGTCAAAGTTCTCCAGATCCGATTACACTCCGCAGTGCGAAAGAAAACCTGCAAACCTCTTGATCTAATTCTCTCGATTTCGTGAGATAATCGTGCGATAATCTCCGTGTCCTTTTGATGGTATTACCATGGAAAATGGTTTTCAATCTAACGGAAAAAGCTAAAATGGGTCGAGTTCTAGACCATTGGAGAAATAGTAACGGTACTCTGCATTGTCCATTAGATCCAGAAGGATTTGTAAATTTCGGAAAATCGTTCGTATTTCACTACAGAATATCCTGCTCCATCTTTAAACAAAAAATGTGGTAATCTTTCAGAGAAAGGAAGGAAGTAATCAATTTTAAAATGAATTGATGGATGTAGCCGTTACTACGTGGTAGGAAATCATAATGAAGAAAAAAGAATTGCAACTTTTTATGTTCTTTACCAGTTTTATTTGTAACTAACGTTACTATAGTTTCGTCCTATTTCAAACTTATACAATATGTACCTACATTTAGAATCCATCTGCTTCCTTACAAAAATACAAGTTTTATTCAAACCGGTTTTGAAGTTTAAAAGCATTTCTAGTGTTGAGTTCTGTTATTCAGCAATAATGAAATCAATGGGTTCACCTTTTCCCAGCCTTGAAGATAGTCTCTCTATGTCTTTGTCATTCGATTGTCGCAAACATTCTTGTCACGTTTGCCTCAATGTCATGAATTCTCATCGTGATGCCCTTCTGTCCCAGTTTCAATAATTTTCAAGAGTAGGGATGGAAATTCTTCGATGGGACTTGTTCCAGCGGAATAAATTTTCCTTAATCTTTGTTACTGTGTTGATATATTCTCTGAAACTTTTCAAAAATTAATGTAAAAAAGTGTTTCAAAATTTTAATTTTTAGTTATAGCTCAAACTAATTGTATTCATCTTTAGTGTTACTCATGTTACCTTAGTTTTTATCATTGAATTAATTGGAATTTGAGTATACCATCTTTTATTCTTCGTCTTCTTTTTCCATTCGTTGGCCCAGCAACCAGGGCTATCCGGCCAGTTAGTAACGAAGTTAATTAGACAAATTGACGTCGCTGGGTTATGACAGTTGTCATGTTATCTACAAAGCAGTGTTGCCGCAACTCTTGAAAAAAAGTACTATAAGGTGAACGAAAGAGAGTTCTAGATCTACTGTTGAGAATAAAAATCTACTTCTTCAAAGTAGTACTTCTTTCAAACTTATATAGTCTGTTCATGGCACAGAAAAATAGATTTGAATAATGAAGGAATACTGTTGCATTTCTAAAACTATAAGTAGAGTATGCAAACGTATTCTAAAAACACTTTATTGTGTGATTTTCACTAGACAGTTCAACAAAAACGCAACACGTGTTTCGCCATGCAATGGCTTCCTCGGGCGTGTCTTAATAATCAAAGATCAATTATTTATAATGACTGACATAGCTTTTAGAATAATTGGAGCATTCTGAAATGTTCTACTCGTAGTCCAGGCTTTCTTCTCTAGATATTCTGTAGTATATTTTGTAACACAAACACCTTTATCGAATAAATTTCTATATTTAGGTCGCCTCCTATCAACCTAAAATCTCAATATTTATCTCGAAATATGTTTCGGAGCAAGTAGTGAGTTAGCTTCTGTCTATGAATAATGCACTCAAATATACCGATAGAGAAGCGATTATTTACGAGTCTAGTTACATCACGAAATATCGAAATCTATAAGAGGATATCGAAAATGAAAACATTATTTTCTTAAATAAATATTTAAACTACACTTATATTAGATTGCAGAGCAGACATCATTGACAACATTATCGATTTATTCATCAACAGAAACTATTGGAAGCATCACAGGAAAGAATTGATCCTGTATTGTTATAATATAGACGAGATTCATCAGAAACGTTGCTTTATTATTTATGATAATAATAAAAAAAATTGAGTTAGAATTCTTTTTGACATATAAATAATTACACCGAATCATCTGAGACTATCACTGTCAATCCTTTTTCTTCTATCAACACTGAGAATACCAATCATTGACATTAATGAAACCTTTTTGTATATTATTAATGTTTTTTTTTCAGAAAAATGACCACACACTCAGATCAATCGAACGCCAAACGATTGAACTTGGAAAAGGCAACGAACTTCATGAGACAATACAGAGATCCTCAATCGAGAGAACTGAAAAAACTATCGGCCAATCAGTTTATGGAAGTTTGGAGCCACTATGACAAAGACGGTAAGTTAATTCAGCAAAGTAAATATTTCCTTCAAATATATAGTGTCTTCCGACAGGGATACCGAACTTGCCTGAATTTCTACAAGAAGCTAAATATTCTATTTAGATCCACCTCGACAATTCTTCAGAATCCGTCCCCATCTTCAGAATATCCATTATTATTTTCAAAATGTCATGAGTTGTACACAAAACGGTTCTCTGAAAATGCTGGACGGTCATATAAATAACCCACTGCAGCTTTCTGTTGACAGAAATGAACTAAAACACAACTCTGATCGACATCCAACATCAGTTTACGTGTTAACAACGTGGACCAATCAGAACAACCTACCATAACTGCAGACCAATCAGGAGTGGCACATCACACCCCCACTAGTATAAATACTATTGAGCCCGCAGCTCCCCAGTCAGTCGCTGCTGAGACATCGGCTACTTTCCACCAGCTTGTATTTTGCTCTCTCTGATCGTAACTCCTGCCGTAAAAGCATATATATTCGAAGGGTTAGGTCATATGTTTGGTTAGTTTTTGATAAACCTAGGTTAGGGTAGTTTTAAACAATGAAATTTTGGAAAATTAACCGTCTCAAGTCTGTAGAAAAATATGGTTTGAAAAAATGTCTTTGAATTTGGGACGATATACGTTTTTTACATTCATACGAAATCTAGACGGTTTCATTCTGGGGCGTTCACGACCCTTCAGTGACTCCTTTGACTTCCAGGAGGTTTTCTTTCACGACACAGTTAACTGTGTTGCCGGAAATTTCCGACCCTCTCAACTGTGAATAACTGCATGTTTCTTTCCTGCAGGTAATGGTTACATCGAAGGCATCGAGCTGGACGGATTCCTACGAGAGTTCGTCTCCAGCGCCAACGCTTCCGACGTAGGACCAGAGGTAAGCCAATAACGAAAAACTACAAAAGAAAATAAAACAAATCCTCCCCTTCTGCCCCAATATCGCCACTTTCCAGATCGCTTTATTCCTCCCATCTCGAGAAAAACTCTTGTTTTCGACGTTGCTCCGTGAATTATTTCCATAGTCTGGAACTAACCGCATATATCTTCGAGGAGTCTAGACGCCCTGAAGCGCACATTTTCCCCGATGCAGGCTGCTAACGACTACTTCGATGGATCGCTATTTTTCCACGAGAATTTATGAATACGAATGAGCGGATTGGAGTGCGCGAAAGATTTGCTTTTTGTTTATCCGAAAATGAATTGAACGAGTGTCCCCTTTGGCTTCTCGAAAAGGTTTATCGGCGCTGGGATTTTATTATAACGGCGTGGGAGATTTGCATTTTGTTTCGGAAATGAGGTTGTTTTTTTTCGAGAATTAGTAATGAGGTTGTTGGCCCTGCGGCGGAAAAACAAATATTTTACAACGCTTCATTGTGAAAGAAGAACATTAGAGAGTACGAAATTAAGTCAATATTGTTATTTACAGGAGGCAACCTTATATATTTTCAATTTTGAACGAATAAATTTGTTTTTATATTTTGGCGAAGGAGCCGATGGTAATTATACAATGGTTTGATTTGAAATAAACTCAATACATTTTATTATTTTTTGGAAAAATTGTTGGACACTGCGATTTGTATTTGGAACTGCGTTTTTTGTATAGAAATAAAATTATATAGTACGTCCCAAATATGAGATATCGACATGTGTCTTTTGTGTTTTTAAATCGACACCCAAAGAGCTCATTACAGTTCGTAGGCTAAAGAGTTCGCGGGCCAACATAAAACGAGTTTCAACGATTACTTCCATTTCCTTATGTGAAATGATGGAGCCATGTTTCATCTAATGTCACATATCGATGCATACATTTGGATTCAAACACTGTTCAGAATCATCAATTCTTTGTTGTTTTTGGTCGACTGTAAGCTTGCACGGCACTCACGTTAAACAGAGCTTTCGCATACCCAAATATTCATGAACGATATGTCCAACACGTTCCTTTGATATCTTTAAAGCCACAGCTATCTATATCAACTTCTCTGGTGCGCGACAAGGGGGCTGAAGGGTGGAGCCCTAAGAAAACCTGAGGGGTGAGGCGGGCACAAGTCCGCGCTCTTATCTTTGAATCTCTCCGATACTCATTCCATCCTTCTCTGCATTGATTACGTCACACGTGTCTTGAAAATTGCAAGAAATGAAGCGCCATAAAAAAAGGAAGGGATTTTGCGCTCGTACCGGCCTTGTTCATCTACTGATTTGAATTTCCCGCTTTACGCGCGGTAGCTTCTGATTGGTCGACTGGATGACGGCAAAAGTGGAGGAGTGGGTATGCTCTAAAGTGGCGCCACACCTACTGCGGTCATTCAAAATTATTTCGTGGACTTTTTTATGTTTTCATCGATAACAGCCACTATAAGGCGCCAAAAATCAATGCTTTATCAACACGAAACTAAGAAAAGTTGCTTCACTCAAAATGTTCGATCTCACAAACTAATAATCCGATAGCTGTGAAATTACACGTTTTTTCATGTAGGGGTCCCAAAGTTGCATTTTCCTAACATAAAATGAAACACTTTTGCCGTTAATATCATCTGAATCAATTTTATCAATCAAGATTTCAGATTAATGACTCGAAACCAAAGTATCCTCAAATAATAGCTTGCTTTTATAATACATACCAACAGCTTTTTTGTGATACCTTTTCATTGTTGTACCGGTGATGGTTCAATACATGTTCATTGTATTCAACAATGGAAATTATTTTTCCTGATGATACAAATACTCTTGTATATTGAATTTGAATCAATCGGAAAAATAATCACACTAATTTTTGGTATAATTTCGTTCCAGGTTGTATCTGATGAGATGCTGATCGAATTGAAAGCTTGCTTCATGGAGGCCTACGATGACAATCAAGATGGTAAAATAGATATAAGAGAGGTATGCTTTTATTCTCCTTCATAATTTACAAAAATACTACAAAATGTAGCCCAAGCATAGAAGGCATCGCATGTAATTACTTGAGTAATTTATATATATTGTAATAATATAAATAATAAATGCCATACGTTACAAGGGAGCCAAGCCTCCGACCACTTTAAACAACACAGGCTCCGCGAGACCGATCCAACCAGAGACACACGTCCCGATTTGTAATTTGAGTTGCAGAAATTATAGTGTTAGAGGAGGCTAGCCTCCAGTTGCCGTCCGTTAGTGTACGACTGCGTTTGTTTTTTATTTAATTATTCGGACGGGATGCTGTGACGGACCGGCACTGAAAAATATTTCGGTAAATCGTTTTAGTGTTTCGATCAACAAGTGATCATCTTCAAAGAGGAAGATTAAAACTGAGTTTTAATCGTTCGACTGTTTACTTACTTTATTTTTCACACAATATTTGAATATTTCAGCTCGCCCAACTTCTACCGATGGAAGAAAACTTCTTGCTCCTCTTTAGATTCGACAATCCTTTGGAATCCAGCGTAGAATTTATGAAGGTAATTTACTTTAAAAGGTAACAAACAATCTGAATGGGTATTCCGGAATAAGAACAACAAGGGGGAGGTTTTCGGAGTTGTTAGAGCGAGATGATCCGGATGTCCGGACAGTAATATAATACAGCATCAGGTCGAACATTAAATCGAGAGATGGATGTCGTTTGACAGGAGTAATAGTGGTCGTGCGATGAATATAATATTGATTTTTTAACGTAGGCCCTTCTCTGGGTTGGGAATTCTTGATATTTTTACTGAGGATAAACTACAAAAACATACTTTTGTATATTTTTCACGATATTTCTATATTGTTGACTAGTTTCCGCCATTACACCATTTTCAATGAAAGAAGTTGATATTTTTAACTAGTGTGTGTTCGAATGAAGAAGGTATTTACAATACTTCATCTTTATTGATCAACCTCTCAAATACAGACCATTTTCGTGTACTTACACGATTTAATGAATTTTTTTTCTTTAACCACCCTTCTTTACACATATTTTCAACGCATTTCCGGAACTTTAAATACTGGCCTACAATTTCAGAAGATCGATATTATTTTTGTTAAATTTTTTGTTCTTTCATTGTAATATCTTTGTTTTTTTTCTGTTCTTGCAAAAAACAAACACCTCTTTCTTTGTTCAACTGAATTGTTTAAAACTTTTGAATTATTTGTTAGCACAACTTGGCTGAGATCGTAAATTTTTCGATGTGAAATCACAAATCGAATAATAATTACTTCAGTCATAATTTTCAATCAATGCGAACCGAAATGATGTGAAATTGTGAACTCGACTATGAACGTCTTTCCATTTCACAGATTTGGCGAGAATACGACACCGACGGCAGCGGATACATCGAGGCGGACGAATTGAAAGTATGTATTATTTTCCGTTCCTCTTCCCGGAAAATGCACTTACCTGGAAATTTATTTTCTATTGCAGAACTTCCTGCGCGACCTTCTGAAAGAAGCGAAAAGAATGAACGACGTCTCCGAGGATAAGCTCATTGAATACACCGACACGATGGTGAGTAAATCATCGGTAGGACGTGTATCTTGTCGTCGAGGGGGCTATTTCTGTCAGTCGGAGGGTTGGCAATATTTTGTTTCAGACGAACATTTCGAGATGCAGCAGTAACGGAATGGATTATAAATACAGTACGGATTATAAATACGGATTATAAAGCATTATTAGAGATTCGCAGGCTAAAAGCAGAATCTGGCGCAAATACAAGCGTGTGTGTAATTACAGAATGAGGATAGTAAAAGTTAATTATTTCGGTATATTCCTAAGCTCCATAATGGTCATCTGTTATCTTTGATATCACTTTGTTTCCAGCTCCAAGTATTCGATTTCAACAAGGACGGCAGGCTACAACTTTCCGAGATGGCAAAGTAAATATACGACCATTGGTGTTGTACGTTATTTAGACTTCCATTCATTTATTTCTTGCGATTTCACGGTCTGATCTATCGGAAACATGGCCTGAAAAGTTGGTAATCTGTTCGATTGGAAAGTTTTGTTGCTTTCTCCAGACCGACAAGTTCGAGAAGAAGATTGCTTTTGTTATATCGTTACAGATCTGATCAATACAAGATGTGCTACAAAGTTTGGGTTGTTACTTACCGAAAATGGATTTTTAATGAGTTCAGGATATAATATTACCTGTCGATCAGTGTCTTGAACTATAGCATTTTATATAGAAAATCTTTATACAGCTTCATTCATGACAATATGCTGATCTAGTTTTGTACATTTTGCTTGACAAATAATTAATGAAAATAGTCTAGGGATGTGAGATCGGGAAACCTGAATGGCTACTCGAGAGACCCCTTTCTACAAATCCAAATGCCAGACAAATGATCAACCAAATATCATCTGTTCCAAGCAGAATATGGATCTCGAAGTCCATTATTGGCCATAGAAACGTATCAGACCATGTTTCATTCTAACTGCTTCATGTATGATTTCTCTCTGAAGCTTTCTTTTAGATCAATAACTAAGAAATAGCGTAGATAATGACTTAGCGCTAGCTCTGGCCAGTATTATTAGGTACTGTTCATAAGAAACTGTTGTTCTTCAGGTTGCTTCCAGTTAAAGAGAATTTCCTTTGCAGGCAAGTCTTCAAGGTAAGTAGAACATCGATGTTGACTGCGGAATCTTTTATCGATTTCAGCATGATTTTTTCAATATCACTAACGAAGGATTGAATGTCAGTATAATCAAAGCACTTCGAATAACCTACTTAAATTTCAGAGACTGCAAAGAAACTTACAAATTGCTTTAAACAATTAAAGGGTCACTTTATGAGCTTGTAATTTTTTTAACAGTAAAAATCCTCATTATATGTAATTTTTTTTTAAAGGCAATGCAAATGGCTACAAAATCCATGATAAATTATTGAATACTTGTTTGTTGTGTATCGGGTATACGCGAGAAAAGTAAAGAAATACCAAAATCAAAATAAAAACCCTTCAATTATTGAAATCAAAAGTAAACAAAAAGTTGTTTTTGTATTATAATTGATGGCTCAGTATCTTGTGTTTCCTCCTCGGATGGACATCACAGCTCGGATTAGCTGGGGCATGGTTCTTATGAGCCTTCTGAGGTTTTTTTAAGGCAAACACTCCCATTCTTCTCAAAGAGCGATTTCCAGCTCATCCAAAGTGGTGGGTTGGTTTTGACGGCATCGGATGCTTCTTCCCAGTTGATCCCACACATGTTTGTTGGGATTCAGTCCTGGACTGCAAGCGGGCCCTCCTGCTTCTGCTCTGTGGCGTATCTGGATATCCAACGCATCATTAACGTACCTTTGGCGCCGTCAGGGATCCGTTGCGGACGACTGTAACACCATTGAGTGTAATTCCATCCCACACTATTATTGATCCACCTCCAAATGGGACTCTTCAAGAGAAGCAGCAGGGAATAAAATGTTCATTCCTTCTTCTGTATACTCTGGCCCGACCATCAGTACCAAAAAGAGTGAATTCCAAAGGTCACATTATTATATTCATCATGAAACTTATTCTTGTACACGATCATAACAAAATAGTGATCCTTTGATTGTTTTGAGGAGTGTATATAAGGCGGCCCAAGAAAATTCCCAAAGTTTCAGTATACTTTGGTTTTAACACTCTTGAAAGGGGAATTTCTATATTATATTTGAGCAATACATCCCTTTGAATGGAGTGCTGAGTTGATTTAACAAATTTAATTGCCTTTTGGACTCTATAGATCTATAGATCTAAGTTAACAAAAACATTTTTCATTTTCACCAAAAACAATTTGCCCACCAACACTGATTCGGCTACACTTGAGTAGATTTTCCTTGGTTTTTCTCACTATCCTCTCAAACAATCTATCGCTAGTTTTTTCCGATCTACTGCACTTTGCATTTTTTATTCATAGTGCTAACTTAAATTAAACTGAATATCTAAATTAAAGCACTAAGTAAAAACTGAAAAACTATCTAAATAATCTAGCCAGAGTTAAAGTAGTCTAGTACGATTCTTTTATATAGTGGCTAGTACAAGTCTGAACTTTTAAATCCCCCACTAATATTGTGACCAAAAATTTTGCACGGCTTTATATGTCTGTCTTTGTGGCTGAACACTTCAGGAAGGTATTGAAGTAAGTATGACTGTTTCTGACGTAGACACAATAGTTATTTTCTCAGTCTCAGTTCTCAAGATTTACTAGGAGAAATCGGGGTTATTTCTATTTAACGAACAACCATATATATATTTTTCCAACTCCTCAAACCGTACTCCTAAAAAGAATGATCAAGTGTTCAGAGAATAAAGTTTTTTTTATGTACTGATTACTGACAGTGTGGGGTGCCAGCCAAAACAAACTAAAATTTCAACCGTTTTCTCCTAATAAATAATGTTAGGCCTTCTGTGGTTGCAGCATGATTGATAACTTTGCTTCAGTCTATGCTTCTTGTTACGTAAGAGACTATGATAACAAAATGCATGCATATAGCACTTCACATACACCACAAACACTAACATATACCTACCTGTAATACTCGTTACATTTATTCATGAAATTATTTCAGAGTAACTGAATTGGGTTGAAAGTTCAACTGGACTTTTTGAATTTTTTTTTGAAGATATACAGGACAGGACAGGTTTGCAAAAAAAACTTGATTTTTACAAACAATTACCAAAGTCTTTTATGCTCTAAGCTCAAGAAAAATGAATCTATTATAAGTGAAAAAGTTTAGGTAAACAAGCCAGACCAGTCCTTGTGAGATCCCTATATCTGACGTGAATCATTACCCCCACCCCAAGTTATTTGTGTAAATATATTTAATTATAACAATGCTCTGTGCTGTTCCATGTTACTGTTGATAATTTAAGACAATATTCATCTCATTATTTTTTTATTATATTTAGGGAGCCACCAAACTGACCAGAGCTGACATTGAAAGAGTTTTCGCTTTGTATGACAGAGTGAGTAAAAATGCAAATATACATTTCTAATCGACGTTTTTATGATCCACGTCACGTTCAAAATATTTGAATTTGCGGGTTCCAAAACGCCAATTTTTTTCTAACACTTCAGCAAGTTATTTTTTAACCACATTCCGAAAAAACACACACCTTAATTTCACTGCAATTGTTGCAGGATAACAATGGTACGATAGAAAACGAAGAATTGAGAGGATTCCTGAAAGATCTACTGGAGCTTGTTAAGAAAGTGAGAACATTGACGGCAGTTATATTTTATTCCATTCTCACTTATTACTATTATAGGATTATGATGCTCAGGACTTGCAAGAATTCGAGGAGACGATTCTACGAGGTGTCGACTACAGTCAAGATGGAAAAGTGAACAAGAAAGAGCTGACGATGATTCTCCTGGCCATAGCAAAACACAACCAAGAGGAAGAACCTACGACAACAGCAACCACAACTTCATAAACCGCATATACTCTATCTGATCAACATCTAATCTGAAACGGAATAGGCCAGCGATCAAGAGAAGAATTACGCTTTAGCCAACAGTTATTTTGTTCCAATTCGTTGTTTAATATTTTTGGCATACACTCTCCATTACTTTCATCTAAATCTATCCAGTAAAACAATTATTATATGCAAATCAGCACCAAATCCGGGCAATTGGGTCAAGGTCAAAAGGAATTTGTGTAAACAAACGTATCGTCTGCTAATGCGGCAGACATAGTGTATGTGTTAACCGCAAATAGAAAGCGGTATCCCAAAGTCTCAGCAACGCAATGACTGACTGGATAGCTCTCTGTTTACTAGTATTTTTAGTAGTAGGGGTGGTGGGAGTGAGGTGTCCCTGCAAATGCTCACTCATGCTTGGACGATGAAAGTTGTATCCTAGTCCATTTTTAACCTTCACAAGTTCACGGTCTGTCGACTCTACTGAACGTGTCTGCTATAATAGCAGACGAAATGTTTTATACTATAAGTTCTTTTCAACTATGATCTGATTGCACAGATTTTTTTCTCTATAGTTTTACCGTAAACTTCATTATTCATCGGCTTCTCCCAGAGCTGACCTATTTCCAAAATTCTAAGATAATAATCAGTACTGTTGCCAACTTATGATGTAACTTGAGCAGCACAAGTTGCAGCTGAATTTAATATTGAAATTATAAATATATGTTTAGGGTTCTACGTGTGACACCAATTTTAAGACTAATAATTTTATAAATGTCTATTTCGAGATGTATTTGAATCAAGTCATCTGACATACCATCTAGATGTATCATAGAAGAATTCTTCAAGCTTTGCATATCATAAGGAATTTAATGTAAGCCAATTATCTATAGTCTAATATTTGGAGGCAATCAATGTACTGGGGGTTCCCTGATCATACTAAAGTTATTCTGAAAGGTAAAAAATTAGATAGCAAAGGAGAATTAAATCACTAAACATAAACAGGATAAGTGTTCAGTAAATGTTTATTCCAATGAGAAATTTCTGATTCTAACCATTTATCAACTGGTGAAATCGCAAACAGAACTTTAATCTCACAGTAATTCTTCAAATTTCATACAAATTTTTTTGAATTCCTTCAAAACGTCATATAAGAGGATGAACGTTTTGGTTTGCTTGAAGGACTGAGTATTTATTTCTACTCAATTTTTTTTTTAAATAACACCGACATCATTATAAAATGGCTATCGTTAAAGTTTAAAATTGTGATCTTTCTGGAGATTTTTTCAAAATAAATATTTGCTGAAAAAGTTCTTTACATATTGAATAAAAGTTATTTTTGTGGAGAGAATCAGAATTTTTCATCGACTTTTCTGGGGATTTAAACCTCTATAATGTTCTTCATTACATTTTTTTTTCTAAATGTGTAAAGTGAAAATTCTCAGAAAAGTCGATAAAAATATGCTTCACATTGTTTACTTGCCGTATACATTTCAGCGGTATTATATGTTTGTGAGAAATATTCTGTACGAAATATTCCAATTCAAATTTTAGTTATCCAAAGACTGGAAACACCGAGCTTTCTCAAATATTTCTCTAACAATTCGTCCTATTTGTGTACGTATTGGAACCCAAAAAGTGTTGCGATAATCATGACTTTGTCAGAACAATATATTCTGATTCATAAGTCTATTAAAAAGTCAATAAATTCGTAGAAATTATCAAAGAAAACGTGAGTTGTGATGCTGGAATTTTTTCGCAAAGTGCCATGACATCGCTTCAATTCTTCGGTCAAGCATTTTGTTTGGGATCAAATAGTTGCCAAATTTATCATAATTTTAGGTAATTTCTATTTGTATTCGTATTCGTTAAGAACTAATTTCCATATTATTACTTGATTACTGAGTATTTTTTTATATGATGGATATAGTTGTTGGATTAAATGTCTGATGAGAAACGTCCTGTTTGTTTTTGTACCCCATTCCTAACCTATATTTTTTCATTAAATGACCTTACAATCGAGAAAAGCGAAAAGTCTCCAGCTGTAACTACAATTTCCTATTACGGCTTGGATGAGAATTTTGTATATTTAACTCACTAGTAATAATGAACGTCACCAACAATTTCTTGTCATTTTCAATTTTACTTTTTGCTAAGCCATCTATTCATGTTACGTTCAGAACAGCAGGTTACTTTAAAAAACAGTTCACAAAGCTGGAATTCATTATTATTACTTCAAAACTTGTTTTGAAGTAATTCCACATCAATATTTATTAGAATTTTGGTGATGAAATTGAAAGTAAATGAACAATAAAGTGTTCAACGGACTCACAGTTTACCCATAAATCATAAAAAATATCATATGGTGCTATTTTCAGATCGATCCTACGTTTGAAATGTTTCTTTTCTTGTTTATTACATACCTCAACACATCTCAACAAGTTTTCTAGATACATTTTTTATATATATGAGATGATGCAGAAGTTTTTTTGAGGGGTAATAAAAAAGTATTACATCTGTAGGAAAAATGGGAGACACCGTATATGTAGTTATCTTGTCTTCTGCGGTAACAGAGACAACAGTCAAAATAATAATTTTTCTGAATTGCGAAAGAAAAGCGAAGAGTATTCTGCTTGTATGACCAAGTACTTGAGATTCAAAAGCAATATTTCGATTAGATTTAGTGAAACTTGCTTGTTGTTTGGACTCTTCAAATTCTTCACAGAATAGTGGAATAACGTCAAGTTATCAACGAATTTCTAATATTTAATTAAGTTTATCAAAATCATCAGGTACTGAAATTAAGGACTATGACGAAAAAAGAAATGAATAGTGTCGGTTTTTGAAAAAATCCTGAATTCCCAAAAAAATGGATTCTACCCTCAGCACACCCTGTATACAATACCGATTCTAGTGTCCATTAATAACCGATGGGGTTCGTGTTCATAAACGGAAACACCGCGTTACGCATGTATGATGATTTTTAGCGGAAGGTCAAAAGTTTTCAATGCTCATTTTATACGAAGTTCATATCAATTCATAACAGTGCAGACTGAGAAACGATGGACAGTACCGTGATTTTTTTCAAATTTTTCGCACTGCTGATGTTCGTCGATGGAAACGTCAATTCTGTCGGTGAGTAGAAGTTATTCTCTAGTTGAAACATATTTTCTATGTTTTCTGGTGATAACAAATGATATTTATAGGTTCCTGATTTTGTTTTTTGTGTTTTTTTAAGTTTCTTCGAGTGTTTCTTCTTCTTCTTCTTATGCTTCTTGTCTCTTTTCCATTTCTTTGTATCGCCTTCATCATCGGAATCGCTTCCCGACTTTGCCTTTTTTTTTTTGCTTTTTTTTTTTTGAATTCCTTTCTTGGTTTTCGGGGAGGTTCTTTTCTTTTTTTTTTTTTTTTTATTTTCATCTATCAGTTTCATCAGAACTATCTTGTTTCTTCTTTTTCTTAACAGGAACGTCACTGTCACTAGAATCCTTCTTTGACTTTTTTCCTTTCTCTGAACTGACTGACCTGCGCTTCTTCTTCACTACCACTACCTTCTCGTCACTACTGTCACTTTTCTTCTTTTCCATTTTCTTTTTCATCCCCAGCTCTCTAGAAGATCGGTCGTCATCATTCCTCCACAGTAGACCTATTTCAAAGTGATTTCCAACTCGATTAATGGTATTTTACATTTTTTTCAACGCCCTATCATCTTCTTTAGATCTTCCATTTTCTTCCGGGCTTCTTATGTCAAAATTGACAATTTTGAACGAGTCCGTTACTAGATCGTGAATATTTTCATCACTTTGTTCTTGAGATTTACAACAAACGTGAAATATTAAAGACGATTCATCAGCAACTTTTCCCTGGGGGTATCTGCCATGTACTACCCATCCCAGTAATGTTTTTGATACAAACGGTGCATTCCAGTAACTTGATATATATTTTCCTTGCAATAGTTAAAGCACATTGATCCTGACCAATAAGAATTGTTGGTTGTGCATCACAAAAGGAAAGAACAGGTGCTTCTTTGATGTATGGATAGATTGTACTCAGGTATTCGACATCAATGGTTTGTCTTGGAAGTAAGAGTCCACTTACAGTTCGAACTTCATTCATTTTATATATTTTTGAGTTCTCTTCCATTGAAGATACCTCCACTGTTACTCTTTTGGAGTTTTCTTCATTTTTGGTAACATTGTTAAGCCACTGGTAGCAGAGTCAACCGGTCCATCCAGTCCTAATTCATGGGCAATTTTGCTGTCTATCTTTGTTGTCGTAGCTGCCTCGTCTAGTAGAGCAACGGTAGAAATTTCTTTTTTAGATCCTCGAAGTTTCACCGGAATTATTCGAAGAAGGATTGTGGGGTTATCTTGTTGGAAAACATGTATTTTTTCAACTTGACTTTCCGGTCCGACATCTTCATTTGGGTTTGAACAAGAACTTGAGGCTTCGTTTTCCTTTTTTGCAAAATCAAGGTTATGTAATATGTTGTTGTGGAATTTTGGGCAATTTTCAATTCCACACTTTTGTTTCAATCTACATGAGTAGTAAGTAGATACTATGACCTGGTTTCAAACAGTAAAAACAGAGTTTCTTCAAAGTCACAATTTTCCATTTTTCGTCGATATCTAGTTTTTGAACGTTTAGCAGTCAGTCAAATTATGATTAAAAAATCATAATGTCGAAAAACATTTCTCATATTTTTTGGTCGAAAATATATTAGCGTTTTTCATGGAGTGGAATTTCTCATTTTCGTTAATTTTTCTTTCGGAAAAGTGGTAACTTCTGAAGTCAGCACAACTTGATGCAGCTATTGCGATTTTTCTCATCCACACAGAAAAGGTTTTCAAAGTAATTTCATTTTGTAAAGAAGATTCCTCGTCCCATTTGAGTCTCAGGAATGGGGGTAATTTAGTAACTATTTCATTCAAGATTGATGGATTTTTCATATGTCCTGTATTTTCAAAGAGTTCCATAGTAGTTACTGAGTTTTCGATAACATTAGAAAATGGTAAGTATGTTTCAAACCGTCTCTCCCTTGGAGGAGAGGCTCGACGAACTTTCTCTATTAGATTTGAAAGAGGTTGTATTGCATCTCTAGCACTTCTTTTTAAACATCTTTGTAAACGGATTAGATTTTCATCTTCACATATATCAAACAGTTTGGTGAAACGTTTGAACTGACTGTAGAACAAAGGCCAGTCCTCTGGATTCCCATCGAAAATAGGCAAATTTGTTTCAACATTGTCTGTTTTTTCTGAACTTTTTAATTTATTTATCTTCAGAGCGTCTAAAATCTGGTTGAAATTATCAGTAGTCATCGTGATAAAATTGTTTGTCGGTACGAAACCGGTTTTATTTTCTGTTTCTTCGATTTTCCACTCAGCAACTTTTACTTGCAGTGTCATTTCTTCCAAATCTATGATGTTTTTGCCACTAGAGATTGTGGACTTTTTAGATGGAGAATCTTGAATCAGTTCACGTTATAGTTGTGCTTCTTCCTTTCTTTATTAGTTCAGCATCAGTTTCGACTCTCCTTCTCTCAACTTCGGCCAATTTTCTCGTTTCTTTCAATTCTATTTCCAACATTCGTCGTCTGGAGCTTCTTCTAATGAAGAACGTTTCTGCAACTCCGAAACTTGTCGTGGGTCATAACATACGTCGCTATATCTTTCCGAAGGAACTCCTTTAGCTTTCCTCTCAATTCTCCTCAGGTATATTGTAATTGATTACTTTTGGTTCTTTTTCTTTTGCTCAAAGGACCAATGTTCGCACTAGACAGTCCTACTGTAATTTCCTTTGATTTAAGTCGAAATAAACCAGGAATCAAAGGAAATCACAGTAGGAACGACTAGTCCGAACAGGTTTCTTCAATCGCAGGGGGGGTAAATCTGGTAAATACGGTGGCTGAAGCATGATTACAGTGTTGTTCTCGTCCAAAAAATTATGAATAAGCAATGACGAGTGAGCAGGTGCATTACGCCACGGTAATCGATGAAAACAGCGACCAATATGACGTTTGATCTAACTTGGCGTGCTTTCTTTGGTCTTTGCTCTCCTGGGCTCTTCCATTGGGATGATTGGACTTTAGTTTCGATGTCATAACCATATTCCCATGATTCATAGCCAATTATGGACCTTTTGAGCAAATCTGGATCACCGTTAACGTCATTCAACAAATCCTGTCAAAATTCAGCAATTCTTAAATGAACTTTGATGCTACACGCTTCTCGCACAAAACTTCTGAAAAAAATTGCCTGGCAGGAGCCTACAGATTTGCCGACATCCTCAGTAACTTCTCCAATATCCCGCGAAACATTCATCTAATTTTTTGAACAGTCCATTTATATCATTCTGAACAATTCTTGGATGAACTTCATCTCATAAGTAGACCCAATTTGTCTTTCTGGAAAGATGTAATATCGTCTTATAACTGTAGAGTTAATCATCAGCTCCTGGTACGATTGTTCAATGATAAATTAGGAACACATGCCGTTAGTCGATGGTCTCCCAAATCTCTTGACCCCAGTTTTATAGTTGAGTTATTTTAAGAATGAAATTAGTAAACTACCTAAAATATAAAATCCCAAAAAAAGAAGAATAATATTTCAATGAAAGCAATTCCTACAGAGGTACGATTGTTCAATGATAAATTAGGAACACATGCCGTTAGTCGATGGTCTCCCAAATCTCTTGACCGCAGTTTTACAGTTGAGTTATTTTAAGAATGAAATTAGTAAACTACCTAAAATATAAAATCCCAAAAAAGAAAAATATTCTTCTTCTTTTCAATAAAAGCAATTCCTATAGAGGGGAATGAATGAATTAGTTGTAAGGATATTTGTTATGGCCATTCTGTAACGTAACGGAAATTTTTAGAACAATTTAGAATATTCAGCGTGAATAATATAATTATATCAACAAAATGTTGGTCAATTACATTTCAGTTCTCAACAAAATGCATTCAATAATCATTCCAATTTAAATTAGATAGTTAATAATGCATTAAAACCACCAATCCCATTAACCTTGACCGAAGTGCAGCGGTTTGTTTTCCTCATAATCAGCCGCATATCTATACCGCCTGATGAACTAAATTTGAATAATAGTAATGAAAAATCCATCCAACAAACTACGACTTTCAAGGCTGTAACAGACGGACCGAAAAAAATGTTTGTTGTTATTGGATTCGGAAGTAATAAAGAGGCCGTCTATGAGAAAATTGGTGACCTTGGCGCGTTCATAACATCCCATTCGTTTTGTCAGGGATGCCTTATTAGGATACATTAGAAGACAATAATGAATATTATCAATTGTTTGTGTACCTGACAGAAATTGTGATTGATCAAATTGTCGTGGGAGACTTTTAAGTACGCCTTGCATCATTTGGGATCGTTAGGACGATGCTTGGGTAATTATCCGGTGGAAAAGTTCGAGTGGAGGTGTCGAGCAATTTTTCATTCGCCAGGAATCATCGATTTTTTAATTATATCTGCTTTTAGTTATGAGCTTATTGCTCATACTTGCTTACTTACGCTCTATAGTACAATTCCATATAAGTAGACTCTAAATTCTCAAAAATATAATTGCATTAAAACAAAAACATTGTCGTCAAGGTTGTGATTCTATATATTTCATCATCATTTTTACTCATCTGTATGTATATCACTGCAAGATACAGATTAAGGCAAAAACGTCAGTCATTTTTGAGAATTCAGTGTCTACTATTTTGGAATTATAGTACAGCTGGTTCCCAATTGAAAAAAATATCAATTAATTTTCATTGCTTTTTTAGAGCTAACTTCCCAAGATGGTGTGAGCGTCACTAAAAGAGCGATATGTCCAGGAACTTCAACTTGTGTTCTAATAGAATCCTGCCCAATTTTCAACGGAATAATCAATAAGGATTGCGTATTATCCAACAAGTGAGTCATATTTTTTTGTCCCACTCTTCGCCAAGTAGAGTCAATATTATCTTTCATATCAAATAGATCTCTTAACGAAGATCTTCAACAGTAAGATTTGGTATCTGTTAGAACCTTTCTGCCTTTGCCAATCCAGTTCATGAATATAAACCCCTTTTTTTGGTAAAGGCATAACAAAGTAGTAATTCTGGATAAATCGGACTACTACGAAAGGGTCAATACTCTCATTACTAACGGACCGTATGCGAAATTGTCCAGGAACCCGTTACCAAAGATGATTGCTGAAGTAAAAGATGTCCTCAAGAAATGCGACAACATACTTATCCCTAAACTGAAACGGAAGTTACAAGTTTCCAACCCAACGGTGTCGAAACTATATTGCCTCTCAAAAATCCACAAACCAGGAAAATCAAAGCGCCCATCGTGTCAGCTATTGGAGCTCCTACCTACCAAATAGCAAAGTGGCTCACTGAGGAATTTGAAACCTTGTCTATTGCGGAACCAAGTTTTAGTAAAAAAAACTCTTTAGAGTTCATACAACATACAAAAAACGTGGTTCTGCAAGAAGGTGAGATTTTGGTTTCTTGTGATGTTAGTTCCTTATTTCCTAGCGTCCCAATTCCACAGACCTTGCAATAACTCAGGGAATTACTAGAGAAAAATAATTTCAATAATAACGAAATCGATGAATGCGTTTCCCTTACCAATTTGTGTATGAAACAAAATCGGTTCCAGGTAGAAGGTTGCTTTTATGAACAACAGGAATGAACGGCCATGGGAAACCCCTTGTCCCCCTACCTGGCAGACCTATTCATGAGCAGATTCGAAATGGAAACCAAAGAAAAGTCGAAGTATTTTCCTAGGATTTGGCTAATGTGGATGATATTTTCACGATATTCGATACAAAAAAATCGAATATTAAGACTTTGTGTTTCCATTTTGAGTAATAAATATCCATCAATTTCCCACTGGAATACAGATAGCGGATACCTGACAGCAGCGCCCCGGAAAGTACCGAAATCCTAAACACGCAAAACCCCGGCCCAAAAAACCCGTACCGAGCCACAACATCTGGACTACCGCAATGAACCCAGACTACCTCATGGATCAACATAAAAAACAACGAAGAAAACTGGAACACAAAAACAACACAACACAAACACCAACATAAAACACAAAACACACACACAACCTACCCACCCTGAAGAGGCATAAGCCTATAGCAGGGGCCTACACAAACACATACACACACAAAATTGTAAAAACTGTAAAAAACTTGTAATATACGATTTTCATTCATTCATTCATTAGTTTCTAGTTTTAATCTTCCTCTTTGAAGATGATCACTTGGTGACCGAAACACGTGTCGAGGTGTTAAAAATAACGGTTTGGTATTGGGATAAAACTCCAGTAAGATTCATTACTACACCAAAGGTTCCAAACAGTGTATCACTAGTTCTGAACTATTCCAAACCGTTTTTTTTCAGTATTGGCGACTTGACTTGTGGGTTCCAAGGTTCGGGGTTGGTCTGTTGCCCCCAGATGAATGTGGCTCCCACTTTGCTCCCAGGAAAAATGGTTGATGGAAACCGGTGTGGTATTTCCCAAGTGCAAGGAGAAGGATATGAAGGAATAGGGGCTTATCCTTGGGTGGTGCGAGTGGGTTTCAGAAGTAGGTTGATTTTTCATGTACATTGCTTGCTTTCACTTTGAATTCAATCTTCTGAAGATAACTGATAATCTCTAAATGAAAAACGAAGCACATTATGTTTCACTTACAGCTGAAACACGTCGTTTTCAGATATCCTTACCGGAGAAATGAAATATCCTTGCACAGGATCTATCATAAACAACAGGGTTATCTTAACCGCAGCTCACTGTGCTTTGGCTAAGGCTGATAATTACAAATTGTAAGTTATATTTGATTCAACACTTGCTCATTATTTCCACAAAGTTGAGAACAACCACAGCATTTTAAGAGGCTTAGCTTTATAATAATTCATAATTTTCTGCAGGTTCTCTGTTCGCGTAGGAGAATGGCAAACCAACACAGAAATAGACTGCGGAGAAGAATTTTGCGGCCTCCCCGTCCAAGACATCGCAGTGAGTCATGTAATAGTTCATCCGGGCTATCAAAAGCAGACCTTCAGAAACAATATCGCTCTGATGGTGTTGAGAACCAAAATGAACTACACAGGTGAAGACAAAAAGGCGGTAAACCCCAGCAATAGCTTCTATTCGAACCTTCATTTTTCAGCTAGTAGCTGAATTTGTTCTTTCTATAATCTTGGAAACCTTGAAACACCCTGTACATTTATTGTTGCATGTGATATCTCGTGACTCGAAGAAACAAACAACTGATTTTTCGGAAAAGACTAGTTACGTTGGAGAACGAGTTATATAAAAGTTTTTCAACCCAGGAAGGAAGCATTCAATAGTTTTTGAAAAGGCGCATTGTATTGAACGCAACACTTTCACGCCGATATTCTTTCAATAGGAATTCAAGGACAATGGAATTGTTCGGTATTGTTATGTGCGTGTGGGAAATGGGCGAACTCGATAAATGCCATTATATTCTCAAATTATTAGGTTATTTCAAAAGTTTTGTCCGTTTTGATGTCATTAGTTTTTGTAGCTACATATCTCAATAAATACTAGCTGGGTTGACAATTTCATGGGCATTAACATTCAATTCTTGAAGTGAAGAGCTAGCTATTGGAATTATTCTTTCAGCAATAGCATTTTCATAAGAAATAGATTAATCGATGTAACCCTATGCTACTGTTGTAGACTTCCATCCTCCATGCTTCTTAAAATCCGTTATATTTGCTCCTGATTCGGCTAGCAAAGAAACATAAGACCTTCCGAAACAGTGACTTATACACTTCGATTATTTTAACTTTAGCGATACGTCATCGTTGATGTGCATATGAAATAAATCGAGAAATTGTGGTCAAATGTAAGATGAAGTGGCTAATATCCCGATAAAAATTATAACGTGTAGGTAATGACAATAAATTAACATTTTCAAATTTATGGAAATGTCGGATCCAAACAACCTCAAAAGTTAGTTTTCATGTAGATGTGACAGTTAACGAAAAAGGTGGCATTGCAATGTTTCCAAAACATTTGCAGACATTAATATTAACAAAGGAGTTTCCATTAAATCATCCGTGCATGGATGCAGAGACACTGTAAAACTGACGAAAACAATACCCAATAACATAAAACAATGATACTGTCAACTGTCAATATCATGTGTGGCAAATGTAGATAAATTGTAATGTCGGCTGTCTGGTTATCTCTTTCCACTGTTATGAGTATTAATTGATCATCACTGTAACATAAGTCTTTGATTAAAAGACAATTGTTAACGAATTGTCATCTGTTCATAGCGGTTGATAGAAAGAGATGTTACGTAGAGGGTGTGTGATTTCTATGATCATAAATTGATGGCGTATCGGTAAAGTTAAAATAATCGAAGTGTATATTCCTTTGGTTCAGGGAGGTTCAGAAACTCAGCAAAGGAACCTAGAGGGCATGTTCCTAAACGTGTTTATTCCAACTGAGTTGGTACTGTATTGAGTATTTCAGACAAAAACGTTGATGGTTAATAACAGAACGGCGTAGTGCAACGTATTCATTAAAATAGTCAATGTTTTTTCCAACAATGCAAAAAGAACGACCGATTTTCGTTTTTTGTATTTGGAATTTGAACAATCAATGATTTATCTATTAATTTAATGTCTTCTATCAATAAATGGCAAATCTCTTCACGATTTACTGGATGTTTTCATTTCTTGGGGAATTTCAATTTTGATTCCCCGTATGAAAGACGAACTTTTGAAGAAATGGTGGTTATTTTAATTAACTTATTTTCCAGTGACTGCTCAGCCAATTTGTCTGCCAGAATCGTATTCAGTGACGAGTAACGATGGGCTTCTAGTTGGTTGGGGAAAAGCAGCAGGACAACTATGTAAGTTTCTAAATAAGTGTTTTATTTTGGTGCTCTCATGTCGTTTAATTTCATAATAGAGTAAGGAAATATTCCGCTGATCTGTTTCAATTTACATTTCTGATATTTGCCTGGGAACTCCCAAAGCATCATAAAATATACTATAGAAATCATAAAGCGGATAAAAATACCTACTCCATCATAATGATGAATGATAGAAATCGAAATTGATACCTGAGACAGAAATATACGACGGAACCATTGTTACGAGTGCAAAACTTACTCTGTCACAATATACACCGCCATAACGTACTTGTAATTTCGAATCTGGGTGAAACTAGCCAGGTTCAATTCAATGCCACAAAAACCGAGGCATCGGTTTTCTCAACAAAGATAAATATCTCCGCTTTCTGCCTAATGTATGGAGCTCCGCCCCTAAGCATAATCTGAAGTTTTGGATTCCATTCAGAAAAAGCCATTCACCTGATTAAAGACGCGAACACCACTTGCAACCTTGATAGACTAGAACATCGAAGAAAGGTTGGAGATTTGTCTCTCTTCTATAGAAAGTTTCACGGGATGTGTTCAAGTAACTTGGCACATTTGATTCCTCCAAGAGCGGCACATATCAGAAATACGCTACGGACTGGGGCTGCTCATCGTACGTCACTGTTCTTTTGGAGAAGTGCGTTTATGTTGCACATTTTTTTTCAGATGCTCCTCCTAGACAACAGGCGCTGCATTTACCAATAATAAGCATTCAAGAGTGCATCAGGGTCTACGGAAGAACTTTACCTGTAACCGATGAACAAGTGTGCGCCGCTGGAGAGCAGGGGAACGACGCCTGTAGCGGATTTGGGGGTGCGCCCCTTTTAGTGAGACACGGAGACACACATTACCAGGTAATCTTTCTAAGTTCTTCATTATTAGTCTCTTTTGCTCGAGATTGCTGAGAGGTTTATTTTTTCACTCAATCTTTTTAGAGTATTGTTATTAATATTATTATTAGTTACGATATTGGGAATTTTCAATCAATTTGAATACTCTTGCACAAATAGTAACATATTCAAAAACACTTTATTGTGAGACTTTCACAAAACAATTTTACAAAAACGCAACACGTGTTTCGCCATACTTTGCTTCTTCCAGTGTGTCTTTACTAACTATATTCTACATATGCAATGCTTGATATACATAATTTCACAATTTGAAGTACCTGATTTTGTAATGAATTGAATTACCTGATCCCAGTTTCCACATTTGAAAAAATATTCAGTGGCGGGGAGTTATTCAATTCTAATTGATCATTCATTGAATTACCCGAATTCCTCAATCTATTGATTTCTAAACATTCTAGAAGATTGAGTTTCAAACTCTTTTCTTCTAAATGTAACACGTCATATTCATGATTGAACTCATGTCCTTCTGCTAAAAGGTGGTTTGCAAATGTGAAATCGGTCTTTCTATTTACAAAACTACTTCTACGCTCTTTAATTCTTTGGGAAAATGTTCTCCCTGTTTGGCCAATATACAGTTTTGGGCAAAAGAGCCACAAGTCAGCTTATATACTCTTGGTCTATCCGACACCGAAGTTTTGTCTTTATTGTTTTTAATAAATTTATTTAGACTATCATTCGTTTTGTAAGCTACGTTTAGGAGCTACGTTCTATCATTTTTTCTTTAAAAAACAGGTAATATTAGTTCACCCAAATATGACAATGTCCTACAACTGAGTGAAACCATATTAAGTAATTCTCTCAACGTAATCTGTATCACAATCACAAGTATCACAATCTCATTGTCTCTGTCAGCTTGCCGATAGAATGCACCTTTTTCTTTCTATCTTTTGTTGATCTTTCTTTCTTTTGTACATTATCATTAGTATTCCTTAACAAGTTATTAGAAATTCATTTCTCGCATGCCTCCCAACGCTGTTAGATATAAAAAGAGACCAGTATTAGAGTAAGGAATTAGCTTTTGTCCGCTTAGAGGACATCTGAATCAAATGGGGCTGTACAACGGAGACCTCAGCTGCAGATTATGCAACGAAGGGATAGAAACAGCTCTACACATCTTATGCGAATTTGAGGCACTGAGTCACAGGAGGCAGGCAATAAATGGACGTACGAAATTACGTCCAGAAGGATATGACGAACATCCAACAGGGAACATGTACAAACTAGTACAGGGAACGAGACTGATGGAATGGGTGCCATGAGAAGATGGTAGAATAAACGCAATAAGCACAAGAGGCTGCAGTGTTTTCTGGAGACTTAGACTAAATGGACAAGTCAGACAGCTCCCAAGGTACCAAAAAAAAAAAGAATTAGTTTTCTTTATCTCCTGAAGACGCCATTTGATTGTTGAAACTCACATCAAGAGTATTGCATTTCTGGTGATTAGGAAAAGTGTTGGTTTTTGGATATCACTTCAAAATTTTCATTTCTCATTTTTTTATTTCTCAGGTTGGTATCTTGTCTTTCGGATCGGACCAATGCGGCGCTGCTGGAGTGCCAAGTGCATACACAAATATTAAGAAATACGTGACGTGGATCAGAGAAAATGTCCCACAAGTTTACGAGAACTAATAAGAAAAATGCGGATTCTAAAACACGACCTAGTCAAATACGAAGAAACACATTTTTTGGAAGAATATTTGTACTAATGCTGATATCTACTACATAGCTAAGTAAGGGTTCCAGATGCAGATCAAGTTTCCTGCCGACATTTTATCACTTAGTAGCTAAGAGACTGTAACATTAAATTTAATTTAATTAGAATGTAGAACGTGATCTTTGAAAATTATACCAAAGATTGTCAATACCTCAGAGTAGAGGAAACCCAATAAACTTTTCAAAAAGATTTGCAGCAAACATATTTTTTATAACCTTCAACATTGCTTGAACCATTTGATATTTGTCTTCCCAAGTATTATCTGTAAATATTCCTTCGTAGATCGTGGTTCAACAACAAAATAAAAGGAAGCTGCATTTTTATTCATTGTGAGATGCTGAAAACTCACCAAGAGGTCTTTCTAATTATTCGTTTTAACACAATATAGAATGTTTTCTTTCTACACTATTCAAAACAATTGAAGGATCACTCTTTGTAATGATCGTGTTTTATGATAAATATAATAAGAGATACAGATTCAGAGATGGTCGTACAGACCTGGTAGTCGTCCGCAACGGATCTCCGACCGCCCAAAGGTACATTAGTATGTTGGATGTCCAGATACGCCACAGAGCAGAAACAGGAGGGCACAATTTCCTTTTTATGCACGACAGGGCCCGTCCCCACGCTGCAGGGACCGTGTGTCAGTATCTACAAGCCCACAATATCACCCTTTTGGGGTGGCCTGCTTGCAGCCCAGGCCTGAATCCCATCCAACATGTCTGGGATCAACTGGGAAGAAGCGTCCGAAGCCGTCAAAACCAACCCACCAGTTTGGATGAACTGGAAATCGCTCTTCGAGAAGAGTGGTAGCGTTTGCCTCAAGAAAACCTCAGGAGCTCATAAGATCCATGCCCCGGCGAATCCGAGCTGTGATTTCTATTCGAGGAGTAAACACAAAATACTGAGCCATTGATTGTAATACAAAAACAACTTTTTGTTCACTTTTGATTTCAATTATATTGAAGGGTTTTATTTTGATTTTGGTAGTTCTTCACTTTTGTCACGTATACCCAATATACAACAAAACAAAAAAAAAATTCAATAATTCAGCATGGATTTGGTAACCATTTGCATTTCCTTTCAAAATGTTATAACATATAATATTTTTCAACTGTTAAAAAATTACAAGCTCATAAAGAAGTGATCCTTTAATTGTTTTGATGAGTTTATTATATTTCTGATAGTGACAAAAAAGCGAAATGTATTAGCAAACGTATAGTTTCGTAAGATGAACGTGTACCAAAAAAAAAATGAATTTGAATATTAATTACGGTTTCATTTTTTACATACAATCATTGCGTGACTCACGGTCGATGGTAGGTTAGACGTTTCTGGAAAACGCAAAGCATAATTTTTCTGAAAATTTCACCTCTCACATTTCCTTACCTGTTCTATCGATCTAAAATATTTTCAGCATTGCGGCTAACATTAGAAAATGGTAAGTATGTTTCAAACTGTCCCTCCCTTGGAGGAGAGGCTCGACGAACTTTCTCTATTAGATTTGAAAGAGGTTGTATTGCATCTCTAGCACTTCTTTTTAAACATCTTTGTAAACGGATTAGATTTTCATCTTCACATATATCAAAAAGTTTGGTGAAACGTTTGAACTGACTGTAGAACAAAGGCCAGTCCTCCGGATTCCCATCGAAAATAGGCAAATTTGTTTTAACATTGTCTGTGATTTCTGAACATTTTAATTTATTTGTCTTCAGAACGTCTAAAATCTGGTTGAAATTATCAGTAGTCATCGTGATAAAATTGTTTGTCGGTACGAAATCGGTTTTATTTTCTGTTTCTTCGATTTTCCATTCAGCAACTTTTTCTTGCAGTGTCATTGCTTCCAAATCTATGATTTTTTTGCCACTAGAGATTATGGACTTTTTAGATGAAGAATCTTGAATCAGTTCACGTTCTAGTTGTGCTTCTTTCTTTATTAGTTCAGCATCAATTTCGACTCTCCTTCTCTCAACTTCGGCCAATTTTCTCGTTTCTTTCAATTCTATTTCCAACATTCGTCGTCTAGAGCTTAAAGATTTCGTAATTTTTGATTTGTCTTCGGCATAAGATGGTTCTTCTAATGAAGAACGTTTCTGCAACTCCGAAACATGTCTTGGGTCATAACATACGTCGCTATATCTTTCCAGAGGAACTCCTTTAGCTTTCCTCTCACTTCTCCTCAGGTTAGGCATGGACATATTGTAATTGATTACTTTTGGTTCTTTTTCTTTTGCTCGAAGGACCAATGCTCGAACTAGTCAGTCCTACTGTGATTTCCTTTGATTTAAGTCGAAATAAACCAGGAATCAAAGGAAATCACAGTAGGAACGACTAGTCCGAACAGGTTTCTTCAATCTTGGGAACATAAAAAAATCGCAGGGGGGGTAAATCTGGTAAATACGGTGGCTGAAGCATGATTACGGTGTTGTTCTCGTCCAAAAAATTATGAATAAGCAATGACGAGTGAGCAGGTGCATTACGCCACGGTAATCAATGAAAACAGTGAGCAACATGACGTTTGATCGAACTTGGTGTGCTTATTTTGGTCTTGGCTCTCCTGGGCTCTCCTGGGCTCTTCCATTGGGACGATTGGACTTTAGTTTCGATGTCATAACCATATACCCATGATTCATAGCCAGTTATGGACCTTTTGAGCAGATCTGGATCACCGTTAACGTCATTCAACAAATCCTGTCAAAATTCAGCAATTCTTAAATGAACTTCGATGCTACACGCTTCTCGCACAAAACTTCAATGTTCAAAACAAACCTGCAGGATTTGATTTACCTCAAGAACTTCGGCTGACGAATATTTCGCTCAAAGTAGAAAATGAGTGAAAATTCATAGCATTGTACATAGACAGCATACTGAGTTTCAACAGTCATATTCTGCATAGAAATGCAGAGCAAATTTTTATTGTACAAAAAAGAGCTTTAAGAACTATGCTGAAACTAAACTCACGAGAATCATGTAGAGGCAAATTCAGTACTTTTGAAATACTTACACTTATAGGAGTCTATATACAGAAACTCCTGTTATTTCTTTTTAGAAACAAACATCTTTTTGAAAATAGACTACCACAAAATGTATATAACACTAGAAATGTTGACTATGTATACCCAAAACATAGACTAACTGTTACAGAAAGGAGCCCGTTCTATCAAAGCATGGAAATGTTCAACAAACTCCCCACCAGCATCCAACAAATTAATAAACTTGGTGAATTCAAAAAGGAAATTCATAAGATTCTACTGAAATTGTGAACTGTTTAGTGAAAGGCTTCTGAAAAAGGGTCACTCAAATATGTAACAAGATGTGTCAAAAAAAAAAAAAACTTACTTGACATAATCACTATGGTATTTATTAATGCTGTAATTGCAGAGATGCATGCAAGGATTCCAGAGCTGCTTGTGACTAGAGTCGTATTTGACGGTGGCGAATCTAACCAATCCTTCCTCATAAATATATACCAATAAGGGATCAAAACTGGTGACAACAACATACAGTCTAAGGTCGCATTTATGACCAGCTACCAAAAGAGGGTTAGATATATACTTGGCTACCACAACAGGCTCCTCTAGTGGCACCTGATTCGGGGCTTCCACAATGAAAATACCTACAATTATACTGGTTACGAATGAAATTACATACTTTGGAGGAATGAGCTGTACCTCTGCCTCTACTCGAAGCAACCGGCTTGACTATCCACGGCCCTTTCATACGATGATGAGTCGTGCACAATTCCCTGTACTCCAGAGGCATGATGAAAGTTTGAGGGATGAAATCGAAGTGTTTGAATCCTTTAGTATGCTGCATACGCTCGATATTTTTATAGAGACGATCCTTGCGAGTCAACTCATAGGAACGTGGAAAGTGGTTCACCCTCTGATGCGGGGCCATGGACCGAAGAGTTCCTGAAGTGAAATCATGAATAAACACAACTTTGAAAGCATGATTTATTGCAATGCAGACCTGGTTTGGGATGAGATCCGGTCCAGAGCAAGTTGAAGTCAGAGGAATTCGGCGCGACTTCTGTTACTCCATGGCAATCGAGTAGTTTGGACAGCAGCTTCGTCTCGGCCTGTAATACTTTGTAAGTGATGTGTAGTTTGTGGGCAGGCTTTTCTTGAATCGCCAGTTCGGAAGTGTTGGCCAAAGCCGAACTCCTGAACATCAAGACACTGCTTCGTGAACCCGCGGGACCCCCAGACAGCCAAGTTTCTTCCGATGAAAGACCCGGGGCTTCTGTGATGATTTTTTCACTGCAACATGTATGTTTGTCGTCGCTTTTTGTAGAGACATTTTTGAAAATAATGATTTTGGATTGTTTTTACTATTAATACTATTAATAGAAAAATTGAATAAGCAATTCTCCAAAACTGGAAATCCAAAAAACTCTCGGAAATAGTTGCGTTTACAGCTTCAACTGTTGCAAAAACTATCAAAGTATACTGAATTGACCAAAAAAATTATTGAAAGTTTTTTTAAAATGAATTCAATAAATTGTTAGCGTTTCGCTAATCAAGTTAGCATCATCAGAAGATTACTAAAAATCTCGCCTTTATAACGAGCATTTATTACTTTTTACTATTAGGAAACGGACCGTAGTTACGCCAATGCCTCTTCAATTAGTGCCCCTTAATGAGGGTACCATTCTGATTACGGAATGTGGATGGAAAATTATTGTACCACCTCCTAGTTGAAGTGAAACTTGCCAACATTCTTGCGCCGTTATCAACCAGAGATTCTCCCGACGACGACCATGTCACGATTGCTCAACATTCATGTTGTTGTTAGTGCCTCATGACGAAAAAAATCAGTGAAGAAGATATTGAAACATCGCATCTGACCCGAGATAAAATCGAAGGGGGTTTATCAGTGGCATTCGAGAGTCTATTTTCGACGAATTAGTTACAGACAGTTCGAAAAAGTGCAAAAGGAAATATGTCCGTGTGCGAGTACAATAATTTCGTTGACTACAAAGCTGAAGATGACTTCGATATCAAGTTTTATAAGCAATTGGGCGCTGCTCTGCCCGTTATTAATTGTTTGGACGATTTGATCCGGGAACTGAGGGTGATTTTCGAAAGTGATTCGGTCAATATTGATTTGGTTCGATATGTGATGACGGCCTACAAGTCCAACCCGGCGGATTGGAAGAAATTCGCAAAGTTCGACAGATACAGGTGAGAAAATGAAGAACTTGATATGTTTCAATAGGGAACAGAATCTGGGCTGGTAGGCCCACGTCGAATAACCAAACGTTTCGTCCGCTACTGTGGCAGATATCATCAGTGGTATACGCGTTGACTTCGAGGACAAACTTTTAAAAAACACATACCTAAGTCTGGTGCTAGTTCATATGCCTGAAATAAAACATGGTTTTTCATTTCAATCATTCTCAATTAAGACATAATTTATAACAAATTCAGAAACAGCAGTTATATACGGTGCAGAGGTAAATAGTCTCTCCCCCCCCCAGTCTTTCCCCTCTTCACTTTTAATCGGAACGAGATATCAAGGTTGGGTATTATTTTCAGTACTTTTTGATAAGGAAGACAATTCTGTTGCTTTACTCGTTGCCGAAAGGGCAAATAGAAAGAGGGATTTTGTGATAACTCGTTTGATATGTATCTCAACTTTCTATCCAATATTTTTTTGTTTTTTGAAACTCAGTCAGCCATTACCAAGTAATTAGCCAGTTTAATATTCGTTTCAAAAATCTGCAAACGAACTATGAATATCACAATTGAAAAAAATTCAATACTCACTCCAGCGATTCCAATAGATGCTAAAAATATGGAACGCTCCTGAAATAATATCGTTGCAAGCACCCCTTTTTTTCATCCACGAGTTCTGAAATTAATAGCAGTTGTGTGTACACTTCAGATGTCACATATTTTCACAAAAACATCCATAGGTGTCGTATCAAGTGATCTAGTTGGCTCTTTGAAGGGTCCACCTCTGCCTGTCTTCCGGTTTGGAAAATTTTCAAACCCGAATGTGTTTTCAACTGATATTAGGTTTCAGCGAGATGAGGCACCTCGTTATCACGACGAGCTGGTACATACAAATTGGGTCCTTTAGAATGACCCGCTCCTGATATCAGAACTTTTCGAGGAGAAACATGAAAATTCACCTTGTTTTTTGAGTACACCTCGTATTATCCAAAACATGAGACTTGTAGACCTTTGTTCATTCCGCAAAAGTTTTTGACTGCTATTGCCATCTTTATACACTGTGTCCGTAAAGTATGGAACAAATTCATTTTTAGCTAAACAGGTCATTTTAAGAAATAATCCTGAAACACGTCGATTTTTGATGTTAATTTACCGTATTTTAAAATAATAATNCAATAAGTATTTTTGATAATATTGTTAATTTACCTAATAAAGAATGTTACGCGTTACTTTATTAGCACACACACAACTACTGTATTTTTGTCCACCCTGTACCAATTGGAATCAACATGTGATACATTTTTGGAATCAACTCAGCTAGAGTAATCCGAAAATTGAGACAAAATAGGGGTGTTCCATTTTAAAAAAATGACGGTGACGTCATTACTCGAACGTAATTCACCCTGTATATTAGATTATTATTTTAAAATACGGTAGATTAACATCAAAAATCGACGTGTTTCAGGATTATTTCTTAAAATGACCTGTTTAGCTAAAAATGAATTTGTTCCATACTTTACGGACACAGTGTATATATTTTATCAGTATGTTTAAGGTGAAAAATCCCAAAAAGACCGAAAAGACCAAAAAGAACAGTGAACAATAAACATGTAGTTCCATAAATTTTTCATCCGTGTCAAGTAATTTGGCCTAACGGACAAGATATTCTAATTACCAACAGAATCAAGTCGATTTAGAAAACCTGAACTATTCTGGTTCAATTAAACATGTGAAATGAGAAATTGAGAGCAATTTTGAAACCTGTTCTCTGTGTATCTGCTCGCATTTTCTTCATGCATTGCTGAAAAAAGTATTCTACTTGCTTTCTGTCACAAAAACATTATTAAAACTAAGCAAAACTTGTTGAACGTCTACATCTTAACGTAAAGTTTCGCAGACAGAAGAAAATAAATAAGAGCTCACTTGTATTGTCCTGATGAAGTGCCTGAATTACTACTTTCGTACAAGCACGTCCAAAATCCAAATAATGTGTTGGATTAAACGGGTTGATAGTGGTAGAAAAACCTCCCCCCATTCGAATGGGGTAGGTATCTTAACCATTTTTTAACATTGACTGAGTTTTTTCATGTATTACGGATTTGTTTTAGATACACGAGGAATTTGGTCGACGTCGGCAACGGAAAGTACAACCTGATGATTCTTTGTTGGGGTGAAGGCCACGGTTCGGCGATCCACGACCATGCAAACGCCCACTGTTTTATGAAAATGTTACAAGGGTCTCTGGAAGAAATAAGGTTTGCTTGGCCGCAGAAAATTCTCGAGCCTTTGGAGGAAGTCGGCAGGAAACCGCTTTTCGTCAACGACGTTTGTTACATCAATGGTGAGTGAAAATTTGGGATATAATTCAATATCCAGCGTGGTATTAGTCGGGGAAGTAGTTGTTTCCCGGCAGACATTTACTAGAATCTACGGTATAGCTAGTTGGGAAAGATGAATATCTCGAGATAATATGATCATATAATTTCTATACAGAGTGTCGTCAGACTGAGAGCAACACAACTCTGAAATTTTAAAAAAGATCCTCTTATTTTATGCATGATGAAGATGAATTTGCATTTGTTATGTGATGGAATCAGCCGATACTTGATGAAGATCCAAAACATAATCAAGAAACACTTATTTCTCTGGTGCTAATAGTATCTTTCGATATTTTGTTAAATCGATCACGTTACGTAATGATAGCTAGTATGTTTTCGTTACAATGTTTTGTTTGTTTTATTACGATGACGTCCTTTTTAAAGTTGTAATTTATGATAATGCATGTTTTGATGAAATATACCTATAATCATTTTAATAGGCAATAAGAAGTTTTTGAAGCGATTTTTTAAAAGCAGGAATGTTAAATCACTTCTAAGAGTTCGAAAATAAAATTTTGAGTTTGCCATAAATTTTTATTGGTAGTTGAAGTCATTTGTGCATTCGATTAAAATGTACATCCACTTCCAACCACGACTCCAATTGTATTGCTTTCGATTCAAAAATTAAATATAAATTGACCCAGGACATTGAATTATGGTGAATTTCTAAAAAAACTTACCCTAAAAATCTTGTTAATGTATCCCACCACCTTTTTTTCAGATTCCATTGGACTCCATCGAGTTGAAAATTCGTCTAACGTCGACACCGCTATAAGTCTGCATTTATATTGTCCACCGTACAAAAATTGTTCAGTATTTAATCAAAATACGGGCCAAAAGTCTACTAGTACGGTTACATTCTATTCCATGTTTGGAAAACGTATCAAAGTAAGTATACCATGAAAGAAGATGTAAAGATCCTTCTACACTTGTTAATTTTTTTTCAGGAAAATAAGGATGTGGAAGAGCCAGAAGATAATTGAAAGCAGTTCCTTTAAGTTCTATTAGAGATTATTTCTATAGTGTCACCGTTCAAACGATCATAAATATATTTAACTGTAAATAACAGTTTATGTTTATAAAATGTTATTATTTAATAAAATAAACCCATCAACTGATTTTACTTGCTCTTTGTTTCTTACTTGTTCTTTAAAAAACTGTCATCTTAAGATGAAATAATAATAGTATATCTATTAGTTCGTAGAGGGCTCACTTATGTAGACAATTTAGGGTGTGTTTTGTTTTCACTAGGTATGTTCGTTTGATTCATATGGAACCGCTCGATTAGCTCGGCAAGCGTTCGATAATACAGAACTGATGTCTGAATTGTCTGCTGTGCTCGATATTTACGAGGGCGACAAAAAGTGTGATCATCTCTCATATCAACTTCAGGAACTGCCAGACTTTTCAATTGTCATTTGTCATATTTCAAAAAAATTGGTTGAATTTTAGGTATTTTTTGGTGAAATTTTTGACTTAGTATTTGTGGTGATGGGTATCATGTTGCTTCATAAATGGCGCACAAATCTACAAAGTCACAAATAGCGCACAAATCTGAAATGTCACACCAAACACTTCAAGTTTCCTAAAGTGAAACAGAGTATTTGATGTATGAACCATAACCTGTTTTAAATGTGATGATACTTACGACGTTGCTTCATAAATTTGGCGCCAAATATCACTTAGATCACATAGATAGCGCACGAAACAATTCTTTTATATCATACTTTGATGAATACTTTATAATGATTGTATTTCAATTTGCCACGAGAATTAGTTGTTCACAATGATTTCCTCTGGTCTACTGCGCTGAAGGGAATCAAAGACCATAAAAAAGAGAAGAAGACAATAGATTTTCTGGTTTTCCTTCTGCTTTACACATCTCAAGATATCAAAGGCATTGTAATCACAAACTACTTACTGGTGGTTTGTGATTGTAATATTGAGGTACGGGGAAACAAAAACGTTTCATTGCCAACTTGATTTATATTTCATCACAATGTTAATTATGTAAAAATTCAAACGTTATTATTTATACAAACTCATGTCGAATCGGTCGAAAAATATCCAGCACTTTGTCAGCCATTTTTTCATATTTAATATCAACAACATCGAAAAGGAAGTGTAAAAGTAGTCAAAATTCCAAAAGCTACCACTATATATCATTCAATATCTAAAGCTGTTCGTATAATAAAACACTATAAATAAATAATAAACGGCAGTGTAAATAAATATTCAAACACAAAAATCTTAGTCAAACTGAAATTTTGAGGCGTTCATGCAACATAGCAACCACTGCACAGTTCCATTCTGAGAAATCCACATTAATCATTCGTTTATTGCAGATAATTATAAAAGTTGGCCGCTTGAATTTCTCTACCAGAAATTTTATAGTGTGGTACAATGCACAAGAATCATCAGCATTACGTATTTCCAACAAATTAAGTTACTAAAAAACAAAACGGATTTCAAAAATCAAGTGGGCACCAAAATATTTATGAATTCATGGTAGTTGTGACTAGGGTCACAGGTCAGTCTTTTTGATAACAGATTATTGATATAAAGAACTACAGGAAACGTGATATCATGATTATCTGCATTCTTCACACTCCATGATTCCATGCAATTTGCTTGTGGCTAAATTGCCGTGAGTCCGTGAAATTAATTTTTCTACAAATGAAATTATATTGCTAGTTTAAATGAAGACAAACATGATTTGCAAAAAAGCAATGACCATCACCCTGGAATAAGTGCAAGGATTGTTGAGTTGAAAGTCGTCTCAAATTCACAATTCATCAGTTTTTGCGATAATAAAGTGGCTAAAGCTGAGGTTAATATTTTTCAAAACAGTAAAGAGATGGAGACAAGTAAATTTGCTAAAAATCTCAGTAAGAATATTTTAGAATTAGTACATTCAGTGTTATATAAAAGGTTAGAATCTCTAGTTTTAGGGTTAGTAGGGTGGCTAGAGTCCAGATACTCTGAAATTAACTTTTTAGAATTTTTACATTCAAATTAGCTATAGTTAAGATTCAAAGTGGAGTGAAAATAATGTTTCGACTATTGAGATAAAACTGGTAAGTAGTGAATATATACGTTCACGTTAATAGATTAAAGTTTCACAAATTGAAGGCGATATAAATCCAGCGAGTTCCGATTCCTAACTTAAATTCTGCCAATGATTAAGAAATAATCTAATAATTGTAATAACACAGTATATAAGAAAATACCGAGTACCCTGCAAGAATCCTTTCCAACCCCAAACTATAAAAAATACACAAATTTTGGTGCACCACTGATTTTTTCCGCGACATTTCCCGTATTTTTAGCTTCCGTTTTAAACGAGATCAAACAATCAACATATAAATATAAAACGAAAAAGCAACGTGCGAGGAAAATCAACAAAAAATAAATCACTCTCAATTAAAAAATAAATAATCATTTCGGTAACTACGAACACTAAGCGAGAGCTATCGTGAAGATTAGTGCCTCAACGGTATGTGTTTGTGAGTCTGTATGTATGTACATGCTTCTAACCTGCTGAAACGAGCTAAGCTGACAAGTATCACAGAGAAAAGTCGTCTTGAAAGATACAAGGTGACCGAGTTAAGTATCACAAACGAATAAATATCGTCGGTGGACCGATCAGGACCATCAACCACATAAAAAATGACTCCCGAGTATTCGCGATCGGTAGTATACACAATCGTAGGAAAACTCTCCAGCATATACAATCCAGATCGTTCTACCGATCAGCGAATACAATCCGGATCGGTCTACCGATCAGCGAATACAATCCTGATTGGTCCACCGATTGGCGAATAAAACCCAGATCGGTCTACCAATCAGTGAAAACAATCTGGATTTGTCCACCGATTAGCGGATAGAATTTCGATCGGCCTACCGATCGGCAAATACAATCCGGATCGGTCAACCGATCGACGAATACAATCCTGATCGGTCCACCGATCAGCGACCGTCACGCCATCTTAGAAAGAAAAAAGAAAAGCTTCTGATCGCCGAGCAGAATCAAGAGACCTGCGAAACCTTCAAGCCGCGGTCTTTGGCGTGCTTGTAGGGCAGTTTGGAGCGCGGTGCACTCGGAATGCACTTGAGGATGCCCTGGAAGCCCGGCGTGGCGCCGTAAGTGGGCGCCGTCTGTGTCGTCTGGTAGATCAGCACTTCTTCGAGGTCGCTCTCTCTGAAACACAATAAACACGCGTGTTATTTATACGGAGCGATCGAAATCGTCCCGACTTACCGCGCGTTCTCCAAAAACTCGTTGTACAGCTTCGAAGGAATTTGGCTCGGTTTTTCGGATTTATCAACGAACAGCTCCGTCTCCCTGTTGTACAGATACAAAAAGTCGTTCAGCTGCTTAGCCACGATGGCCGCTCGGTCTTTGTAGTCGAGCTTGTTGCTGGGCGCCTGAAAAAGTTCGAACTGAGAAAAGATACGAGAAGCTAGCTGTATCGCCTACGTTTACACTGAACGAAGACCGTAAATAGTTGGAAGCCTTCTGGAGGAATTTGAGCACGATTTCCACATGATCTTCTTGGTCAGGACCGGCGACGATCCTCTTCAGGACGCATACTAAGTAGTGGCTGAAGGTTTTTCTTGCCTCGCATTGGCTAGAACAAATATCTATTCAACAAAATCGGTTGGGAATCCCAAATAACGGTCATCTTGAATACTAAAATATTTTAGCAATAAAGAATGTACCTACAATGTCATATTGATTTATTTTTACTTTGTTTTGGAAGAACTAACGGTTAATAACCCTCCGAAAACAACAAACTATACTGAATTCGAACTCACGTTATTTTCTTTCCGCTGCGCAACATATCGACCACCTTCTTCTTCAACTCGACGCCATGCGCCTCCTTGGCGACCTTTCGGGGCACCAGCGCTGCCTTGTGACCCTGACTAAGCATCCTCTCGTACCGGTCCTGACGCCCATTGAGGCCCTTGCTCGTGTCTGAAAGAGGAAAATTCAGTTGGGCTGCGCATCGAAAACGAGAAACAGATAACGTACCTCTCTGGCTGTCCAAAGAGGTCTGTTCCCGCTTCGCTTCCGAAGATTTGGCCCTGCTCCTCGGTTTATCGGTTTGGTGGCGTGGGGTGGCGGGGATGCTGGGGAAGAAGCACGTATAGAGAAGCTGGTTGTAGTTGTGGGGCACGTTGAGGCAGTAGCTGCTCGATGCGGTGCCGGAGATCGGGATCCCGGTAGTCGGATCTGAAATTTTACCGTTTCAAATTAAAATTTTGCAGTTTCACACTAAGAGACATGCAACAAGTACTCACCCAAATACTGCGAATACTTGGCCCAACTGTCGGAGGCGGGAAATATCCTGACGAAGCCGCCCCTTCTTTTGAACTGCGCCGTCGCATTCCGCACGATCTTAGCCTCTTCCGAGGTGAACTGGAGAGAAGCCGAAGAAGTCCTGCTGGTAGCGTTGGATTTGGAAGTGGTCTGCTTAGGCAAAGAGTTGCTCAAACCGTCAGCGGAGTGTACCCGTCGACACTGATAATAATACTAACAATAAATCGTTTCCCTCAATCGGAAACATCAAAAATTACAGGCGTGTCGCCCAGCAACTGTAAATGTCAAGCAAGAGGGGGACCGAAAGCCTTCCCTGCGGCACAACATTCTTTTTATTCATTTTCAACAATTACTGATCAACATACATATAGATAATAGTGGTAACAATAATTAATGAAGCTCTCAACAATATTATTCAATAACTGACTTACGTTGCTGAACTTCATCTTCAGGTTTTGGCTCTGCTTCGTCATTACTGGTGTCGTAACGAGTCTAAGGACCGGATCTACCGCAGGGATTCCGATGAGAGACAAAAGATCGGCCAGCATGGCAGACTTCAATCTCACATCCAACGGACTGTCACAATTCAATGAAGGAGACAAGTTCACCTCTAGAAGCCACGGTTTCAGGTTTTTGTCTATGAGTACATCGAAACCATACAATTCTGTAAACAAATAATTGTCCGGTACAAAACAGTCGCGGAATAATTCAAAGGTTACTCACCGAAACAATTGTTGCTGTATGGAACGAACATTTTGCAAGCGGATATCACCGAGTTGGCCGAAGCCAGTATCGCTTTGATCACCATATCTTCGATTTGTGACATCAGCAAGCCGGTATCTTTTCCCTCGGCTTTCAGATGTCGCAAAAGGGCGCTCAACGTCCATTTGTGGCCGACGTTTTCGGCGGACGGATCATCAGATCTGCAAAATCGTTATAATACAGAACTATACAAAAATTACATACATTCCCCTCTTAGTTCCAATTATTATCCTTTATCGTAATTATAAAATATTCTGTCTCTGTACTTCCTCTCATTTTCCTTGTGCTACTTTTTCTTACTTTCTAGTGCTTTGATGCATGGAAAGGAATGATTTGAATCAACAAGAATGACGTAATCAATTATTCAGGATCAATTGAAAGCAACTACAGAAAAAATGAAAATTGATCAAAGGAAATAAGAGTCGAAAGAAACAAGAGGAAGACAAAAATTATTTGGAAACTAGAGAAATAAGTCGACGAAAACGAAAGTCGATGAAAATCTAGAGAGATGTCCACAGGACGAGAAAGACAAAACAAGAGATAGGGAGACAAAGTGAAACAAATTCAGGGAGAGGAAAAGAGAATCAACTCAACAGAAAGATGAGAAAATCGACATAAACTACACAGATAAACCAAAGAAGTTCACACAAAGGAGTTGACAAAGGAAGTAGGACAAAAACAGAAAAAAAAAACGTAAAACAAAATGGCATTCAAGAAAGAGATGGAAGGAAGAAACTAGAAAAAAGACAAAGAGAGTTTAGTGATAATAGAGGATGGGAGAAACGAAAAAATTCGTCAAAGAGGGAGAATTATGTTAGGACCAAAGAAAAAAAATTTTTGAAGAGCGACAGAAAAAAAAATAAGAAAAAAGAGATATGGAGAAAATCCAGCTAAAGAGAGCAGAAAGAAGAGCTAAGAAAAAAGCAAACAATTGAGAGATATCACGATTTTAAGAAGAAAATAGTGAGACATATAATCATTTCGCTTTTTGAAGTCTTTCAATGTTGGCACTATTTGATTTCATAAGAAATCACTATTTTGTTACAGATATATTGTTGATATTTTTGTTTGTTCACGATTTCCATTATTGTAGAACCTTGTCCATTATGTCATTGTTTGTTTTACTTTTATCTTTACATTCAGTAAGACTCTATATGGAGTAGTAGTGGATATGACATAATTGATTGTGATTAGGTTATGTCCTTTGGTATTTTTTTTATATCTCAATATTCGTTTTTGTTCTAGTTCAATATCATTATTGTTTGTATATTACTTGCAACTTATTTCTAATAAATAAATTGTTGTAGTTTCTATTTTGCAGGTTCAACTTCATCAGGCATTATTTTCCATTTAATTCATAATTGATACTTAAAATTCATAGGTTAGGATTTCATTTGAGGTATATGTATTTTTTGTATGTTGACTACTCTGTATATTTGTCATTAGGGTTAGCTGTCAGACGATAGTGATGTACATTTTTTTGGTTTCATTGAGAAAAAAAATTCGTTCACCGCACAGGTTCTTTTTCTGAATGGGTTACTCTGTGTATTTGTCATTAGTGTCAGTTGTCATACTTAGTTGTACTTTTGAATTTCATTTGCTGTTTTTATTTTATTAATTTTCTTTTGGTATTTTCATTGTATAATTTTTATAACGAAGTGAAAAATGAACATGATGTGCGTTTAGGAATCATACGTTAAAAAATAAGACCTCGTTGGTCCTTAGCTCGCACAAGTTTCTACTTCTGAGGGTTGTCGTTCGCAGGGGTGCAATAACTGGTTAACGGAAAAAGCATATTTTATACATATTTTTAAACAGAATATTAATAGTGGAGTAATTGAAATTTGAAAGGCAGTATTTTTTTGCAATTTCAAGGTTGTCAATTTGTATGTCTTCCTTATATTGTTCTAGTTGACTTGATGATAAGCCATGATAAAATATTCAATCAAGATAGTAAGATTTTAACCAATTAGTGTACAAAACAGCAACTAGTGTTTCAGTGTACAACAGCATCATCAGTTTGAACACGCCTGAAGAAGCTACTGCAAAGTGAAACACATGTTGCAGGTTTGTGAACTGTTTAGTGAAAGGCTTCTGAAAAAGGGTCACTCAAATATTTAATAAGATGTGTCAAAAAAAAAAACTTACTTGACATAATCACTATGGTATTTATTAATGCTGTAATTGCAGAGATGCATGCAAGGATTCCAGAGCTGCTTGTGACTAGAGTCGTATTTGACGGTGGCGAATCTAACCAATCCTTCCTCATAAATATATACCAATAAGGGATCAAAACTGGTGACAACAACATACAGTCTAAGGTCGCATTTATGACCAGCTACCAAAAGAGGGTTAGATATATACTTGGCTACCACAACAGGCTCCTCTAGTGGCACCTGATTCGGGGCTTCCACAATGAAAATACCTACAATAATACTGGTTACGAATGAAATTACATACTTTGGAGGAATGAGCTGTACCTCTGCCTCTACTCGAAGCAACCGGCTTGACTATCCACGGCCCTTTCATTTCCTGATTATGCTAACTTGGTCAGCACATTTTTCAGTCACCTCCTGATTATGATTACTTGGTTAGCACAGTTTTAAGTCATCTCTTGATGATGATTACTCGGTTAGCACAGTTTTAAGTCATTTACTGATGATGCTTACTTGTTTAGCACATTTTTTTGTCATATCCTGATTATGACTACTGGGTTGGCACCATTTCAAGCCGTCTCCTTGATTATGATTACTTGGTTGGACAGTTTTACGTCATCTTTTGATGATGCTAACTTGGGTTAGCACAGTTTTTAGTCGTCTCCTGATGATAAGCGAGGATATACAAGGTGCAATCACATTTATAAATTACCTGTTTCCCCATAAGTAATATTGTATTATATTAACATGTAACTGTTTTGCCAGATATAATCATTTATCTAATTAAGTTTTGACATGAAATGCTATTTTACCTATTTTCCTAGAAGTAATATTGTATTGTAACTGTTTTCTCAAAATCTACCTGTTTTACCAGATATAATCATATATCTGATTAATTAAGTATTGCATCTACCTGTTATATTAATGACATTGTAGAATAGTCCTACTGATGAAGCTACTGTGTAGCAAAACGTGTATTAAATAAAATTTATTGTGAATATTCTATAATTATCATCATGGATGGTCTCTTATGAAACGTCCTCAATTTTTTTAAATACTATTAGTTTCACTAACAGTACATTGCGTAATAATGTGATAAACCCATATCGATAAAACGATACTAGATTCAGGGTGGTAATCCAACTGCTTCAAAATCTTTTTTTATAGAAAACTGCAGTGTTTATTTTTACTGTTTTCGAATTGCAAAATAATATTTTGGGCAGTAAAACTCAGAGATACGAGTTTTGAAATTTAAATCAGTCAGTTCAGAAAAAAACTACTTTATTGTCATGTTTCATAATTTGTTTGACATTCAAACACCAACTTTAAAAGTCAAACTAGACGATTATTTTGCAAACGAAATCTTGAGGATTCAAGAGCCAGTGAATGATGACAACAATATAAGTACCACATTAATTACGATATAATTTTTCATTTCTCATAAATCTCCTCTTCATTTTGTACTTTTGTTTTATTATTCTTAAAACCCAGTCAATAAACCTCTCACACGCCTAAATTCATGAAGCAAGTAATAGAGTCATCGAACCATAGGAACGAAACCATGAATACACTCTGAAATAAATCTAAACCATACACAAAATTTAAATTGTTAACCTGTCTGTCGTAGCTCTGAGAAAGTCATCTAAGGAGTCTTTGGAGGGATTGGAGGATACGGTGAAGGTAGGAATGTTACTTTCTGAACGCATGCAGGAATTGAATGAGGGTTTCAACATTTTGCTGAAACAGAGGAGCGAAATTAATGAGGAAAGAGTATAATCAACTGGGAACTCACTGATTTGCTTGATCTTGGTTGTCTTTCGCTTCAGGGGACTGCAGAGACTCGTTAGAACTACTAGCGCTGATGGATGAAGTTATGTCCGTATCTGACGTAATTTTTTCCATTTTTCGTTCTTCAGAGCGGTTTGTTTTTCCGAAAAATCTGTTGCTTTCTTCTCGTTATCACTGGGACTGGAAATAACGGCTTTCGATTAGATATTTAGGCACTCGGACGTGACTTATTTAGGAATATTTAATTAAGTCCCGATAAGGTAGCGTATTATATGAATTTGTATTCCATATGTTTCGTTTTCGGAACACTTACATTTTGATGAATCACCGGGTAGTGTTATTTCATATTATTAAGTTATTTGAGGTATTTTTTTTCGAAATGTAATGCTAGGTTTTAGATTTTAGTAGAATATTAGGACTAGAAATTTTGACATGTTATTGATAAATTTTGGAAAGAGATGAAAGGCCGCTGACATTTCCAAGGTAATTTATAAAATTTGTCAAAAAGGTTAGCTCACGTTGGCCATTTTGTTCCGCCACACTTATGATGATACAAATTATATATATGAAATCCTCCTTTATGGTTCTCTAGAAACTCTGATAGGATATACACTAGATAGGATAAATGAGCAACTCATCTTCACGGGAGCAGAAGTTCAGTAAATCAAAATGAATTATTTTTAGAATGTTGTTTGGTGGAATCTCTCTTGAAAAACTGACAATAGAAAAAAAACACAACCAGTGGAGATTCTACACAATAGGCTCTAAATCTTAGTTGAAATCTAAATCATCTGAAAGTTTTTTGAATCGAGACAAATGTGTGAAAAAGAAGTTCAAATCCACAAGTATATTCCCATTCTAATAATTGAAAATCCATTCCGGTACTTGTATCGTCAAAAGCGTATGGAAGAATTTCTTCTGGGAAGAAACCTTTTTGTTCAGCGCTTGAGATTTTGAAGCATTCCATATATATGAGAATATGTTGAATGACAGTTTTCTTCATGATTTGATCAATAGTTATCCAGATTTTTCATGTCCTTTTTGAGTGGAGTTTAAACTCGAGCAGTCTTCCAACAGAAAGTAGATATTCCTTTTTCATGAGACAAATTAAAGAGCTCATAGGACACTGAGACAAGTTCATTAACGCACCTTGTGAGATGAAACCAGAATCTTGTTCCAAATGTAGTTTTAACAAACAAGTTTCATTAAAATTATTGAATGAAATAACCGAACGCATCAGTGTCTAGACACAGAATATTCTACGGTATAATAATAACTGTCAAGTCACCCGTAACACCCAACTGGCCGGATATCCTTAGTTGCTGAGGCCATTGAATCGAAAAGAAGAAGAAATAACTGGCCGGATTTCCTCTATTACTGAGCCCATTGAATCGAAAATAAGAAGAAGAAAGAACTGGCCGGATAGCCTTAGTGATAAGGCCATTGAATCAAAAATAAGAAGAAGAAGAGACAACTGGCCGGATAGCCGCAGTTGACGAGGCCATTGAATCGAAAGAAGAAGAATTATTTGACAATAGACAGATAACGTAACCATACTTTTTTGTTTATGCAATATTTTGATAAAAAATAAATCATTGAATTGAAAAGCAATGGCACTATTTAGATTTCTGTGGTTACGAAGGCTCATTAGAAGCAATACAAATCCCATTCCCATGGACAAAGCGGCCACGTGGAAAAAAAGACTCTCCGTAGCATACATGCTGCTCTCTTGGAATGCTTTCGGATTGGTGGCATATTTGTGCTACACAGGCAAAAGCGACTGGGCCAAATATTACGGCCTCAAATCCGAAGAGGAACTGAACATGTCGCCAGGTTCGTTACAAACGTGGTAGAAAAGGGTGAATCTTCGTTATTCGGGTTCAGGCTAGTTTTGGAAAAAATTACAATTTGCCTTATTGATCACGAATCAACAGCTCTCTGGTTTTCTTTCAGAGATAAGGCCACTCAAATGTTGAAAAATAGAATATTGGTAACTTCAAATTTACAGATGATATGATAGAACTACTAATAATATTGCTAGTTTTTCAAAAAGCAAAGAATTGGACGTAGCCTACAGAACAAATAGTAAATTGATCATTTATGTAGCAGATTGTCTAAAATGGTGTTTGCTATCAATAGAATATCACTTATCGCCAATTCAGGTATTTCTCTAACTGTTTACTAGATAGCCTTTCATTATGTATGTGTTAGATGTATAATTGTTTAGAGTAGAGTACTTCATTAGAACATTTTACATACTTTATATTTTTGGCAAGTCATGAATTCAGAAATCCTTGTTCAAAGTTACAAAGATAAATTTATCTAATAAAAAAATTAATATTAGGATTTCTATGATTATTATCAGATGACCAAAGATGACAACTTGAGATTTTTCTGAATACTAGCATGAGCCGGAAAAATATTTACCCTGAAATGAAACGCAAAGTAAAAATAAAGCAGTCTATATTAAAAATAATTTTTGCAGCATATCAGTGGGCCAAAACACTAGGGATCAAAAACCCGAACGTGTACAGGATCCAAGGATTTCACATCCACAAAGTCGAGGAAAATACGAAGGAAACGGAAGAGCAGACAGTTTGAAATAAGTTATTAAACTTAGTAATCACATTTCTGATATCGAATTCAGAAGCTAGCACATAGAAATTGTATATATATCGGTTCATAGTTTTCACAATGAACGTTAAAAAAATTGAAATTTTCTTCATCGCGTCTTTTTCAAAACATAAAAGAACTCCTCAAATTCTAAATACTAGCCCAGAATTGGTTTTGAATAGCCGGAACATTCTCCAGCAGTCCCTCACAGCTTCAGGTATTGTTCCGACCGACTCCAAATTTCTCCATTTCCACCATAAGCGCAGATCTAACAGAAAAATAGTTTTGAAACGTAAAATTCCCAAGAAACTTGCAGTGACTCACCTGTAAGATTCATATCTCATAACAATATTTTGCAACTCTTGTTTGTACAACCTCGTGAGCATCGCGTTGTAGCATTCCAGCTCTGACAGGCGGAACATGTCCCACCTTAATTTGTGGTCCAGTTCGGGACTAGCTGAAAGTTGAAGGACAAATAATGATTAGGATGAAATATTAGCAAATAAGCCACTTGATGAGATGTTCAATTTATTTTCATTTACTTTACTCAATATTTGAAATGTTTACAACCGAAAAAAAAAGGATTCACCCAGATAGCTTCTCATTTGGTTCTTAGCTGAGCCAAGTTTCCACATAACATAATCTTATAGTATTCCTCATTGTATCAATTGCAAGTTTCAAGAATATTTTATTTGTATATTGGTCTTTTTTCAAAATCAACTGTCAAAAAATAGTGTGTGCCTCAGGGCACTAATCTCGGGCCGTTGCTACTTACTCTTGAAGTATACATTCAGCCAATGCGGGATTTCCTCCAGCAGGTAAGGATTAGCAGGAACTAGAACGCTATGAGGCTGATAATGGGTAGGTTTTGGCGGGATGTACCTCTGGTATGACTCTGGAGTGTAATTGAAACATGGCACTAGGCAAGGGTGTTCGTACTGGGCACGCCTTGTAATGTGGCTGAAAAACAAAACGAATTGACAAATCACTTAAGTGGATTCTCCAACGAAATCTCAATTTTTTAGCTGTTGTACCTACTTGACATAATAAACTCCATACACGGGAGACTGAATACACTGCCAACCGGTTGGAAGACCCTCCCTCTCAAGGGGGTGCGACCAGTGCGTTGTTTTCGTGTTGTGGTCAATGTAATACTTTCTCCCACGCAAGGTATAGTCGACAGACCAACCAGGAGGAAGCGGCAACTCCTCAGATTGTTCTGAAAAATAATAATAAATCAGAGTCAACTTGATACAAGTCTTCTGTGTACAGAAACCTCTAGACCTACTTACCTTGGGTGTTTTCCGTCCTCCTCAAACTCAGCCTCGACTGATGTGCCAAGGAATCTGCATAGGAGGTATTTTGATTCGGGTCTCTGAACTGTTCAAAGTTTGTGTTGCTATATATGGGGGTGATGTCTTGGCCAGGCCCGGCGACTGAGTTTTTACTTGTGTTTTGGTAAATAGGGGAGTTTGTGCGGTTATACCCCGAGTCTCTATAAGGGCTGGTATTTTCTTGAGTTAGGGGATAAATCTGGTCTATTTCTACGTAGTTGGCATTGCTCTGAAAAGAGAATGCGGTTATTGTTGCTTTTGTAAGAGAAAATAACTTACAGCCAAGTTATCGTTATAGGAACTTCCCAGGGGATGATTGATGTAAATGGGTTGGGGAGAATTCACGCTTATATGGTTGAAGTTGGCTGTCAATGCTGCATTGTTTTCCGAGGACACTCCAACAGAGAGATTAGCAAATCTGGAGAATTGAAATGATTTGTAGTGATAGAACAAGCGCAAACCACTCGATATTGAATAGTTACCTCGTAGCTAAATCTGGAACTGAGGCACTTGGCGTGTACTTCCCTTCATGTGCTCCCAAGCCAACGTCGCTGATTAACGTTTTCTGGTTGCCAAATTTCTGAACAGTATTTTGAGATGAAGCAGGTACAGCTCCGTTAGGGGTTATTGACGATCTATTTTGATTCGAATAACGTCTCTTTGGCTCTGTTGTCCACACGTTGATAACTATAAGTAAAATTATCTCTATGAGAGATTGAAACAGTATTATTGTAAAGTACTGTGCTTCCACAAAAGTTTATCGTACCTACCAACTATTTTAAGGTCTTTCTTACTTACTTGGCATCTCTGGAGGGGTGTCTTTCTTGACATATTTTCCTACAACCCCTTCCTTGATTGTTCGTAAATCTTTATTTTTTCGTGACAACATTTCATAGACTAATATGGTATCAGTAATAGCACTGGGACATCTCTCAATATGGCACTAGTGGTTCAAATTTCCTCAAACAATGACGAATTCTAGGAAACTGAGTCATGTGCTATTTGACTCTTTTTATATATATTCGTATTATGTCTTCTCTAATGCGTTGAGTAGATAATATAAAAAAATTGTCATTTTGAGTACAATTTAACAAATTATAGCAAAGATTCGGTTAGATTTTTGAACATGAATTTTCATTGTTTACGAAATGTCATATACTGGACTGTCATTTCAATATTTTTATAACCCCTAAAAAACATTCCTACTTCTTTTTGTAGACGGAAGTTATTTTAGATATAACTTCTGTCAAAAATAAAACAATTAAGTCAAACGGTAACACTAAAACAAAGACCTGTCTGCTGTCTACTAGGTTTCTGGAACTTCAGGTGTACGAAAGTATTCTCTTTCGCCCATTCTTCAGTTCCTCAAGAACATAGTAATTGCATTAAAGACATTACAATTACAAATTTACATTTGAAGAATGACAGCAAAACTCGAAATAATAAGTATGTTTCGTATTCAGTTATATGAATCTCAGGGACCTTTAAGGTATTGTCAAAAACAATGTAAAAATCTAGGCTTTCATGGCCGGAGTCACAATTAAAAAGAACAAAATCCGGGATTTTGGGCCGTGGTCGAATGGATATATAATCTACGTCCTTGCCATCAACGAACATACCACTGATGATGTCTGCCGTAGTAGCAGATGAAATTTTTGGTACATAAGGTTACATTCAAACTTGGCCCAACAGCCCGGATTATATTCGCTTCAATTGTACGAAACAATAATTTTTTTATTATCCGTTTGATGCCACCATTTGTTATACACACTAACGTCTTCGTTGATAGATATTTTTTCTATTTGTTCTACTTTATATTCAATTAGAACATTGACGTAAGGTGCCGCTGCAAAACTCGAGGAAAATAGTGATTATGGAGACTTCTTTGTTTTTTGAAATGCTGAATCAACTCTGCTCAATCAGAATCCTTCAAGTTACGAGATTTTATTATATTCCGTTCTTTTGTATTCGATTTCTCCGCTATTTTCGGAACTGGTTTCTGAAATATGACATTTAAAGCTTGAAGATGAGGACAAGAAATTTAAGATCTTGTGTAATATGTGATAGAAAATCATGTACCTGAAATTACTTTTGAATGATAACGATAGAGTTAACATTCTCATGAGTTGCATTTCACTCTTCATCTAAACTAGATGAACTAGTTTCTGAAGCACTATTGCGACGAGTCAACAAATATCAACTTTGCAATCAAATGGAACGGAAAAAACTGCAGTCGTGAGCGTGATCGTTGTTAACACTAAGTGGAACGCACTAATAATGAAATGACTGTCATAATTAATAACTCGCGAGTGTCAATTGAGATGCGTCTATGCTTTGATGTCTTTGTTTGAGGACATTTTAAATGAGCCATCATTGATACCCTTTACATTGAAGATTTTCAAGAAAGTAGCACCTGTGGACTGTAGAAGAAGACGAAACAGTTTTTGCTGAAATTCAGCGTAAATCCAGGTTGGGTCCGATCCACACCCACTTCAGTGTGGGCTTCATCTGTAGTATCAACCGTTTCTGGAACTCCTGGCTGGATAGCCGTGGCAGTGAAGCCATTAATGGAAAATTAAGAAGAGGTAAAAATGTCATATCTCTAGGTAAGTGATATGCTGTCAAACGTTGTGTAGATTTGTAGATTATATCTGTAATTTTTTCGAGTGACGGAAAAGAAATGCCAAAAGTACGCCGGAGTAAAAAGGCCCCACCGGAAGGTTGGGAATTGATTGAACCAACCCTGGACGAATTGGAGCAGAAAATGCGAGAAGGTATTTATGATTATACTCACCGTAAGTATTCAGATTTCATCTTGTATTTCCCTCCCAACAGCCGAGACTGAATCCCACGAAGGGAAAAGAAAGAACGAATCTTTGTGGCCAATTTTCAAGATCCACCATCAGAAGTCCCGGTATATTTTCGACCTGTTTTATAGACGGAAAGCCATCAGCAGAGAACTGTACGAGTATTGCTTGATGGAAAACATCGCTGACAAAAACCTCATCGCCAAGTGGAAGAAACAAGGGTATGAAAGTCTTTGCTGTTTACGATGCATCCAGACGAGAGACACAAATTTTGGAACAAACTGTATATGCAGAGTCCCGAAGGCCAAACTGGAGGAGGGAAGGATAGTGGAGTGTGTGCATTGCGGTTGCAGAGGGTGCTCTGGATAGGTTTCTACAGTGCTTTGACCAAAACTATGTAGGTCCATAGTTAAGGTTAATTTATTGTGAAAAACTTTTGTCTGGTTTAATAATCTGGCATCCTTTTAATATGAACTAGATGCAAAAGAGACTTGACCCCAAAATTTACTTTGTAGATTTATTAACATTGAAAAGTCAGGATTTTTTTTATCTTAGAGTAGGTTTTTATGTATGTATTTATTTCGGAGGTGCAAATACAAAGTACACTAACTGTTTTACCTTATACATAACTATTTTTGGGAAAGAAAATTAATTTGTTTAGGGCAAGGTCAAAAACCTGTTAGAGTGGAACATTTGAAATACCTCTACCTATGTAATAAAAGTGTTGAATGGTTATTGGTTTCTCATTTCAATCCAATAGATAGCCCATCTCATTGCAGTAGTTTAAAAAATCTGTTTTTCCGTTAACCAGCTGTTGCACCCCTACGAATGACAACCCTCAGAAGTAGAAACTTGTGCAAGCTAAGGGCTAACGAGGTCTTACCTTTAAACGTGTGATTCCTAACACGGGTTGGACGATAGTAAGTAAAAATTGATCCTTCAGCCTGGGGCTTGAACCATCGACCAACACGGTGGCCAATTTGAGTGAGTGAATAAAGCACCCACGTCGAACCTAGCGGCTACCGACTGGATAGTGTTACCATCTTACTGTGCTTACTGCTTTACGTGTGCTCAATTTGAGGAGCAAGCTGGTGAATGTGTGACGAGAACTTTACGAAAAGTGTGATTGGGTGAGGCAAATGGAAGTTTAGGGGGTGGTATAAGATAGTGAAGAGAAGAGACTTACGTTTTCTATATTACTTTAGGGGCAAGAGAGATGCAAGCACATATTTACCGTCGAATAGGTTCCGAAGAATTAGGAGAAAACTATTATACTTTGACACTAATTTCAGCATGAGATTTCAATGTTAATTTCGCGTCTGAAGATGGACAACTCTTGGTAAACTTCCTACAATATAAATTACAAGCCTAAAACGTTAAAATAAAAAAGTGTTCAAAATGTTTTCTTCAAAGCGCAAGAAGTAATTTTGTACTGGACACTAGCAAAATATAATAGATATGTTGCCAACTAAAAACTAGCAAATAGATTTGATTTCACCCTTGTACTTATAAACTTGTTGAAGACATTGTTCTTCAAAGATTGATATTTTTACTGCAAAATTGAATTTTATTGACAAATATATAGCCTATTATTAGCAAAAATTAAGCGCGCCACATTAATGTTTTTGGAGAAAATTATACAAAAATTGACTCTGTCTAGTCGCAAACTCAACTCACTTTGTTCCAAATAATATAATCTTATTATATCCATGTACTTTTTAGCTGTAAAAATCACTGTATGTGCGGTATTTCATATTCTCAACTTATCTATAATGTCAGTGTTCCAAAATGCTATAATTTTGAAAGTTCGTCGTTCTATAAAATTATTTGGTACCATTAGCAAGCATTTTAACGTATTTTAGCTACTATGTTACCCCTATTAAAGTGTTAGGAGTGATGGTATTGCAACAGAGTCGGACTACATTAAAAGCTATAGATTTCTAGAACAGTGCTTGAATGAAGACAGAATTTCGTCGGGATATTTTGGATAAGAAGCTTCTGAATATTACTGGAGTTTTTCTCAACACCAAATCGTTATTTTTAACACCTCAACACGTGTTTCGATCACCAAGTGCTATAGCGTTAGCTTCGCGAAGTTTCCAGTTTTATCTTCCTCTTGAAGATGATCACTTGGTGATCGAAACACGTGTCGAGGTGTTGAAATAACGATTTGGTGTTGGGAAAAGGCTTCAGTAATATTCATTACTACAACAAAGGTTCCAAACAGTGCATCATAAGAAGCTTTTTCTAATGATTATAAAGGCAAAAATTTGAAGGAGTTTTGAGCTAGTCATTTGAGGGTATATATATATATGGTGCTCCATTTAAATCGACAGCTTTTAATAATTAACGACCTTTTTCTGTTTTTAGCAAGACAAAAATTTAAGCACTAGGTTACGTGGGTCTATAATCTAAAAGTCTAAATGACCAATATTACACGACATTATTAGGTATACAGTTATTGGGACGCTGGTCAAATAAAACTGACAAATTATTCTTCTTTAAACAACCTCTAAAATCAATGTCAGCTGGTTCTTCTTAAATGCTGCATTTTATGGCTATAGCAAATATATATTCGCGAAACAAATTTGATTTTACAACAGTTATTTTCTTGTGATACACTGTTTTGAACCTTTGGTGTAGTAATGAATATTACTGGAGTTTTTTCCCAACACCAAATCGTTATTTTTAATTTTTAACGCCTCGACACGTGTTTCGATCACCAAGTGATCATCTTCAAGAAGAAGATTAAACTCAGTAACATTCAACAGTTATTTCATTGTTTTGAAGTTGTAGTAAATATACCAAACGTTATAATAGTTGGTAGATTATATCATTAACATGCTACCATGTTAGATGTAGCCTGGGAATTCTAGGTCTTCTAACTGGAACCACAAATGTGCGGTTGGCTCCTGTTGTTGACTCAGTGCGTTTGTGTTGTTTCCTGCTTTGGGCAAACAAGTGTTGCCCATCTTTACACTTGGCTGCACCGCGCTGATGAGTTTAGCATTTTGTAAGTAATTATAAAATACCAACAAAAAAACTGTTGCAGTCGTGCCTTTGTAAAGCACACTCGGTTTTTAATCAATATTTTCCAATCAACCTACTTCATACTATGTGCTTAGATAAAATAAATGAAAAACTGTTTCTAAAATCACTCTTATATTACATAACTATCTTCATAGTTCTCCCTCAAGGCAAATAAATTATCCAAGCATTCCTCAAAATCATCTTTCTGTATCCCTTCGCTTGCAAACTGGTGAAACCTTGCTACTTTTATTTTCCTCGCTTCCGTGTGGAGATTCTCCAACATCTGCCCCACTTCTGATCCAGTATGCAATCCTGATAAAACGGGAACTTTTTCCACACCTAAAATGATACCATAACAAAATCATTGTAAACCGACGAAGTCTGTTAAAAAAATGAGGTGAATGATCAAATTCGATTATCGACTTTTTCATTTTTTTATGTTAGTACACTATCATCGAACATATGATCACCTCATTTTTTCAACAGACCTTGTGTAACCAAATGAGCACTCACCAATACCGTCCGCTCTCTCAAATTCCGACACACATCCATTTTGCCCTATATTGCGGTTGAAAATCCTCGGAAAAGGGTTTCGAACGTCCAGGGGTTTATGCACAACAGTCACGTTACTAGCCGTCGCTTCAGATGTGTAGGACAGGAAGAGAGTCAACATTTCCTCGATGGAGTCGCACCTACGACGACGTTGTGAATCAATAAATTTGAACGGATCATTTATAAACGTCAAAAAAGTAAGTGGCCCCAGAGCTGGACTCTGAGGTACACCGCGAAATCACAGTACCTGTAGGCTGGCAGTTCACGCTGCTTTTGGGCTTGGTTCAAAGGTTTCTTCAATCGTTCTTCAGCGATCCCTCTCAAGGCAACGTGCTGCATCACGCGGTAGTTTCCTGATAAAAAAATATTTTGTAAGTAGAATTCAGATTTGAAATGTCATTCATTGGTGAATACCAAACGACCATCGACTGAAGTCCTTCAGCCAGTGTACAATTTTAAAATATTTATAGTGATTTTTACATATGCTTACATAACAGATTTGAGGTGCATTAGATTTGTGGAAAAAAAAGAGTATAATAAATTATTTGAGAAATGCGAGGATGTTTTGATAGTTAGCCGTGACCGGTTCCCTGTGGCGAGGGGAAATATTGTATTAGCCTAGCATAGATGAGTAACTTGTGAGTGTCAGAGAAAATTCATTTGTTGAACCGATCAAAACCCTTGAAAAACAAAGAATTCATGGTATTTATGTTTTTTGTTCTGTCCATATATAAATTATTATTATTTCGAGCGAAGTAGTGGTGAATATCATGATAAAAGACAATGTACTGTTTCATCTTGTTCACATCTTGTAAGGTTGAAAACTGTAGTGACTTGAAACACTTTGAGTGGACTGTAATTATTGTTTTTTGGGAAAGAAAGTTNATGAGACACACTTCGAGACTGGAGACTCTGGAGCCTCTGCAACTTTTCCTAGGCAATGTTCAGCCTTTTGTAAAAATAGTTTTGTTATATTGAAATCCGGACCATGCAAGATCGTTGAAATATCAACATCCAAAACTGGTAAACACGGACATGCTAAAGTACATTTGGTTGGCATCGATATCTTCTCAGGTAAAAAATATGAAGGTATACGTCCCTCTACACACAACATGGACGTACCTCACGTTAAATGTGAAGATTACCAGTTGACTAATTCTGATGACAGATATCTATCTTTCATGTTAGACAACGGAGAACTACATGAAGATCTCAAAGCTCCAGACAATGAGGTAGTCGCCCAACTCAGAAATAAGTATGATGCCGGTTAAGATATACTCTGCACAGTACTGAAATCTTGCGGAGAAGAGGTGGTGACTGCAGTAAAGAAAAATACTGCCTTGGACAATAATGGACAGAAAAGTTGGTGGGGGCTAAGATCGAACGTCATCTTGTCCAGTGGGTCCCTGCTTTATGTTATCTGAAATATATTATCGAATTGGACCATCAGTTATCAACAGCTTACTTATGTAACGCCCTATTGACTGGCAAGATGTTGATGTGGTGTATACATCTTCTGTAATTTGTTGGCTAAATTAAAATGCAAGGCTACATTTGTTCAAATAAGATGGTCCTAAATTGTTCGATATTTTGTATACGAAAATCATTGTGAAACACAATAGTCTTTGGGAAATGGATTGCCAATTCAAAACATTGAGCATAATAGGGGTATCTCTACGGCACTTCAAAATGATCCTCATACCACGATTCTGCAGTTTTTGGAGTTGAGACAATGGGGAATGTTCCTCCTGACGAAAATCAAGTAGTTTTCATAAAAGAGCTCTAAAACAACGCATTTTAAACTTATCATTTCAACCTAATAATTGAATCTTTGAAAAGAAACGTAAAACGTTTGCACCTGTCTAGTTGAACGATTGGGGACATGTAAAGATATTTTGGAGAGAAGCTCGGGACTGATACTCAGTCCGTTGATAATTTTGAATAGAAGTATTGAATCTCTATGTTTTCTTCGAGTCTCAAGAGAAGGTATGTTCAAAATGCATTCCAATGCAGTATAGTCATGGTATACACGCATCTTGAAGGCAATATATCGCAGGAAATTGTACTGTGAGGGGACCAAACTGTGGAACAATAATCGAGATGAGATCTAACCAGGGAAAAATAAAGAGATTTAGTAGCAGTGATGTTGGTGAAATCACGAGTGGTTCTCTTTATAAAGCCAAGCATCTTCATAGATTTTTGAATTACAGCGGAAATGTGTGATTTATAGCTAAGTGTGGAGTCTAGGATCACACCTAGATCTTTGGTTTCAGTATCAGAATGTGAGGTCCGATTATTTATACTATATTCAAAAATGATTGGGTGATGTGTTCGATGAAAGCGAAGAATTTGGTATTTGGAAGCATTCAAACACATACCATTTTGCGAACAGTCTATATCGTTTTGTAGACACAATGTATCAGCTTCACTTTTAATTAGTTTGAAACATTTTAAATCGTCGGCAAATAGAAAAGCTTCGCTTTCATGGAAATAGCTGATTAGATCGTTGATAAAAAGGTTAAACAACAGTGGTCCCAAATGTGAACCTTGTGGAACGCCCGATGTAACTGCGATGGTATGACAATAATAATGATTAATTCTAACAATTTGTGTTCTTTCCGTGAGACAGCTCTTGAGCCACTGCAATATTTGCCCATCAACAAAGTTTATGGATCAATAGCTCATGATCAACTTTATCAAAAGCTTTGCAGAAATCAGTGTACACAGAGTCAACCTGCAAACCCTTAGACAGAGCGTCAGACAGAAAATCAACGTAGGTAATTAGACCCAGTTCAGCTGACTTTTTGGATGTAAATCCGAATTGTTGGGTCCCTATAATAGGGGAGCAGTCATAAGGTAATCAAAAATGGTGCTCTCAAAAACTTAGGGATTGCGATAAGAACAGAAACTGGACGATTTTCGACCTGATTTATATATTGGGGTGACAGATGAGGTTTTCCAATAGTCTGAGAATTTGCCAGACGATAAATTATTAAATATATAGAAAAGTGGTCGAGCTAAAATAAAGCTAAATGATTTAAGAAAAGTTGGAGGAATTCCATCAGGACCGGGGCCTTTGTTGATTTCAAGTTCGGACAGTTTTTCATAAATTTTAGAGATTTCAATATGATAATTGGACACATTACCCATGGATGTAATATTGGTATCATAAGGATGTAAAGACTGACTTGTATAGACGGAAGAACTTTTCTTAGGAAAGGCCAGATCCTGTATCCATAAATATCAAACCATCTAATTGGGCCGAAACTCTCAAACTTCGTTCGATCCCACACGAGGTTGAGAATTTTCCAATACATCCTCGTAAACCACCTTTCGGCTTGAGACGTACCTATTGTGCAGTTTGGAGTAATGCTTTGGAACAGAGGTCCCTCCCATTTGTCCAAACACTCCAAGAGATCGCCTCCCTCTTTGAGGGGGAACGGCAGGCAGAGACTCGCTGCAGCTACTTTCCTTCCACCCTGGTTCAGGTCCGCGCTGAGGTCTGCCAAAGCGAAACCGCTGGATTTGAGACGGTATTTCATCGAGAAGGTTTCCAGAGCTGTGGCCAAGAGGGCGCTTGAGTGGTAGGGGAGTTTAGGCTGAAAATGTAACGTCAATTATAGAAGGCAAATAGAAAAAGATGATAGTTATTCAGTAATAATAACTTCATTTATGTGTCTTGAGAAAGAGAATAAAAATAACGAAAAAAAAAAAAACTTTTATTGTGTGCATTTGCTTATTTTTGGATAGATATAAAATAATGTTTGGTATTGAGTAGCAAGCTCTTATAGATAGATAGATATATATCATTTATTTTTACAGAGTATATGCAAATCTTGTAAAAAAGTTAAAAGAAATACTTTGTCCGAGAAATACGTCAGTGAACAAAATTACAAAAGA